CGAAACCGGCGAGCAGGACCTCGTCGTTCTCATCGATGAAGTTCAAGCAACCGTCATTGGGGACTGTAAGAACATGCTAGTTAGCACATGTTTGTGGTAGTTGTGTTGGCGGTTTCCATCTTGTCGTGATTCCAACTCGTATAGACCTTTCCAACACATAGCGATAAAAGTAAGGAACAGGGTTACCCACCGAAAGCAGCGACCTTCTTGCCGTTCTTGATGAGCTGAACCTTGACACACTTGCGGATAGCGGAGTTGGGCTGCTTGGCCTCAACACCGACCTTCTCGAGAACGATACCCTTGGCGTGGGAAGCACCACCGAAGGGGGAGGACTTGTAGGCGGTTCCGAGAAGACGCTTCTTGAAGTGGTCATCAGCCCAGCGCTGATCCTTGCGGTGCGCCTGGAGCTTGCGGGCGGCGTTCAAACCACGGGGTTGTCCTTTACCCATGTTGGCGGATTATGTGTTCGACGGTCAACTGAACGAGAAAAAAAAATTGTTAGCCTCGTGTCGAGTGCAACGGTGGTTTTGCTGATTGTGGGTATTTTCGATGCGTGTCCGATGTTTGGAGAAGGTCGATTTTTTGTGCGTGATGGATGCGATCGTTGACGGAGGATCTCGCAGTGCCACGAATAAAATATTTCCGAAAAAACCACAAACAATGCAGGGGAAACAGCAGGATATCGAATACGTACCGACTGGGAGGGGTGTTGTCGGCCAAAGGGGCTGAGGGTCGATTGTCGAAAAGTCGAAGTGTTCCGGATTTCCCTTACCACACGCTTTGGATGCACCTCAGGTGACTTTGTGCGCTTAGCCCTAAGCGAGTCACGGGACAGTCGTAGCCCCCACCTCGGAATATATGATTATGTCATCAGCTCGATAACGATAAGGTTATCAGCTCCATCATCAACCCCATTCGAATGCTCCATGTCTGATGTTCTCTCGGACAATTTGTTGAAGATGGATTTGTCAAGAAAACCCACGAATCCAAATTCCCAGCGCCTACCTCCCCCAGCCCTTTTTCAAGGCCCACCATCACACAATGCCTCTAATATTTCCTTACCCGTACCACCTGCAGCCTCAACGTTGGCAACTGCCTCCGGCGGCCAACCTCCACTCCTGCATCGGAACCGGTCACCTCGTGGAGCCGAGGGTGGTGATGCCGAGAAGTCGAGCTTGTTATCACCTTTTGTATCGGGCCACCCCTCCAAAAATGATGTAGACGGATCCGACGCCATCTGGCAGGAGATGCAGAGCGCTCTGTCAGAAGTGGAGCTCAGTGCTGTGACGAGCGAGAATGTGTTCGGCGCAAAGCACTCAGACGCATTGGAAGATCTACGCATGAAACAGTTGAAGCTCGCCCAAGCCTGGGCGCGCAGTGAGGCAGACGATGAAGTTGTGGATCCCGGCCACAGCGGTGCCGATGTAGCAAGTGGAAAAGCCAGCTCGGCACGACGAGGTATTGAAGAGTCGAAACCCGAGCATGATGCAGCGACAGAATCTAGCGCAGGCCGCGGTTCGGTATCGCACCGCACGTTGGACGACGAGACCGAGAAAGACATCCATCTTGCGCGAAAGCGCCGCGAGGCTAATGACCGGTACTTTGATCGGGTCAATCAGGGCGTTTTGGATGTCGTTGCTAAACTGGAGGAGGTAGCTCAGGCTATGCGCACCGTCGAACGGGAAAGCAAGGATATTTGGAGTGATTCCGAGAGTGTCACGACCACTGCGCCGTCATCAACTCATACGAGTTGAACTCCTGAGTCTTCTAGCGGATTCAGCTGCAGCCCCGCTCTTGCTGCACTTCTTCCATCTTGTTCATTTCCCAGCGGGCCAGTGCGGACGTCTCAGGGTTGATCGGGTCATCACCGAGTCTTGCCGCAGTGCATCGATGTCTCTACCCCATATGGGAATGCGCTGGACGCATTTACAATATCCCTCGGGGGAAATAATAATACTAATACATGTAAATTATGACATAAATCAAGGGTATCCAAACTCCGGTGCTTAAAATCCAACCCAATCAGACAGTCATGATAATGCCTCCAAGGATTCCTCCGAGTCAAAGCCTTTGCTATAGTCCCAGAGATGATCCTTTATTCCCGTTTCACCGCACGTGCGGCAGCCTTCCAGCCTTCCGCAGCAGTATCCCTCACGTCCTCCCATGTCGTCTCATGGGCCTTTCTTGTCAAGACCTCCACTTCCTTATTCCACTCGTGCTTGAGTATTTCTTTCAATGTTGGCTCAGGTTGATTCTGCGCTTCCAATTCTTCGCGCCGCTGCCTTGTAAGGTCTTCTGGTAGGAAGCGCCTGTCATAGGCACCGGCAGAGGAGGTCAACCAATCTATTTGCTCGACTTGCGCATGAATGGCTTTGCGTTGTGATATACGTGTTGAGCGGTGGACTTGAACGGTAATATAGAGAACGGATGTGGTGAAAACAAAACCACCGAACTATACGAGTGAGAATTGAAGTTAGTGCTTGTTTTCTGGTGTAGATTTGAAGGTAAATCGTACAAAGCCGGTGAAGAAGCCCATATTTGTTGTGGTGTTTGGACTCTCTGAATTGACTATTTGTTCGTAGGGGTGGATGGAAAAGGCGACAAATCACACGAGTGTTTCGTGATAGAGAGTTTCTTTTCTCGACAAGCAAAAAGCTCAGCTGAGATGTATTCCAAAAGCTGAATGTCCTCGAACAAGCAGAGTGAACGCGGAAAACTGAAGTCGGACAGGCGGTGGAAGCGCTCCGATTGGCCGGGACAATTCTTCTAGGCCGAACATCCTCTCTCCTTCACCTTGAATTGCTGGAACACCTTGGTTTGGCCATTGACCTCGCGATTCCCACTTTACCTTTAATAACCCACCCTCCTTCTCCCTCTTTTACCCTCGCTTAATAACAGTCACCATGGCCGGCGGCGGAAGCAGATACCGCCACTTGAGCCGCGACTCCGCGCATCGACAGGCCCTGCTCCGAAACTTGGTCACCTCCCTCTTCGAGCATGAGTCAATTACCACGACATGGCCCAAGGCCAAAGAGGCCCAGCGTCTGGCCGAGAAGTTGATTACCCTGGGAAAGAAGAACACCGAAGCGAGTCGGCGACGGGCATTGGAGATTTTCTACGTATGTTGAGCTCCCGGAGAACAAGCCCACCCCAATTCCAATCAGGATGGGAATCAGTCTAGTCACGAGAAACTATTGGTTCACCACCGTGATGAATTACTGCAATTCTCAGCCCGTAATTCTCTAGAAAGGGAAAAAAAAATCAACACCTCATTGACACCACTAACATTCCCTAGACACCACATGAAATGCTCCCCAAACTCTTCGGTCCCCTCCGCGAGCGCTACGCAGACCGACCAGGCGGCTACACACGAGTCCTACGCGTAGAACCCCGTGAAAAGAACGAGTACTACTCCGCCAAGAAGGGCGACAAGAACGCTATCCGAGAGCCTAAACCCCAGGTCAAGGCTCCCACCGCCATCCTCGAGCTGGTCGATGGGCCAAAGGACATGCGTTTTGCCATGACGGCGCGTACAGTGGCGCGAGAGCGCGAGCAGGGTCGGGATCTCGTGCACGCGCTCACAAGGATGAATGTGAAGAAGGTTACTCAGTTCCGGAAGGACGGTGTTGAGGTTTTGGAGCAGGCAATTGCCAAGCTCAGTCTTGCCAAGAAGCAGAATGATAAGCTCGCTAAGAAGGAGGCTCAGGTTGAGTCGAGGGATTAGATGTGGGGAGTGTTGGCTCTCTTTTGTGGGGGTTCTGTTCCGGAACCTTCGGCTTGGGGTGATCTCTGGGACCTGTCTAGGAGGTGTTTTATCCTAGGCTTTGATGGGTGTGCTTGATGCTGGCACCATCTCGCTTGGTCTCCCGGGGTGACTCCGTGTTCTTTACTTGTTTTTCTTACCAGGAGTTCTGTCTTCTTCCTGTTTATTATGGCATCTCCGTCTTCGTTTGCACTTGCGCATGTGACATAGCCTCTGTATAAAAGATTTTGATACCTCTTTATTTGCACTTCTTCCTTGGTTTGTTAGCTTTGGGTAAATGTATGTGTCGAGTCATGCTGCGGGAGGGACGCCGTAGTAGCCCGTTTTATCTCGGGCTTATGTATAGATCTAAAGACCAATCACTACCTGCTAGACGACATATCATGATCAAGTACATCGACAAATATTATCCACAGTAGACAAACGTTTGGACCCGGCATCTTGGATTGATATGCCTGACGATCCAGGCCTCAATATATGAATCTAAACAACCTTCACAAAAACGCCATAACCTGCAATGTAGATCAATCAGAAAGCTCACCGCAACCAATACCTCCCTTCATTGCATCAACGTCGATACGAGAGAGATTTTGCGTGATTGTTGTCATGTTGCCAATGCAAGTGGGAAATTGAAGAACTATATATCCCAAACTCCGCAATCTCTGCCAAAAATAAAATTTATCTCCAGCAATTGGACTTGAAATTGCCATTTTACAAATTTCTCCACTATCTATTCTTTCCAGAAAGCGATCAAAGTTCTCTGCAGCCTCTGAACGGCCATTTCCTGGGGCAGTTGACGAGATCTGATATATCAGCTGCAGCCTCGACGTAACAGACTAGTGCCGCTCGCACACGGCAATTGCAATCAAGGGACAATAAAATTCAATGCATAATTATCAATAGTTGAACTTTCTAGCATATGATCCAAGCGCATGCCATTATAAGCCAAGCCAGTCTACCGAAGGGGTTCATCTAGCTAAGTCCTGGATACTCAAAACCTCAATTTCCCTCTGTATAATACCCCAGTACTCAGCAGGACCTGTGCTCTGGTCACAGAAATATAGAGTGCTTAATTCTCTGCTGTCTAGAATCTAGCACCTATTTTTACTACACCGCAACCTTCTTATATGCAGTATGCAAGACCCGATATCATATGCCCAACTACACTCCTCAAGGTTCAACATTTGCTAACTTCTCACCAGAACAGAAGCGGCATAAGCCAGAACAACTACTCAAAATGGAGAAAATGTCACTCGAAACACACAACCCGCTCCGGCAAAATGCTCCAAGCCCTCCACGCGCCGACACATACAAAGAAGTCTCAGCGTCATACCCGCCCCGTCCAACCTTCGAACACAGCAAGGACGATTGCACTCTACAAGTCAGCGATCGCGACTGCACACTTGAGTTCAGTGACCGAGACTGCAACCTGGAACTCAATCAATATGCCAATGACAAACGCACAGACAAGCAGGCTGAGGCTGGAGTCGAACCTGCGGATGGAAACCAGGCAGAGGCGGCTGGACAACAGTCTGCAGCAGACGGGAAACAAGATCCGGAGTCGCAGTCTGTGACAGGGACGGTCATGCGGCGTAGATCTCGTCGGCGGGAGTGGATTATCGTTGGTTCGGCTCTTGGGGCTGTTGTTCTTCTTGTTGTTATTATTGTGCCCTCCGCGATCTTTGGGACCCGTCAGTCTAGGCCGCAGTATAAGCCACCTACGAATCCGTATATTTCATGAGACAATTGAGAGCCCGGGGTAATTTCCGAGGGGATTTGGATGTATAGATTAAGGGTCCAAATGCTGATTCTGATAGTTTATAGTTTGATCAGGGACGTATGTACACCCGATTTTCCCTGGGGTTCTCCTATTTGAGCTGCCGCTTTTATGGTGCTCAGACTCAGGTTCACTGAGTAGATGTCTAGCAGTGATTATGCGTAGATTGTGCCTATTAATTATAGCTATGTATGTTTTAGATTATATTATACTACAACTCCTGAGTGATCTGGCACAGTATTCAATTTCTAGTATTGTAAGAGACAAAAGACGTAAAAACAAGCTAAGACAAATTGAAACACAAATATACGTATTATGGAGAGAAGCTATTACAGCTCCTCCTCAACCTCGACATTCTGCTGGCCGAGATCAATAGACCAGGTGAAGCCTTTCAGATTCAATGTGTCCTCAGAACTGGCAGCCTTGCCAGACCCGAAGCTCTTCAGGTTCCACTCCTCAACACCATTGACACCCTTCAGCTCATCGCCGAACTCAGCGAAGAGACTGGCGCTGAGGGTCTCATATTCGCTGTAATCCTTGGGCCAGTCCCCTAGGCGCTGTACGGAGAGCTTGAGCAGGTTGAGGTGGACGCGAACGTGCTCACCACTAGCCAACGAGTATCCGCCGTCGGAGCCCTGCTCTTGAATGTTCAGGTCGTAGGCGGAGCCGTCCATGCTGAAGCTGGTATCGAGGGCACCTTCGAACTCCGAAAGCGAGGGGTCGGCTAAAACGCGGAGGAGGCTCTCGTGCACCGCGGCGCTCTTCTTATAGTACTTATTAGCCATGTGCTGGCCATTCTTAGAGGCCTGGTAGCGCTGCGCGATCGCGGTGTATAGCTGCGAGAGCAGGGTGGACATCTCGAGAGTGTTCGTATGGCGAGCGCCGTTAACGCGGTGGCAGTTGTATACGATGTCCTCGGCCAGGCGAGTGGCCTTAACGGTATCGCCAACCAGGAAACGGGCCAAGATATATCGGCGGGCCAGGTCGAGGGTGATGGAGGGGGTCCAGTGGCTTTGCTTGTTACGGCTATTCCAGAGATCGCTGAGGAGCCAGACGAGGTTCTTGTAGTCCTGTCGCTCACCGAGGACACCGATGAGGGCATTCAGGTAGTCCAAGTTGATCTGGGCCAGGTTAATCTTCAGATCAACGATAACGCGGAGGACCTCCTGAATAATGCTGGCGGACACATTGTGCAGCTTCTTCTGAATAGAAGGCTCTGGCTGAGGAGAAAGGCTATGGCCAGAGATCAACAGACCCAAGCTGAACACGAACTTGACAATCTCAGGGGTTCGGTAGATATCGTGAGCTGAAATGTAGCGGAAGGCAGCGATGGAAAGATTGGTAGCGCCGTCGTAGTTTTTGGCCTCGAGCAGCTCGAGGACCTTGACGTTGGAGGCAATACCGACCGAGCGGACGAAGTTTGAGGACTGGTGCTGAGTGAGGTAGCCTATCATGGTCTGGAGGAAGACAGTCACCTGAGCAGTCTCAGTCAACTTGATGCGTGCCCCTTCGGTGGAAACGAAGTAAGCGACATAGTCATCGAAGACACGGTTAGCAGCTGCCTGGCGCTTGTTGGCGAGGAGGAAGTTGTAGAGGCGGGTAACAGAAACCGAGACTGTGTAGAAAGAGCTGCTCTTGGACTTGGTGTGGCTTCTGAACTCCTCGAAGTAGACATACTCGGCGGTCAAAGAGGCGAGAATTTCAGTGACGCTGGAGGTACCCTGGCGCACGCTGTGCTCAAGCTGGGCCAAGAAGACAAGGCTTTGACGGCCCTTGGATGAGATATCGAGCTGGGTCTCCTTAGAGCTAGTGTCCTTCATGACAATCTGGCGATAGAGCTCCTGGGACAGCTCAGCGGCCTTGTGAGCCTGGCCGGTGGTAATGAAGCCGGTAGCAATAGTGGTGGCTGCGGCCACAAGGCGCTCCGAAGAGGTCTCGGAAGATAGGATCTGCTTCGTTGACTCGTGCAGCTCCTGGGACACACGCTGGGTGTCATTGTGGCTGGAGTGGAATGAAATTACCTCCTGAAGTTTGGAGAGGGTCTCCTCGTGAGCCCAGCCGTAAGTCTCGCGAGCGGATTCAATGCGCTTCCGCAGGATCTTAGTGACGCGCTTCATCTGATCGGTGGAAACGGACTGAGACTTGGAGGTAGCACTGGCGGTCTGCTCCTCGAAGATACCGTCAAGGATGACTTCGATCTCCTCAAGGTTAACGCCAGCAGGCTTGAGCTTGAGCAGCTGCTCGTAGAGCGCGATGGCGTCACTCTCATAGGTCTTGGTTTCCTGGCACACCTTGGCAAGGGTCAAGGTAGCTTGGATGGTGATCGTAGCGGTGGCTCCGAAGACTATTTTGACCTTGTTGTAGAACTCGGTGGTAACCTTGTGGACGAAGGCAAACTCAGTGCGGTTATTGCGCAGGCAGTGAGTGTAGCGATCGAAGACTGACTGCACAAAGGCCGCGTCCTGGAATTTAGGGCTCTGCTTGGGCTGATTCAAGAAAGTGGTGAAGAGCAGGGTAAAGTAGGGGACGGCATCAGTGTAACGAGTTTGAGCCCAAAGCTCAGTTGCAACAATGATGACGGGCTCCAATGCCTCGGGCTTGATGACCGGCGAGTCCTTGTTCAAGGCGAGAACGATGCGTTGGTAGTACTCCACGAAGACGGGGCGAGGACGGGTAAGCTCAGCCAAGGTGAACAGGGTCTTGATCACAGTGGGGTTTTCAGGGCCATAGTGCTTGGTGTAGTCGTCCAAAAGCTCCTGGTAGGTGTTGATGACCTTGTCCGGCTGGGAAGACTCCTTGAAGAAGCTGATCAGCTGATCCTTGACAGTCTCCCTCAGCTTGTCACCCACTGGCCGAGCGGCACGGACCGCACGGTGCACACGGACACGAATGCCTTCCTCGCGGGTGAAGCGACGGCGGTAGTGGTAGCACTGACTCAAACGCTCGGCAAGGTCCACGGCCTTGTCAGTGTGCTCCTCTGGAAGAACAACGTCTTGGATGGAAGGAGCGAACAGGGAGGGCCAAATGCTATTCAGAACCTTCTTGAGGAGACGGGTGGCATCCTTCCAGCGGTGCTCCTTGGTGTATAAGGTCAGCAAAGTACTGGTAGCAGTGAATGAACTTTGGTCAAGCTTAGAGAAGCTAGAAGCCTCATAAACAATCTCCTCTAGGGTAGTCTCGGAGAAGTGCGATGACGATGAGCTAGCCTGTTTCTTGACATGTTGCGAGGTAGATTCTATGTGCTTCTGCATCTCCGAGTAGGATGAGGTACGGTTGGTACGATGGTAGAACGAGGCACAGTGCTTGAAGATGCTCAAAGCAGCGACGGTGAGGCCGACAGTAGTCATCACCTTAGCGATCTGCTCCAAGTACGAAGTCGAGCTCTCAGAAAGAGAGTGAGCGCTGTTCTTTTGCTCTTCCCAAACGCTGGACAGAATGGAAGAAGCTTCCCGCTCTTTCTTCTGGGTCGTCAAAAACTTCGAGTAAGCAAGAACGGACTGCAGCTTGTGTTCTTGGGTCTTAGCCTGCTGCCAGAGCTCAATGTACAGACGTTCGGCCAGGTCAAGGCGGCCATTGGCCGTGTACTTCTCGGCTTTGGTGATCTGGCCCTTGAACGACTCGGACTTTTCGTGAACCTCGTCGTGCTCGGCATCTAGGAGGAAACGAATACCAGTGTCACCTAGGTCCTGCTTGTGGCCCTTCAGGCGAACACTGAGATCGCGGGTATCATCGCCGTCGTACTTGGTGGCGGTGGTGGTAAGACTCTGGATCTTGAGAGTCCAAGTCTGAATCTTTGTCTCTTCTTTGGTCACACGGTAATGTTCAATCAGACTCTTCATGATGTTGACTGTCTTCTCAGACTTCTCGCCATAGTGAGCCTGATAGCACTCGACAATGATGATGAGAAGCTCCTCACGCCTAGTCATGATATCCGACTTGGTAAAAGTGACCATGTCTACAGTCAGATCGAGGAACAACAGAGCCATCTGCATCGTGATGGTGTGAGTTGCACTGAGCAGAGTGCGACTGATGGTGGTAATCTCGTAGAGAAGAGGGATGGCCTCTGGGGTTTGGTCGACCTCACGGTACAGCAGAGCCAACGAGATGATGGACTGGAGTGTCACAGGGTGGCTGGTCCCCAAAATCTTGCGGCACATGTTGGTAATAGTGGTGTGGTATGACAACAGTGTAGGTGTAGAGAAGTTGTTCCAGACCGTGCTCTGGAGCAGCAAAAGGGTAACACTGGCTGGGAATACCTTGCTTAACTCCTTAGCAATAGGATCATAGCCACCGGTAGTGAAGGTTGTGGTCTGCTTCAAGTGACGAGGCCAGTAGCGAACGGCAAATTCAAGAAGAGGGTGGGTTTTCACACGGGGGGCGACATCACGACCATCAAGGGGAGTGAGGGAAGGCTCATGCTGCTCGGGAACAGTGTACTTGATATAGACCAAGAGGCGGGTGACGAGGTCAGTTTGATGGTCCTTGACCGTGGGGATCAACTTGCCCTTGGAGAACACATCCAAGACAGCGGTCCTAATCAGACCGTGACGAAGGTACACCTGACCATCTTGCATGAAGACAATGGAGTTCAAGGGCTTCAAGACTTGACGGATGTTGATCCTGCGATCATTAACAATCTGCTTCTCCGGCTCAATCGAAGCCAAGGTGGTGAGTTCCCTTGACAGCAGAGGACGGTCAGCCGTAGCAAGCCAAAGCAGCATGAGCTTGGCTTCTTCGGTGACTTCGGGAGCCTGGAGGCTGTAGAGAACAAAGTCGGCAATGGTGGGCTTGCCCTTGACAATAGCGCCGACGACCTTGCAGAGGGCATCGGGGGTATGCTCAAGGCGAGCGCGCTTGGTGCACAGCTTAGCCCACAAGAAGGAACCACGAGCGGCCTCGCTAATCTGGTCAATGAGGGTCTCCTGCTCCATCTCATCCATAGACAAGAAGACCTTGCTGCCAGGCGAGTTGGCGGCGGTGAAGTTACTTCGGACAACGGTGGAAATGTCATCAGCAATGCGGTCACCACCAATAGGGACATGCGACAGACTGGCAGAAGTCCTGGGCTTCTCGGCACCAAGGGTGATTAGCTTAACGTTAGTTCCGTTGGAGGTGGCAGCAATCAGCTTCTGGAGCAAAAGTGCCTCACCGCAAGAAGCCTCATCAACGCCATCAATGACGATAACAAGGTCTTTAGCGCGGGCAAGAGCTGCGCTCAATGCATTCTCCAGAGCATTCCAGAGAATTCTCTCGTATTCCTCCTCGTTGGTGGTCTTTTTGCTTGCATCGTAGGCCTCGTGCAGAATCTGCAGTAGCTGGATGTTACCAATACGCTTCTCAAAGAGCTGCAAGAGAATTGTCTTCACAATTGCAATGGGGGTGGTCTGGGCTGGGATTCTGGAATTGATTGGAATAAACAATGAGTTGTATGTAACACCGCCGATGTGGTCCTGCAGACGGTCGACAATAACGGAGGCGAGGACAGTCTTCCCAGATCCAAGGGGACCAGTAAAGGCGAGAACGTGATTGCCGCTCTTAAGGAAGTGGGTCAAGTATGGGTTCATCCAGAGACAGGTCATCTCCTCGCGTTCGTGGGCAAGGTAGGTGTTCTCGGCGAGGTGAGTGAGGACGCGGTCCTCTGGAGACAGCCAGCTTCGGACGGACTTAACAACGGCCACTAGATATAATCAAAAGTAATTAGTATCATTCGAATGCTTCCAATACTCAGAGGATGCAATATGTTCTTACCGTTCTCGGGGTCCTTGCTCTCCTGCACGAGCTGGTGTCTCCACATGGAGTCTGAAATCTTCGCGCAGCGTCCACGGAAAGACTCAATCTGGCCATTGAAGGTCTCATAAATGTTTATGGAGATCGAGCCGTCAGAAAGTGCATAGATAGACTGGTGGAAGTGAGTGGAAACGTGGGCGACCAAAGAAACAAGGTCGGCCAAGGCCTCAACCAGCTGATCCTTGATCGTCTGGGAGACAGCAAAGAGCTCAGTGCGCTCAAGCAGGTCCACCAGAGTTGAAGAAGTGCTATAGAAAAACCCGAAGGAAGCCATCAGAGCTGGCGCATTCTCTTTGCCAAGCTATGATGGAATCAGTATTGAAGAAGCAGAAGACTTGTAAGGAATAGATATGTACATACCTCGAGGAGCATTGCACAGTATCCGTAAGAGAGCTGAGCAGCGAGCCAGCTACCTGCCTCGAAGTCGCGAATAGCCAGGTCAAAGGAATGTAGACGCTCAACGAAGAGCTGGGCCCAAGCGAGCACCTTATCATAGCTGCTTCCTTCGGGGGGCAGGTGGCTCATGCGCTCGGTTGCAATCCATTCCAAGATGGTAGCGTGGTCGGTATTGGATAGCGTGGAGGACACGTTTGCTCCCAACTCAGAGCCACTCTGGCGCTGAAGGCCTTGGACCACACCAGAGAGCTTTGAGCTGCCGGTGGAGTGGAACTTCCGAGGCATGAAGGACTCACGGCGGGAGGTACCGGAGCGGGACAAGCCACTGTTGGAGTGGGTATCGTTATCCAACGTACTAGACATACCAGAAACCTGTCTGGAGCTACCACGCAATTTGGTGTAAAAAGGGGATATGATATTGCCCGGGACGGCAGCCAAGATACTGGGGGCCATTGTGCTCGTTATAGATTCAGTTCGGCTTAGAAAGGGTCTTTTCTCGATAATTAAAGTGGGAAGAACAGTAACGCTTTCAGTACACTCTTTGGTGGTAGGGTTTGTAATAAGGGTATGTCGGGGAGGAGGGTTGGAGTCCGATATGCCTTCTTTGGAGCAGCGGCTCTTAAACCAACAAAATGATCGACTCAAACCGGCAATCTGGTCGGAGAAAAAAAAACAGCAAAAGGAGTAAAGGATTATAGTGGAAGAAGAAAGGCCATGCAGCTTCAGGGGGAAAGGCATGCTTTTGTAACCGCCCTCAAGGTGGACACCAGCACCTGCTTCAATTCCCCTTTTCCTTTTGAGTAAAGGCTCGGAGAGAACGATTTACATAGCGCTAACATCAGTCCTACCGTACCTAGTTTGGCTGAAAATTATGGATGACCCAATGGGCTACAGTGTAAGAAGGGGACGTATTCAGCAAGGAATGGCAAGAAGCAGTATGGTTTCTCAAAAACGGAGTTGCCGCCAGATTTTCTCTTTTTGGAACAATAGAGAGTTCGACCTCGCATATGATGGGCCCGGCCACCCTGGTGGTAAGGCATAATGATCCAATGACAGGGAACTACACGAGGGGTAGACGGCATTTGTGAGCTGCGGATATCATCCTGTGTTACAATTCAGTTAATGCAAGTGTGATCTCGTGGCCCAGCTGATTTAATTCGATTGTGAAAATGTGGATCATTATAGGACCTGCAGCATGATGGAGATGGCCGAAATGTGCTCTCTCATCTTGCCATGAAAGACCCGGTTTTCTTCAGCAGCCACGGCATATACCCCAGATCCACTCTAGCTGGTAGCAAAGCTATCCAATTTGTATATATGAGAGCCAAAATCTCGAAGCCACTATAGATGATAGTTGCCTCCGGTTGTAGGATTGGGTTTACCATAGATCGTCCAAGAGGTCTGAGTATTAAATTTGCTCTATGCACCGGATGTGGCTGGCTAAGTAACCAGAGGATCTTCCGCCGTCACTAAGCGGGGCCTAGATAGGCTCTTAACCTGCTATGTTCATAGCCAATTGAGAATAACCCACAGCTTAGGTGTCGGACGAACCGTCGGTCGATCTTGATGCGAAAGCCGTGCCGACGAGTCCCGTCCATTTCTCGCGCGGGGTTGTTTGCTAAGTTTCTGTCGATGCTTGCCGATCGTTAATCACTCATGCATAATTATTGATGTAAGAGGTCCGCTCAGCTTCAGCTTCTCGTTCAGCTTCTCGTTATTTGTAGGTATATGTCATATTCACGATCTGCCGAGATTTGCTCGCAGTCACTTCCTTTTGTAGAAGCATCCCCCGATGGGATATTAATGGTTCTTTGGCATCCTAACTCCATAATCCCGTGGTCTGGTTTAGCGGAAGAAAATGGCGTATCGACTCAGCTGCAGCCAATTTCCTCCCGGAGAAGTCCGTGGGGAAAAGGGAAAAGGGAAAAGGGAAAAGGGAAAAAGGAAAAAGAAAAAAGAAAAAGAAAAGCCTCAAGAACCATTTCCGGTAATTATTAACGGTTCGATGTGCTCGGGTACTGCATGCGGTAAATCATTAATGTAGTACGGGCAGACATAATTGGAGTTAATGTCCACCTGAGCACCCGAGGTCCAACAAGATATCATTGGGCTGTCAGACCGTACATTTGTCTTGTGGGATTTGCATGCCCCCTTACACGGGGAACCGAGCTAGGGGCTAGCCGCTCGCGATCTGTACAATTCGACCCCCATTTTGAACCTCGCATCCTGCACTGTCTCACCAATGGGAGAATTCTCTCGCAAACGGATCCACTATACAAGTCCAATCTCAAAACTTTCGATCATTCAAAACATGGGGGATGAAACAAAGTCGAGCTGGAATACAGACCTCGAGATTATGTTACAAAGCTGACTATCGAATATCATGAACCTTGCATTTGCAGGACCCGCATTATCCTGCGGAAACTACACCGGGGAGGTTGAAAAGAAAAGAAAAGCACCATATTGTCCACAGGTACACTATGACAAATCTAGATGGACCATCAAATACAATTACAATATTCCAAGCGTAACACAGCCATTGTCTCCCGGCCATCACGTCCATTCTGGAGCCAACCCAAGCCAAATGCCTAAAATAATTGGTCAAACCCAGATCCGTAAGATGCAGAGGTAATGATAACCATAGGGTAGACCCTAGCACGACGCAGGTGCGAAGCACTTGAGCCAATATGATAGCTGGGACTATACCTACCATAACCGTAAAGTCCAATTCTAGAATTCAATATGATTATAGCAGACCGATTACAATGTCACCGTAGACCTGGGCGTCCAACTCGAGCTTGATCTTAGCGTGCAGGTTGAGGTGAATCTTGATCTGGAGGCTGCCCTTGTCATCCTCGCCATCCTTCTTTCCAGTATTGGTGACGCCGGGAATTGTCAAACCGCTGGTGCTCGGCAGGGCGTCCTGGGCGGTCTCGCCAACGGCACCGACAGTGTCGTCAGCTTGGTTACCCTTGCGACCGCCCAGCACGGGGACGGATTCGGTGGTAGGGCTATTTGGTAGCGGGGGAAAGTCAGCCTCACTTAAGCCCTTAGTTGTATCGTTTGGAGTAATATTGTGGCTTAGTCTTGGGCCTGTGGATGGGTTTTCGTCCGATTTGGCCTTCTGGGACTTATTTTTCTTTGCCATTGTCGGTGATAGTATGAAGGGGGCAATGGGAAGGAATTGGATGTTATGACAGCCAGCCAAGTAAAGGAATGATCATCCAGCATGGGGATGCGGTGTTGAAGGAGATGGTTTAGGTATACCTGAGGGACATTGTTTTCTTTAAGGAAAGTTAGGGTTGAGATGAGGTATAAGGGGTTTGAGTAGAGACCAACAGATAGAATAGGAGACAAGTCCTTCTAGGATTCACAGGCAAGAGGGGAAAAATTATATATATTTTACACCACTGCAGCTGTGAGGGATTGTTTATTCGACGGAAAGATCAATTGGGGTTCCACTTAGCTGAGCTATGATGGTGGAGCTGAATTCCTTGATCTGCACATCACCTTGCTCTCATCTCTGCATTCATGCTCGGAAGATCTGGAGTATCTATTGTAGCTGCATAAAATGTGACGTAGCTTATGGAGACAAAGTGGATTAATTTATCCCTATTGCGATCGATGGCTATGTTCCATATTGGGAAGAGCTGAAAAGCTCTATATTTAACTATTATACACCTACAGGCCTTTCCACGTTTTATACACCCATGCACAAGCCTTGAAATTTTCACGGGACTCCTTGCGCTAACTCTTCCACGATGGTACTGGGAATAGTTATGATGACGGCCATGGTGCCGACCATTATGGGACTAAATGAGGCCACTAAAGGCACGCGTGATCAAGAGAACAATCGGAAAAATACCGCACGCAAGCAGAGATGTCACCTAGTGACGACGTGTGAAGTCAACCAGGGGACTCAGACCCAGCGCGAACAGGTTCACAATGCCCGTGTATATGTGGGGCGAGACGGGAATGTAAGTACTGTCAAGCAGCCGAAAGCGAGAAAGGAAAAGAGCTTAAAATAATTCTAACCATTCCTCTTTTTGTCTCAGCTTTATATCACCAAACACCCCAGCTCCACCATGTCTCTTTTTAATGGCGGCTTCTACACACACCCAGATTTTCCCCCTGATAATACCTCCGGCGTCGTGACTATCACTGGCGAACAACCCCCCACTTTGCGCTGGGTGTTCCTGGATGCCAAGACGCATCAGATGCGATGGGGTGGGCGGCCCGACAGTGAGGGGCACATATGTGGACCCTTTGACTGGACGAAAGACGAGCAGTGCATCACGCTTGAGGGGTGGGAGGGATGGCTGGCAGTCCGGTTACCGGAAGATAACATGAGGGACCAAGCGGAGGCAGACCTCGAGATCGGTGATGGTCGTGAGATTTGGCGCCTGTATTTTGATCAAAATGACGATGGGGCCGATCTGCCACCTGGTTCCGAAGGCATAGAAATTCGTCTTAGGCGAGCTATGTCGGAATCATGATGAATTCGCGTAAAATTACACTCGCTTTTTCTGTCTTATATTACATATGCACCGGATGATGCATGGCACTTGAGACCTTTCCCTTTCCGTTTTAGTGCTTACCCCTTGCCGCTTTCTTGATCACTGAGTAACCTGACTTGATCAACCACTACATACATACTCAGAGTGATCATCCCCTGAGCACCCTAATCCGCAGACTGAGTGTTGGGATGATCGGCCTGAGTAAGCTACGTTAATCGTCCCATCAAAAAAGGACTGGCACGGTTAATGCGACCGTTCATCCTAAGAAAAAAACTCACCGCGGGGCTGTTCAATTGACCTATCATTTTCTATTTCAGCCTTTACTCCTACGGGTACCCCTCGGAATACTTCACTTATAAGCCCGGCAATTCCCTAATCGGGCTTTGGACAACTACTACGGAGCAGATCGAGGATGATTGGATGGGGTTTGAAGATCTAGAACTAGTCTTCCGCACGACCCAGACTCAGTGACTGGGGCCCCAGAAACTCCAGTTTAGGCCCAGTTCGATCTAGTTTTTACATATGATTTGGCGGCCATAAACACGCAACTTGTGACCTAGATAAGAAGCTCGTCCCGTAACCCTATAGCCATCTTGTCCAAATATAGCCCGGGCCTTTCAAGCATTGGATGAGTTATGCTTCGCTGTCGGCTGACACGAGTTGTGGGCCCAAACTGGTGACGGCTGTTGGTTATGTCGATGACTGAATGTCGGATACACTCAGCAGCTTTACAGAATGAATCGAAATTTATTTCATCACTTGATGCTTGATTATTTCCTGAACTTCCAATGGATATATATTGACCAATTAGAAGGCTATATTTTGTAAGTCACATGATGCTCATAAACCCTACTACTTGTATATCTAGGTCTTGCAAGACCTTTGCACTACTTTTACATCATCCATGCACCCTTGGACAAACTTTGCAAATAAAGAAGTTTTATTCTCTGGCATATTGCGTCTTGTCTCACCAGCACGTGTATAGATAATCTCCCCTCTGACCTTAATCAGTGCACCAAAGATCGAGCAAATAGCACTCTTGGGGGTCCTCAACAATTCCATACATACATTATGCAGTGTTTCTTGCCTCCCCAGCGAGTATGACGACCCAACAAATGGTGGCCAGCCCCCAATCTCCAATGGTTTCTCCCACCGCAGGGACCTGCATGCAAAGTTGACGATCATGGATTTCTTCTCTGCCGCCGAATCTGGTCTGCTGCGTCTATAACCTTTTGCATCTCGGCTGCTTCAATCGCATCGAAAGACAGAATGCATTTGGAACCCTCCAACTTCACGAAGGCATTAAATGAGAACTTGATATCTTCGACATCGACTTTCATATCAGCTGTGATATTGGCAGAGGTGAAATGAATGTGGGAGAAGTTTCCTTTGTACTTCGACATGTCCGTCTCTAAAATCAAATGGGTTGTTTTCACCCGCCTTGATGTCATTCCGACAATTAGAAATACAGCCGTACTCGCCATCAGCGGCAGTTCCAGGCGCGTTAGTGGCCGAGGTAGAATACCCTGGCTGTATCCTAGATTATCGCAGCCCCACTAGCCCCGTGTCTTATTGTTGAAAGACTCAATATCATTAACAGAATTTGGTTGTCCGTAGCAATTGTAGAGCAGGAGCCATCGGCAGTGGTTTTGTAGGTCAAACGGGTACCATCTGCCTCCGGTTTAGGCTTAAGATCGGGCACGTCGCTCTTGGAAGAGCGAATATTTTGTCCTGGAGATAAATTTGTACAGACTTTTTTATGGCCTTCACTGGTCCATGGACGATGATTATCTCAATGTGTGTAGACATAACCCGACAGCCACCAAGCCCTGATATCAAGCCAACTCGGGGGCCAAAAATCTACCTACACATGAGCTCCGAAGCCAATCGAATTCAAAGATACACCATATCCTCGACTAAGACGAAAATTAATACCAAGATACTTCCAACTAAAACCCCTCAAATGGTGGAAAGTATGCCATATCAACCACTACTCCCCAGGCAATATTGAATCGTTAACTAACGATTAAACCTGTCAGGGAAAACACAAAAGAATCCCCCAACCCCCAACCCCCGAAAATAGAGCACCTCCAACATGATCACTAAGGAAAATACACACCAATTCCCACCACTGACAACCGACACCTACAAACAAGTCACAGCCGCACGACCAACCCCAATCGAGCGCGACAATGGCGACTGCACAATTGCAGGTCGATGGCGGAGATTGCACATTAGAGACCAGCGACCGGGACTGTACACTTGAAGTCGATAGACGCCGCGAGAATTTGAATAATGAAGCTGTCAATCGTGACCAAGCAGAAGCAGATGAGTGTGGGAACGGGAGCCCCGAGCTTAGTGCTCCCGTGCAGCGCAAGCGGAGACCTGATCGGAAATGTTACATTTGCGGTGGTGTTGCCATTGTGGTTCTTTAAATTGTTATTATTGTGCCCGCGATAGTTGCTACGAAGAATTGAGTTGATTTACTTTTTTTTCTGGGACACCCTGACGATGTTGGGTTGTTTGAACTCGGCATTGGAGACTCGATGCTTTTAAAAGACATTTAAAAAGACATCGCGAGGCCGTATAAGCGGTGTTTATCCTTGTAAGTATAGAAATTAAAAATAGTATCCCCCAGGTGGCACGCCCGTAGTTTTGTTATTACTACTCGAAATATTATTTTTTGGATTTCTCTATTACTGTCTACTCGTAAGTCTAGTCTACTCGTAAGTCTATGCAAGTGATCAATCTAGCTTCGTACCAGCGATGTAGATTTATGCCGTATCTGATGTCCAATGGTTGCTGAATAATATACTAAGTAGTACACTAAACAGCATGTAGAATCTTGGATTTTGGAATCTTCACACGTGTTCGTTTGAAGTATTCTTTTTTAGTCTAGGACATACGAGTAGCCAAGAAAAGACATAACTGGAACGGGTTCATGACTAGCTAAGAGCGACGCGGTACATGCACACACAAGAACCTGGATCGCCATGCGTTATACTGCTGCTGCAAATGGAAGCCTTGGAACATAGCTGCTGGTGAACAGATGAATCTATCCCATATACTATGGGACAAAGGCTCATATCTAAAGGTCCAAGGGTCACATCACAACCAGATACAACATAGTAGTAGAAATGCAACCAAAGCTAAAAGCTTTAGTTCGGTTTGGAGACAGTTGTGCCTCCCGAGACCACAAGTGGCCCATTGCTAATGGCGGAATTTCCATTGCTGCTGTACGTTGGTGCTGGGGCCGAGGCCGTAACGGGTCGGTTTTTCAGATCAAAGTCGGAGGGGACTTCGGATGGCGGGGGTTTAGGAGGAAGATGGGCTGGCGTACCCCATTTTGCGATAGAGTCTCGAGGACCGGTGGGCACTCGGTTGGGAACCATAGCCGGGGCTGAGTCTATGGTCCGGTTAGGGGCGGGATCCGGATACCCGTTCCATTGTTGCTGGACACCAGATTGCATGTTACCATACGACTGCATTGGGTATTGGCCTTTGTTCGGGTGACGCCCGGGAGGAGCACCGCCGGGGATGAATGAGCGTGTCTGAGGGTTGAAGTGCGACCTGGCATATCCTGCTTGCATTACTGCGTGGGAGCCAGCAGAATTTTGGAGAGCAGGATTCATATGTTGTCCAGGGTATTGAGCATAAGGATAGGCGCCCATATTAGATGGCATATTGGGGCTCATGCTAGGACCCATGTTAGAGCCCATGTTTGAATTCATGTTTGAATTCATGTTGGGCGGCATATTGGAAGCCATTGGCTGCTGAGGATAGTTGGGCCAATGGACAGGCAGTCCATTTCGCTGGTGCGGGGACTGCTGGAAATTTGGAGGGAAAGGAGCCGAGTTCCAATTGGGGGGTTGTTGGTACGGCGTCACATTGGGCACGGCATAGTTGTTCATTGCCGGCGAGGATGCGTTCGAGGACGGCTGGTTCATCACCCCCGGCTGATTCATCGAAGCATACCCGGAATATGGCGATTGCTGCGGCATGTTCCCTCCTTGCCACGAGCTATTGGAGGCCATCTGGGGTGACATTGCCACGGGATACTGGGAGACACCATTCATATTCATGTTCAGTTGCCCAGGGTACATGGCACCATTCTGACCAGATGGCATGTATCCGCCAGAGGGGGGCGGCACGCCAGGTCCGACCAAGTAAGGTACTTGGTTTGGGTATGCGCTGTCATTTACAGGAGCATTGTACTGAGCAGCGCCATTTCCATATTGCATCCCTGGGTAATAGGCATTGAATTGCGAGCGAACCTCAAAGCTGTCATCATGAGGAGTTCGCTGCCTCTGGTTCTTCTTGCGGCCGTTCGCCGAGCTAGAGCGTGACATGTTGGGATTCGAGTCACCGCTGGCCGGATCCGATTTGGCACTGTCGGGGAAATCACGGAAAATTCTTTCACGCACTTCATGGTATTTTGCTTCCCGTTCCTCTCTCGTCAAAGCCATTCGATCTTTAGCAGGCGTGGCGCCGGATGAAGATCCGTGGCGTTCTCCATCTGGTCCACTATCCCCATCTTCCGAGTTGGCCTTTGAAGGGTTTGACGAACCTCCAACACTTCCTTCGAATTGCCCTCCATCGTTTCGGCGCATGATTTTCATTGCTGGAACAGCTGGTGGTGGAGTGCTATTGCAAGCAGCATGCACAGCAGACAAAGGAGTAGGTAGCCGGCAGAACGGTGTGCGATGAAGCCTGACCGATGTCACATTATTGTCGACAAAATGTGTCAAGTGATAGTAATCCCCCAGCTTGTGTGCAAGAAGGCGCCCAAACGCGTTCGAGGGGGGCAACTCCAAGGATTGCTCATTGCAGTCCTTGATAAAGTATCGAATCTTTTCCTCCAGTTGCAGGATCAGGAGCCGATCTTTCGGGGATTTCATTGCCTCTAGGAGTTTTTCATCCGGCTCCAAGGGAAACCCGTGTAAGATCTGGCCATCTTCAATGCCATCGGAGTTGGCTGGGATCACAAAATTATTCGCGACCGAATCTGGAGGAATTGCACCATTTACCGGCTGGGTGCCGTTAAAGAGAGGAGGCACGGGCAAAATCCCGCGTGGGCGTGTAGGGATGCCATCTCGATACTGATCGCGAAACGCACGACTGCCGGCTTCAGAGCCTGCCACTGAGTTCGGAGCCCCAGAAGCAAGACCAGAAAGCGACTCCTCTTCATCAATGGCTTGGACACTAGCACTGTCATCGGGACGTACAGAGTCCTTTTCATCCATTGCAAATGTCGTCACCGAGGCAAGACTCTTGGAATCGAAGTTGGTCATTTTGGTGGATGAAGTAGAAAGGTGAGTGCGATCATCTTCAAAAGAGTTTTCCCGCTTCAGCATGCCATTGTTTTGGCCACCAATGAAAGAGCCTGAGCCATCACTGTGTTTCTTCAAGGTGAGGCCAATATCCTGCACACCTCTCCCTAGATCATCAACAGCTAGATCAATGGAACTAGCCTCTGGTGTTTTATCGAGATTATGCTGGCTGGGCAAAGCTGCACCGGAGCCATTTGCTTCTGATCGAGGTGATTGTTCTGCTGGCTGGCATATTTCGCTTTCATCAGATACCGAGGAAGAATGTTGGTTGAGGGGCGCGGGCATAGCAGCAATCTTGTCAGAATTAGCGATGGCCACGAGGTAGTGGAGTAAACCATTGGCTTACCTTTGCAAAGGAGAGAGGGCCGTCTCCACCTGGGGGACTTTTTGATGCCATGATAACACCCCGCGCGGGATGGTCACTGAGACTGGTTAAATTTCACTAAAAAAAGGGAAAATCCGAGATCAAGTCAGGTAGCAGCTGCACTCAGCACGCTTCGGATTCACAAATGTGAAGAAGGTTGAAGCTTGTTTCGTTGGAAGTAATGTCGCTGCGTAATTTCGTTTCACACAAGCCCAAAACGAAAGACATATCTCTGGGGTAGGGCAATCGCCATGGAGAAAGCTGTGGGAAATGGGCATTAGCATCATGCAAGGTATATAATGAGGAGATCCACAAGGTCGATGAGGAGAAATATCCACTTCAATGAAGCAGGACATTTAGGCAGATCGGGCAACGGGGCCTTACATGATATCAAAGCTGGCTCATAGTCAGCGAGATGAAGATCTCGTACTGAGTTTTGAGGGGATTCCAGATCCGGTAGTTATTTGAAAAGCCGATCAACTCTGGATCATCCGTCCGAGATGGATGACGTGAGTGTTGACAATGAACCCCGAGATCAAGAAGGAGCGTTGGGAATCCGAATTCTGATTTCTTGATTGCCTGAAGATTCGTGGGCATTATGCCGCGCCTGACCGCCCTTGGCGCGCGCCTACAATTTCCCTTGGGCTTCAAAGGTTAACAGCCGCTAACTTGCGCCGATCAGCTTTACGTCGGATATTGCCTTTGATCCTCATCGTGGGTGTGCCAATACCCCTATTCTGGTCTCAAAGTACCCGCCAATCCAGGATTTTACATGAACCCACAACATCACGAGCTCCAATGAACCGATATCGAAACGCCCCGAAGCTCGGAGGCTCCAACTCCAACAGGGCCACTGCGACCACACTGTGCCAGAAATGCCTCGGACGAGATATGTACCCTCTTTCACTTAATGTCAGACGTTTGACTAACTCTGACTCACGACACTACAGTTTTGATTGCAAGGCATCCGCACAAGAGCGCCCATACATCCCACGACCTTCAAGGACCCAGCAGCTACTGAACCCAGAATTGATGCCCAAGCTTTCAAGCGAGAATCCAAATGAGCTGTTACGGAAGTAAGTTCGCATGGATACTTGTCATTTCCGCACATTTCCTTTTTGAAGAATATTCGCTAACTTGAATAAAGAGAGGGTGTAGCGGATGAACTACTTGCTACCCGGGAGGAAGAGCGTGGCCGGAAAAGAGATCTTGACGATATGACAGATCGCAACGTTCAGTCTCGGGCTAGGTCCCTCTCAGTGGAAACGATATCCACAAATCGATCATATTCCTCATCTCCCCGCCGTAACAAACATGGCACAGCCGACAGGGGTCGCCGAGATGATTCATCAGCACCACCTGCAAAATCCCGAAAGAGACGCTACAGTGATTCTACAGAGGGTTCTTCGGGATCAGTCCACTCGGGACCGAAGAACCGCTCACCCTCCAGGGAGCATACCGATGACCGAAACACCCGGCGACGGAGACGAGAATCTAGCCCGGAAGAACGAGGCCGTCACCGTGGATCAGGAAGACATAGCGAGCGAAGAGATCGCCGAAGCAAGAGTGCGGATAAGGATCGAGTGAAAGAATCACGTGCTACGACTCAGGATGTTCCCCGGGACTGTTCATATCGTGATCGAGGAAGCCCACCACGCCAGTCTCAACCTGGACGGTCTAGGCCTGAACCCATAACTCAGAAGAACCAGCCTCCACGGGAACGAAGTTTGAGTCCTTTCAGTAAGCGCCTTGCTTTGACTCAGGCCATGAATAACGGACGGTAAATTGAATTGGAAAACAAGTGCTCTGCAACATTGGAGTTTTTTACGGCGCAAAATCCTGATGGGGGACACGGCCCCAATCATGTTCCATCAGTATATGACCAAGTGTATCATTAGCATCCCCATTGCGGAGTTTGAAAATATCTGTCACTTGGCAGGGAACTAAAACCGAAAAAAGGAAGGGGGAAAAAAAAAATCCAATAATGAATTTTAAACGACACTAAGATAGACATGTTCATTGAGAATTTTGAGTTGTAAACCTCCCAACGCCTCATTTTTGTGCGCAATATGCCCATGGCATCAATTAGACGCCTCAACCAAGACAACAAAAAAGGAATAAGGTAAATGGACAGAATATAGACAATTACAGGTGGAGGCAGAAGACCTAGAAAACGCTCACATTCCTGCAACAAAGGGTATCACGTTCAAATCGTTTCTTCGTCGCTCTTCTCTTCCTCTCGTTCGCGCATATGGATGCCCTCAACGAGCGTCTGACCCTCCATGCCCACTTCCTCTCCCTCCTCATCTCCGTCAGACTTGGCCCCACGTGCCTTTGCAGCATGCTGCGCCTCCTCTACCCGCTGTCTTAAGAGGCGGGCAATTGCATTGTCCGTCCGTACATCGAGAGTCTTGAGCTTTTCGTCCAGATCACGCTTCAAGTCCCAGTTGGGTTTCTTAGGTTGTAGTTTGAGTAGATCAACGGGCTCGTCGGCACCTGTGTCCTTCTTGGTTTGCTCCGCTGTGGCCCTTGCAATCTCAGCCGCCTGTTTTTCCACTGTCACCTGGCCCTCTTGCGGGCCTTGCTCGAAGCCCAGTTTAGGCCCGCGGGTCTCGGCGTCGTAGTTGCGGCCGGACAGGTACTTTGTGGTCACATCTGGCGTGGCGTCGGCGTCGGGCAGCTCCTGGTCTTCCGCACTGGGCTCGTTTGCCTCTGGCTCGGGTTGCTTGCGCTTCAGAGCTGCGAGCTTGGCGAGGCGGGCTTTGCGGTCGGTGGATGCCGCATCAAGATTGGCATGGGTTGACGACATGTTTTCGAATGATGGTCGGACTGATGACGGAGAGGATATATTGGCCTGAGGACCAGGAAATAAAGTGACTGAAGTGACCGGAAGAAAGTCCCAAGCTCCTCCGCGGCTTACAAGTTGAAGATGATCGAGCGATAAAAGTAGATGTGGTGCGCCACACACTAGCCACGGCAAAATCGGGCGGAATAGTGGAATTCAACTTTCTGTCATTGGACTTTGACTACTTTCTCCACGCGCCATACTTTGACTTATTTTCTTCGTCTTGGTCTTTCCCACCCAAATGTTTGTCGACAAAAGCTCCTGAATGTCATCGTGTCCGTACCAACTCGTTCGGTCCCGTCTCAACGGGTTGCTCTCACCACAATGTCGGAGCCCAGGCCGATGGTATCGGGAGTCGGGGACGGCGAATGTCAGTCATAGAGCGCGCTTTTCCACACATAATGCTCTAGCAATCTTAGAACCTGGCATAACACATGATGCCCCTGACTCCATATCATATCATCATAACCGCGATTCGACGGACAGTTTATATCCGCCGACAAGTGAACAATCAGATGAGCTCGCAACGAATCGGTATGGCATGGGCCTTGGACAATCAAAACCTTCCAACCAACCACGAAGATCATCGCACACACCAATTATAACGAATGATAAAATGAAAAAGGTTGCCTATGTGCGACAAGCTGATCCCAAGCTTGTGGCCATGGCGGCTGAGAGAGTCAACCGCGAAATCCTACACAACGGTAGACACTTGACCGATCGAGGGTTGTACCTGGCGCTTGCAATGCGAATGAATTCGCTTTATACGCGTGAGCTGGGGCTCCGTCAGTGGAAGCAGGCATACGGAGCAGTTCACACGGCTAAGACACATGGCCATGAGGTCTTAAACAAATCTGCATTGCCAAAGCTGGGAGAAGATGGCGAGCAACTGCTGGCTTTGCTTCTCGATGACTGCCAAGGCAAGTTTCGAGAGGCGTGGCTGGTAATGAACCGCTCTAACAGGGCCAGGGCCTGGCAACGCCTGGCCATTTGGCTGCTGCAAAATAACCCTGCAATGGCCTTGGAGTTTTTACTCGTCACAACCGAGCCTCGAGATAAACCGGACTTTACTATGGTTGTCGATTGCTTGGCCTACTTGGAAAAATTCCATTACGATGAGCTCCGGGATTGGACGAAGGGTGCCCATACATTTGAGTCGGTTGTTGAAACTTCCCTCGATCCGAGGGACTGGCCAATTATCTCCCCGCCACAAAGGGGTATACGGTTCTATATTCGCCGAGCAGGGTTCTTGGGTGTCTACGAGAGTTTCCGTTTAATGAACGAGCGAGGCATCACGATGCAAGCGCAAACAGCACTTTGCTACATGTACCGATTCACAGAGCTGAAGGACGTGGAATATGCCCTCAGAGCCCTCGAATTCATTCCCAAAATCAATGATCCTGAATTTTCCATGGACTCTGAAGGAGTCCTGCGACACTGTTGCAAGCTTCTGACCCTGGACACTGTTGAGGATAACGCCGGAGGACGCAACTTCCGGATCCTCCCACGGCTTCTCAAAATGGGTGTCCAGCCAGACCGAGACATGATGAATCTCGTGCTTGCCAATGCTTACAAAACCGGTGACCCTCAATTGGGGTCGGACATGCTTCAGTTCATGAAGAATCACCACCATGAATTTGATTCTTATACATACTTGACTCTCCTCACCGATGCAGTATCTCGAGGCGACCGGGGCCGTGTGGACGAGCTGGTGCGGGAAGTCGAGATGCAAGAGGAACTACGAAACAACCCATACATTTTCAGCAAAATCTTCCACGCCCATTTCACATTTACCGCCAAGCATATTGACCCCGAGAGCGATCCCTCGGGAGTGTTTTACTCTATGCTCGACATGTACAACAAAATCCACGACATCACACCGCTTAAAGAACTCCTTCTACTCCCTCCCCAATATACACCGCCGCCAACTCAAGGACTTGAAGTCAAAACCCCACCTTCCCCCGTATCCTTGTACCTCATGATCGCGACATTTTTCCGTTGCAGGAATCGGATATCGCAAGTACATCACATGTACGACAGATTCCGCGAGCTCGTGCAGCAGGGTCACCCATCCATCGCTCCTCTGGTTGAAACTGACCACGTCTATAATGAATTCCTTATTGCCTTCCGCAAGAGCAGCCGTGGACTACGGTCAAGCATACGTCTCGTCGAAGACATGCTTGACGCATCTGCCATGCCGAAAGAGACTACTACTGGCAAGCCTCTCAAGCACATTATGCCCACGCCCCGCACTTGGACCATTCTCCTCAGCGCCTTTAATTACAGTCGCCAGCCCGATGCAGCCGAGAAAGTCAAGGAGATGATGGCCAAGCACGACGTGAAGTACAATCAGGTGACTTGGAACACCATCATCAACGGATTCGCGAATGCACAGGACATCCCTGAGACTGCTAGTGCAATCACGAAGATGGAAAAGGAAGGCTTTGCCATTGACCATTACACGATGAAGAGTCTACGTTATCTCCGTGACCCTGAACGCCTCTGGGTGGCGATCGAGGAGATGGATGAGGGCCGTGACTCGGATGGAACCCATAAGCTTCTCACTCTTGAGCCCGCATCTGATGTGCACAGTGATCAGATAAAGCACGATGAGCTCATTGACAATGGCTTAGAGAAGTTAGAGTCAAAGTTGAAGCCTAAGATGTAAGATAGGATACCCTTTTGTCTTTTATTGTCGCCTTTTGTGGGCAAAGCAACCTGGGAGCCACTTTGGGCGCATAGGTGTTGAAGAAGTGGCTTTGGACTTTTTTTGTAAATTTGAATATCATGTACTATACATTGCATCATCATGAACTTGTTCGTTTGAATGTCTCATTGCATCTGGAGACTGTCACATGGAGTGGAAATACTAAACTCATAATCCTCACTCCAAGGTTACTTGAGGTTTGATCGTCATGAAGTCGGAGACACCACACAACCTATTGATACTCCATTGATCTCCATTGTTCCTTATTGATACCCCATGGAAACTCTCCTCAATCACCCATTGATATTTAAGCAAGGTTAACCACCGAAGAAGATCGAGACCTGCATGCAACATCAGCATCTCTCTTCATACATCTGGACTTGTGGAAGAGGGAACTTACTGCCATCACGACACAGCATATGCTGACGTACGGGCTGAGTCGCTCTCCAACTCGAGCACACTTCCAGAAGATCCCAAATATTCTACATCAAACCAACTGTCAGTCTCCACACTATCTTTCTCCATCCCCAGATCCGAATCCTCAAGTGAGAACCTACCCATTCTGGTTCCGGTCCATAATCCCCGGCATTATCGAGTGCGCATAGCTGCTCGTGCAGATTATCAAGAGAATCACGAGAAGCAACGACTGAAAGTTGAAAAGAGCGGACTAGGTGAGTGTGACAGTTAGCACATTGTGACCATACTGTCATTGTGGTTCCGACGCAAACACAGAGTCGCATGTTCTCCCCACCACAGAGCAGTCGCTCCCATCAACCCTGCCATGTGCATAAACTTACCATTTTGTGCAGCTGTGAAATCTTCGCCCGCCAGATGGGCAAAGAAACAGAATTGCGACAGTAAGTTGCCAGATAGCTTGCATGTGCCAAGGTTGCTAACCAACCCCAGTCTAGCATATTCTGCCCGTCATGTCCGCCAAACGCACGGGGCAAGCGCCCAAGCGGGTATCGTTTTCGCTGCCGAGCCAGAGCCCATCTCCGCTACCTTCTACGCCAACTCCGCAACGCATCTTGCCAAATATATACAGTGGATTGCATACTCCAGACACATCAAACTCAACTCCAGACGCTAGCTTCCAGTCTACAAACACCGCCTCACCCACTCCAAACCGTCGCCTGCAAATTGCGAACACATCCTCTCCCACTCTAAAAGCGCGTATCCAGACTCCGAACACAGCAACTCCAACTTCAAACTCTGTCTCGCCAACTTCAACCCATCACTTGCAAATTCTAAACACCTCCTCATCCACTTCAAAGTCTACCTCATCCAACCCGATTCGCAATCCGTCGCGCCAGCCTAGCTCCAAAAACCTTGTCTCGAAGCTCTCGCCAAATTGGTATTTCAATGAGCAAGACACAGCGCTAATCCGCGCCGGATACGAACCTCAGTGGACTCCCAAGCCAACTGACACGACATCTACCTACGCTGGAAAGGGCAAGAAAGGGTCCGCAACCAAATCCGCCATGGCTGAACCACGTGCACGTATGGCCCGACACAAGGGCCAAATGAACTTCCAGAATGAGCGTAAGTTCCCGTGGCCCACACGCATCCATCAATGGAAGCTACCAATCAAGCTTAATACTGACCATTTTCACAGTCCGTCTGCTCCTTCTCGCTTATGGCGACCCTAGCCCGCACCCGAGCTTCCCGAACGAACCACTTCCCGAGACCGTCCGTGTGCTGGACGAGATTGTCACCGACTTCGTGCTTGAACTCAGCCACGGTGCTGCGCAAGTCGCGCACCACGCCCGCCGCCAAAAGATCAAAGTTGAGGACTTCCGCTTTGCACTGCGTCGCGACCCCAACAAGCTCGGCCGTGTACAGGAGCTGTTGCGCATGGAACGTGAATTGAAGGAAGCCCGCAAGGCATTTGACCAGAATGATGACCAGGTTGCCAAGGAAGCTGGAAAGAAGGGTGCTGCCGCTGCGGCGGCGGCTGCTGCAGCTGGTGAGGATCCTGTAGCTGCTGAAGCTGCTGCTACTGCTACTGTTACCAAGAAGAGCAAGGGCAAGGGCAAGAGAGGTGCTGCGACCCGCCGTGGATCTGATGCGACTGAGGAGTCGGTTTCGAAGAAGCGTAAGACGATTGGCTGAATATGCACCCTTGATAGCCCCACCTACACCTGTCGTATGGGTGGGTCACGACGAACATGACTTAATACCCAAACTGTGTTTCTTTTCTACCAATCAATGTACAATTACTTTTTAACTACCATGCAATAGCCAGAGAATGCAATGAGAATGGATGCTTGAATTGCAATGCTCACTTGATTTACTTTAAAAAAAAGTAAGACCAATACCACCACTTGCAAACTTGCGGCTGTCCCACTCGTTCGATGTTAAGCCGCCAATCTTATAGTACATACATCATTTCACCCCAAGGTCCCATTAATATACTGTCAAGATCGACCACTTGGACGTCCCAACCTTGACCGCAACGATAGGAACCTAGCTTGATCACGTTCTTTACGTTTTGACCAGAATAGTCTTTCTTCTACTTCACTTAAGCCATCCGCTCATATATACTCTCAGCATGCCGGGCGTTGCCTTTCCTCCTATGACATGCTTGTTAGTCACAGAAAGATTGTCCCAAGGTTCAAGGGTCTCAAGTCCTTCAAATACTATCTCGCGTCCGTTTCCCAGTGCAGGTGAGCCAAAAATTGTCTCCGACGTGCCTTCTACCTATTAAGAGTTTTCATCCCGGATACTCGATGATTCTGTGCGTGCCCGGCAAGTCTCAGAACCTATGTCTAACCCTGAAGGTATCCAAGTACCTCCCGGTATCCATCTATAGTCTCGCCAATCCTGCCATAATAGAAAACCCTGTGATGTCACGATCGATGTTTTGAGAATACCCATCATGCCAACACCGATTTGCAATTGTATCGAACTATAGCTAAACAAGTAACTGTTCCGCTAATGCACAAGTTGGAGTATCACCTACAACGGAAGAGGAAGAGGAGATTATCCACGGCCAATCTGACACGAGTAAGTTATCAAAATATTGGCACTTAGAACCGCATTCGTTGTATAATTTATTTCATCACGGCATGTTGTTGCATAGTCCACAGATACTAATAACATGCCCACGGCCGGGATCGTCTCTATAGTGTCCCAATTCATAGTTAGTCAAATTAAACTATTTAAGGTTCGGGCCCGTTAATCTCCCTACGTACACCGTACGTATGTACATTGATAGAAATTGGTGCAATGCATAGAATTGTAGAGATATAAATTTGACCTCGGTGGGGTCAACATGTCTACTTCCGTCAACTGGTAGTTATTTCTTCCGTTTCCACTCGACGATGATATTGACCAAAGGGCGGGGACACAGGGCCCGTGTTCTTTTTAAGTATGGCTTTTAAAGCTTGAAGTAGCCATCCTGAACCAAGAGACGGAGAACGAAGAGGTTCATCCCAGGTCTATTTTGAACTTGATGAGATGTACAATGTCTAGCTGAGTGGCAGGTCTAGAACGCAGTATCAGGGTTGTCTATAAAAGAGACCCGTCAAGTCAATATTCTTCTTAGAGAAGATAACCACCTATCCTCATCTAGTCAATCAATATCCTTTATTATGTCTTCCGTAACATCACCGATCTTCCACTCGGGCAGCAAGTACTGGCTGCACATAAGCCACCGAATGGTCATGCTGGCCAATCATTTGGTTTATCCCGGGGGCACAGCTGGTTGCCGTTTTGTGGTCGACTGGTGAGAATTAAGAGTGCGTGGTAGAAGGGAGATCTAGCTGAGAATCACCCGGGGTCCCGTGGTCACATTGGTCGCCATAGACACTATATCGACTTGCAAATATTCCCAGGTAATAAAAGTTGGGTTGCTCGCACTCTATACAGACGATCGAGATAGAAATTAGCCAATGAGGAATAATATATCATTAGCGCCTGGGGCTGGGCAGCGGGGGTTGCTTACGAAGGGTTGCCTCAACCACCCCAGACGCAGAAACCTCCCAAAACTATGCGAATATCTTGCAAAAATTAGCCAAATCTTCATTTCTCCATCATGAATCGGAATACTCGAGAGTTTTCCCATTCAGACTACACCGTTGGGTGGATATGCGCGTTGCCGCAGACCGAGTTGGTAGCCGCTGGTGCCATGTTGGATGATGAACACCCCGTTCTTCATGCAGCTGATCCAAATGATATCAATTCTTATCTCCTGGGTAGGATCGGGGATCATAACGTGGTGATTGCTTGTTTACCTGCAGAGCAAACAGGAAAGGTTCCCGCTGCCACTGTAGCAAAAGACATGGTGCGCAGCTTCCCAGCCATCAGATTCGGATTGATGGTTGGAATTGGAGGCGGCGCGCCGTACTATAGATGGCAGAACGAAGGGAATATCGATGTCGATAAATCCGATGACTCTGAAGATGAGGACCCGGACGAAATCCAAGACATCAGATTGGGAGATGTGGTGATCAGCCAACATTCAAAGTCTTCGGAAGCCGTCATTCAATATGATTTTGGAAAGTCTATACAGAACCAGGAGTTTACCCGTGCTGGAGGTCAGCTGAACAAGCCCCCGGGAATTGTCTTGAATGCAGTCTCTATGCTGCAAGGTCAGCATGCACGGAAAGGCCACAAGATTTGCGAGCTACTTTCCAATATGCTTGCAAACAATCCACGGATGGAAAAGAGATTTAAGCACCCGGGATCAGCCAAAGATCAATTATTCAAGTCTGAAACTTGTCATGTCGCGGGAAAGAAGTGCGAGTCATGCCGCGGCCCTGATGATACGAATCTCGTGAAAAGAAAGCGGCGGTCGAGTGATGAGCCTCAAATACATTACGGAACAATTGGATCTGCAGATCAAGTGATGAAGGATGCCCTATTGAGGGACAAATGGTCACAAAGGGAGAAGATCAAATGCTTCGAAATGGAAGCTGCAGGTAAGTACTCAATACCATTATTTATAACCCTATTTCCTCACCTTCTTGGCCAGGACTCATGGACACACTTCCATGTCTTGTAATCAGGGGCATTTGTGACTATGCCGATTCGCACAAAAACAAGATTTGGCAGCCCTATGCCGCTGCTGTTGCCGCTGCCTACGCAAAGGAGCTTTTGCTCGGAATTCCAGGACAGGGTGTCCTCCTCTTGCCTCCGGTTGAAAAATGTAAGTAACATCTTGAGTTATCATCATACATTGGAAGGATTTCATCAGTGGTACTTTCTATACTTCAATTGCTATAGCTCTTAAGGACATTTCGGGCGGTCCTTTCAACTAGTTAGGCGTAGGGGCAAAGAAGCAAACGTTGACTTCTTATCGGCCAGTGATGACAGAGGTTCTACGACAACTTGAACAACTTGAGTTATGGCAAAAATCGGACAAAGAAACGGAATGTCTTCAAGCTTTTCGCACTACGAACTATGAGTACCAGAAGGATTTCAACCCAGACAAGGAAGAGGGAACATGCAACTGGTGCCTTCAAAGTCCAATATTCCGGAACTGGCAAGAAAATGACTCATCTTGTCTATTATGGATCACAGCAGATCCAGGCTGTGGCAAATCTGTTCTTTCCAAGGATCTTGTTGACAACCGTCTGTTTGGCCTCGAGTCTAGCGACACGACTATCTGCTATTTCTTTTTCAAGGACACATCACCCGAGACTCGGAGTCCTGCCAGTGCAGTGGCTGCCTTGTTACATCAGCTCCTGAAATCTAAATGTGGCCGGAAAGCCATGAGGCATGCGCTCCCAGCGTACCTTGAAAATGCAGATAAAGCATGCCAGAGTCTTCATACCATGTGGAAAATTTTGAGAGATATATCCCAAGATCCAGAATGTGGACGAACCATCTTTGTCTTGGACGCATTAGACGAGTGCGAAGTGACAGACCAGAAGGATCTCATCAGGCGGCTTAAAGGTCTTGAACGCAATGAGGAATCGCAGGGTTTGACGCACCGCCTTAAAATCCTTGTGACTAGCCGTCCATATTTCAACATCGAAAATGAGTTCAGAGAACTGATAGAGAATATTCCTGGGATTCGATTGCCAACCGAAAAGCTTTCCACGCAACTTCAATCCGAAATGAACCACGTTGTGCATGCTCGAATGTCCAAATTAGGCCCCCGGATTGTGAGGGAGACCACAAGAGATGAACTTCTTAGTGGGATACTGGCGACTGAGAATCGGACATACCTCTGGCTGGATCTGATATTCAAAATCATTGAAGAAATGCCACGAATAGACAGACAAGCAGTCAAGAGCCTGTTAAGAAATCTACCAACGACTGTGGATGACGTCTATAATTCCATTCTTCGCAAAGCCACAGACCAAGCTCAGGCCAAGAAACTGCTTCAAATCATCGTGGCGGCGACCAGACCACTTAGCCTTGATGAAGTCGGTGTTGCATTGACTATCACAGAGGAAACCCAGTGCTACGAAGATCTAGAGCTCCAAAGGGGTGAGCAGCTTGCGATAGCCGTCCGGAATACTTGTGGACTTTTTGTCCATATAGTAGATGAGACGGTCTTTCTGATCCACCAATCTGCCAAAGACTTCTTGGTATCCCTATCCGATGAAGTGTCGCCAATTGAGTCCAGCTGGAAGTACTCTATTTCGGTTTCCGAATCGGCGTTCCTACACACTTCGATCTGTATCCGCTTTTTATATCTTAAAGAGCTTGGAAAAAAGAAAGCGCCCCCGATTAGAGATGCTGAGGATTTGTGTTCCAGTTATGATTTTCTTGAGTACTCAGCAAATAATTGGGCAGTTCATTTTGGTCATATGACGATTGAATATCGCCATGAGTTTTTCCCTGCAGCTATCGAACTCTGTTCTGTCGAAAAGGATCGATATATGGACTGGGAAATTGCTGTTAGCGAGATTGGACGCTCTGTGGACCCTTCTCCTCTTCATATCGCATCATGCCTAGGGCTTGACATGATTGTTCAAACATTACTTGCTCGCCCTGATGTTGATGTCAACTGTATCACTAGTGATACTCGAACACCTCTATCTCTCGCTATACTTGGAGGCTATGAGGGCATTGTGAAGCTCCTTCTTGCTACTCCTAGTATTGATCTCAATCTCACTGATAGCTCTGGCTATCCACCTCTATCTCTCGCTATACTGCACGATCACCAGGGCATTGTGAAGCTCCTTCTTGCTACTCCTAGTATTGATCTCAATCTCACTGATAGCTCTGGCTATCCACCTCTATCTCTCGCTATACTGCACGATCACCAGGGCATTGTGAAGCTCCTTCTTGCTACTCCTAGTATTGATCTCAATCTCACTGATAGCTCTGGCTATCCACCTCTATCTCTCGCTATACTGCACGATCACCAGGGCATTGTGAAGCTCCTTCTTGCTACTCCTAGTATTGATCTCAATCTCACTGATAGCTCTGGCTATCCACCTCTATCTCTCGCTATACTGCACGATCACCAGGGCATTGTGAAGCTCCTTCTTGCTGCTCCTGATATTGATCTCAGTCTCGCGAATAGCTTTGGCTATCCACCTCTATCTCTCGCTATACTCCAAGGCTACGAGGGTATTGTGAAGCTCCTTCTTGCTACTCCTAGTATTGATCTCAATCTCACTGATAGCTCTGGCTATCCACCTCTATCTCTCGCTATACTGCACGATCACCAGGGCATTGTGAAGCTCCTTCTTGCTACTCCTAGTATTGATCTCAATCTCACTGATAGCTCTGGCTATCCACCTCTATCTCTCGCTATACTGCACGATCACCAGGGCATTGTGAAGCTCCTTCTTGCTGCTCCTGGTATTGATCTTAGCTTGGTCGAGGGGTTGGATTGATAGCTGCGGCCAGGTGGACAATGTTGGCTAGGCATAGCGCTGTAATATTACCGCCAGCTTCGTAGAGTCGAGCTTACTTCATGCTTTCAATGAACCTTGAGTCTGAGACTTTCAGAATCCAATGCTTTAGACAACCAGTGATTGCATGTTTATACACAACCGTGGAGATCGGTAAAGATGGGATACACTATAGTTATTAGAGCTTCTGTTCCTTTCTTCAGAGCTCCAACCGTCCTTTCCCCTTTTCATCCGACGAAACTCGAACCAATCGGATTTGCTATCCAATCAACCGAGTAGGAAAGGAAACCATGTAATCAGTTACAGGTTTGTCAAAGGGGCGCAAAGGCGTAAACTTGTATAAAGCTCCGGTGCTTCTAGAACGTCAAGTCGTCTAAGCGACTTAGAAAAGCCGAATGCGTTTGTATATTCGGCCCAATAGGCACCCTCGTCGCTACAATATCATTCAGGATTGAGCAGCTCAGAATATATTCCAAAGGATGATTAAAGTTGTATCAAGAAACCCATGGTTCATATGCAATAATTTGGATACTGCTTGAACACATCCAGCAACTAAAAAAAGACATGCACCATCCGGAGCTGGAAGTACAGTGGATAGATCAACATACTTACTGCCCATAGTAGCAGCGCTCTCGATAATATCAGTGACGCGTACGTACACGTTGGAGAGGTGCCGAAGATCAAATATCAGTTGTGGCTACCTGACCATGCGTACCAGGACTGTCGAGTAGCTAGGTAGTTTGCAGATCGTATCACAGGTGAATTTTGTGCCGACTACCCAAGAGATATGGCAGGCCACTAGCCTCGCACCGAATACAGGCTGGGCACAGGTCACTGAATCATCCTAGTGAATATAACTGGCTATCGTGTAAACACGTAGCCTGTCTACATATGTATCTGTACTTTGAGAACCATGGCTGGAGTAGTAAATGATGGGATATACAATACGAAGAAGCTCTAGAACTTTTATGTCCATTTCATCATAACTGAAAACGCCGCGCCTAGAAAGATGCGACTTCGTAAACCGGAGAGATTGGCTCTCAGCAGACCCATCTCTCATCTTCAACAGTCTAGACTCATCACCCCCGAATATTCTCTATCGAACGGTAACGACATCGTCACCCTCATCAACCACCACACGTTATACCAATCGTATTGATATTAAATCGGTCTCAATACCACAACACCAAGTGCTGAAGACCGTGTCTGGACGTCAAGACAGACCGAGTCCGGAAGCCGTTGATGGGACGTGACCAGGCCGCAGTCCGTGAGCTTCGGAGAGAACATGTAAGCCTCGCGAGGAAAAAAAAAAGAAGCCGGAAAAAGGAAAAAAGGAAGAAGGCGGTAGAGGGATAGTAAACAAAGAAGCGAAAGACCCAAAAGTAATAACGTCAGGGGGGGTGAGATAGAAAGGGAAGAGAACGTGAGAGACATCGACGTTCACTTGAAGGGATATGTTCCTCTCGCAATTGATCACATTATGCATCAGCGTTTTTTTGCTGTGGGAAACCTCTCATGCGCGGGCTTCCTCGTTGCGGTCCTGGCGTGGGCGGCCGCCTTGTTGGCCCTTGCCGCCACGCTGGTTGCGCTGCTCGCCGGTAGCGGGGCCGTCGCCGCCGCCGCCGCCGCCTAGGGTAAGCTGGGCGGTTGCTAGCCGGGTGGAAAGCTCCATCTGTGTGCGCACGGTGTTGGCGAGGTAAGAAACGACCAGGACGTCCTGGATGTGGTTGTTGCTGTGGAAAGTTAGTGATAAGGAACACCGGGGAATATAATGCAGGTTCAACATACAAGTCACGCTCAATGTCGGCGGCCTCAACCTTGGGTGCGAGAGCGAGAGCGTTAAGCAGGAACTGACCCATGGCGGTGGAAGCGGGGGTCTCCTCGTCGATCACGGACTCGACATAGCGCGAGACACGGTCAACCATGGACAGAACCTCCTCAATGGCGCGCTCCAGAGACTCAATGTCGGAAGTGACAGAAGTGGAACGGTCCTCGGCATCCTTGGCGTTGGCGATGGACTCAAGACCGCTCTTGTCGGCCTCGCCGTATCGGAGCTCGTAGGGAACGGGGATGAAAGCAGCGCTGTCGGCAGCACGCTCAGCGGTGACACCAACGGGGGCGGAAATGTAGGCGCGGGTCTCGAGATCCTTTCCAGCCTCAGTGGAGACAGTCAGGTGGACAGCGGGGTGAGGCCAGGTACCATCACCCTGGCCGCTGTAGAAGTTCTGGATCAAAGCGGAGAAAGTGTTGAGTTCGGAAGCAGTGGCGTACCAGCCAACCAAGACTTCGCGGGGGTTGGCCTTCAGGTGCAAAGCGAGCATCTGCTTGTGGTATTCCATATCGACTTCGACCTGGTCCTCAGCCTCGGAGTGGCCGACAGCGAAAGCGGATCGGACCTCGACCTCACTTCCATCCTCAGATCGTGTTCCGAGGAGTGTACCGATGACTCGCTCCTGGTCGGCATTGCGGCGAAGAGAGTGGTCGAGAACTGAGAAGATTGCCTTTGAGAGAAATGAGCTTTACCCCTCAGATCATATAGCACACATATCGCAACATACCTGGGGTTGAATGACCACGTTCAGAGGGGCAGTGGTAGGAGCGGTCCCCACGCTGACGGGGCCGAGGGGGCGAGCGAGATGAAGGAAAGAATCTTCGGCCATGATTAATTTGTGTGATGGAATACCTTGCAAGTTTCAAGATCCAAACTTCCCTTCGTTTCTCGGAGGTTCAATTTTTCCTTGGAAGTGGAGTGAGCCGCTCTGATTGTTCCGATTCTGTTGTGTGTGGGAAATTTCGCGCTAAGATAAGATAAGCCCCCAAAATTCTCATTTCGGCCAGAACAGCTTGAAATTGCCCAACCTTTCTAGTTATACCCTGAAATATGCCTGCTCCTCGTGGTGGTTCTTTTAGAGGAGCTCGAGGCCGTGGTGGCCGTGGTGGCAGAGGTCGAGGTCGCGGCGGTCGTGGTGGTCGTGGTGGTCACAACTCCTTTGCCACCTCGAGATTGAACGAGTCCGAGTAAGTCTTCTCCCAGTCTGATGGTCTTCAATGGCTTTATCTAATTGCTACTAGATCGGATGCTTCTTCTGGAGAAGATGATGCTAGCGAGCAATCCGAAGAGGAATTGGGCGATGACACACTCATGGATGAGGGCGCCTCCAGCAGCGAGGAAGAAGACGAAAATACTGAACGCCCATACAACGAACTCCTCCAGCTACTTCAACCCAATGAGTCAAACGGACCAGCTCGGAAGAAGCGCAAGATCGCCACCGACTCCAATGCTGAGATTCAAATGGCAGAACCCGCAGAGGAACCAGAGCCGGGCGATGACGACTTGGAAGCCCAAGCGCCGTCCGACGATGAAGAGGAGGAAGCAGACGAGGACGAGGACCCAACTGCTGCTTTTGAGAAGCACTTCGATCTCCGCGATAGTGCAGATTTGACCAAGCAGATTGAGCCTATCCAATCGAACAAATGGGCATCCGTTAAAAAAGAGATCGATGGGCTACGGCTGGTACATACTGTCCCTGACACGGGAGCAAACAGCGCATCAATCCTTCCCCCAATGAAGAGCACAACCAATATCAAGGTATGCAGAATAGCCACAGGTTTTGTGCTGCCTTCAATACTAACATGCCATCGCGCAGCTCAAACAAAAATTGAAGTCTCGTGCGGCCGAGATCCTGCCTAAAATCACCGGTCAAGCCCAAATCATCGCGCCATATGTGTTCGACTACCAAGACGTTCTCTACGGTGCCCGCACTACTTCCAACGCAAATGAGATGCGCGAGATGATTGCTTTGCACGCCGTCAATCACCTGCTGAAGACCCGAGACCAAGTCCTTAAAAACAACGCCCGTTTATCCAAGGACCCGGACACCGACATCGAGTGCCGTGACCAGGGATTTACCCGACCTAAGGTTCTCTACATCCTGCCCACCCGACAGGCATGTGTTAAGGTTCTCGATGCGATCACTCGGATCTATCAGCCCGAGCAGCAAGAAAACAAAAAGCGCTTCACCGACTCATTCTCAGCACCAAATGATGATTCCTGGGAACACAAGACCGAAGATTTCCGTGAGCTTTTCGGCGGCAATGACGACGACATGTTCCGACTGGGTCTCAAGTTCACGCGCAAGACAGTCAAATATTTCGCTCAATTCTACAGCTCCGACATCATCCTAGCCAGTCCACTGGGTCTGCGTACGATCATGGACCAATCCGACGTCAAGAAGCGTGACCACGACTTCCTCTCCTCAATCGAAATGGTGATCGTCGACCACGCCGACGCCCTTCTCATGCAAAACTGGGACCACGTCGACTACATCTTCCAGCACCTGAACCTGCAACCGAAACAAGCACACGGCTGCGACTTCGGCCGCGTCCGCAACTGGTACTTGGACAACCAAGCCCGTCACGTCCGACAAACCGTAGTGGTCTCATCCTGCATCACCCCCGAGATCAACGCCCTCTTCTCATCCCAGATGCAAAATGCCTCGGGCCGCCTCAAGGTCACACCCACCTACGCCGGCGCCATCACCGAGCTCCCGCTCGCAGTCCCCGTCAAGCAAACCTTCACCCGCATCGACAGCACGTCCCCCATTAAAGACCCCGACGCGCGCTTCAAGCACTTCACAACAACCATCCTGTCCACCCTGGTGAAGAACATCACACACGGCCGTGGCAAGGGCGGCGCCGGTACCCTCATCTTCATCCCCTCCTACCTCGACTTTGTCCGCGTGCGCAACCACTTCGCTACCTCTACGCAGACAACCAATGTCTCCTTTGGCGCTATCTCTGAGTACACTGAGCCGAAGGAGGCTAACCGTGCCCGCAGTCATTTCGTGTCCGGCCGCCACTCTGTGCTACTGTATACCGAGCGTGCACACCACTTCCGCCGTTACCAGGTCCGTGGTGTTAAGCGTGTGGTCATGTACGGACTCCCGGATAATGCGCAGTTCTATGGCGAGATTGTTGGGTTCTTGGGTCTTGATCCTGCGGCGTTGATCGAGGCTGCTGAGGGTGGTGTTCGTGCGCTGTTCTCAAAATGGGATGCGCTGAAGTTGGAGCGTGTTGTTGGTACGTCTAGGACTGGAAACATGTTGCGGGAGAAGGGGGGTGATACGTTTACTTTTGTATAAACAGAGCTTGTGGATGCTTTTTCAGGTAGATATATGAACCATTACTTTATACCACTTCACCTATGCGGCTATTTGTATTTATTTGTATTTTGTCAGTTTCCGAGCCATGCTCTCGTCCAAGGAGCTGTATCAAGTCCAAGCCTAACATTGAATACAACCTAATCTAAATCTGTACATCACGATTAGCTATCCCTAGCATTGATCTCCTAGTCGGGGATATCTGATTATGGAGAGAGAGAGACGCGGTTTAGACTCTACATATGTTTATGCACCGGGTAATCAATGTAGTATGTTCACCTACGGGCTTTCTGCATAGACTTAGAATATCAGATGAGTAAATTTCCATCGCTATTCCATCGCCAAAACACCTAAGAAGCTCACGTTTGCTTATCGTGCAAATACGTCCCGTTCTCTCTCGATCCATTTATTTAAACTCCAAACAGCCGTTTGCTTCCCCGTTCCTCTTTTTAAACCCCGAACGTCAACTATTCACAGCCTCTTACATTGTCCACTCCATTCACCCAATCATACCAAACACCAAGATGGCTATGAGGAAGATCGACGAGTGTGTCGGGTTTAACCATGACATCTATGTGCCTGAGGGTACCGGGCTCATCGAAGTAAGTTGAGGGTTCAACACCTGTCCAAAGCGAGATCATTCAACTGCCCTACATGAGTCACGTCATCTTGCATACTCATTCATTGTTCACACAAATGGGAACAAAGCAATCTCTAACAACTCATATCAGCTCGAAGTCACCTTGGGATCCAATAGGCAAATTAAGCGAATTGACATCAACTGCCTTCCTTATACCGGTAACGAAGTCGGAGAATTCGGCGGCATCTTCACGGACGCGTCACCATTCCAATACCAATTCAATACTCCGGAGGTCAAAGGGTCTGTGACCTTTGATCGGGATCACCAGTCGGTTTGTGTTCTGATCGATGTGACTTGGAACAATAAGAAACGGGTTGATGTGCACTTCCCAGTTGTCGTTTTTTGCTAGTATGTGACTGCACCATCTGCTTGAGAGTGAAGTGGAGGGAGTCACACCATCTAGAGAATGCATATCCAAGCTGTCCTCAATGTGATCTACAATAAAGTTCAAAGATATATAACGTAACGAACTGGTCTATGTATTATGTAGGATGTGAACAGCCCTGAAGGGCCCTTTAGGCGGTATAATTCTGCCAAAAAGTGAGGTTAAATTGAACTCTAAGGATATCCTTTCGCCCTTCGGGGCATATGGTCAAATGAAAATATACAGAGAAGATTAGCATGGCCCCTGCACTAAGGATGACACGCTCAATCAAAGAGAAGCTACCTATTTTTTTCCATCCTTCCACGTTCGATATTGAGGGCATAGTATGTGGGGCAGTTTGACACTATACCTAGTTATGATTGGTGCTACCAGATTTGGAAGTCACGTGTTATTGGCCAATGGCGTCGTGAGTTCGAGACCCATGCCGCGCGAAAGGGCGGGTCCTTCAAAATCGACCAACCACGGCCGAGTATCTTCCATCTCTATATAATTCTGATCCGAAAAGTGAGGTTATAACCAAGTCGAGGAATAGATATTTCGCCCTTCGGGGCATATGGTCAAATGAAAATATACAGAGAAGATTAGTACGGCCCCTGCACTAAGGATGACGTATCTTAATCAAAGAGAAGCTACCCAATTTTTTCTTCGACGTTGTATATCGACGACTTGAGGTGCGGGTCTAAGTGGGTCTTGACCGTTTGAGCTATGCTGTTTTCAGATGAGTGGGTCGCAAGTTCGAGCCGATATTGGTGCGACTTTCTTTTTTTTTTTCTCTCATTGGCTCGACCCTGAAGTTCGTTGTATACATCCATGGATACATTGATTTCAGACACTCTGCTGTTTCCTTGCTCTTGAATTCACCAGGGCTACTACCAAGCCCAAGTCGTGAGGCTGAATACGCTATACATACATGTATGCATTGGATGATTATTCGACCTGTCAACGAAAAAAGAAGCAACACTGTATTTCTTAACCTAATGTGTTGGAGTGGGCAGAGATCGTGGAATCAGTGAGCAATGTACCAAGAAGTTCGGATTCTTTCTATATTCTCTGCTCACTATGAAGATAGCAAAGCCAAGTCCATTGTGGACTATAAACTCGGCAAAGGACCCCACGAAGTGTGGGACACAGACTTCCAATTCAATACAAGCTTGATGACTATGAAATTGTTCTCATCCACAGTGTCTCTACTCGTCGGAATATCCTAGTCAATGACAACGGCCGCCCTACAGCGGCTTTTGGCTGGCAATCTGATACTCAGAATACTATAATCGTATCTATGTGTTTCCGATCTCGAAGCCAATGTCCATTGACCTAACTACAATCCCTACACACCTCCTCAAATGAGAGAGCATACAGTAGGAACCCATTCTTGAATTGTACACTACGACATTAAGTAGATGTAAACCAGCATTTAGATATCCTGCACAGACCATGTGTTTTCGGCTCTGAGACATCACGGACCATGGTAGATAATATATCTTCTATCTCGCTAGATCTATTGTGGACGGTAAATGACTTTGTTAACCGGTCATAACTAAATATTACATATGAGGTTCGTCTCTAGGCAGCTCGACTTGAAACGTCGATTAGTAAGCTATATTACTCCAGCCCTCCAGGGCTAAGGTCGAATTTTAGATTAAGTCGAAGCGAAGCATAACAGGAAGTAAAGGGAAGCGGATAAATATCCGGGTTAGGTGCATGTTTATATGTAGCTAGTAGCTCGTACATAAAGTAGTAGGTCTTGTGCCGCTTGTGCCTCGTGCCTCTAACACAGCCCAGAGTATATAGTCTTACACAACCAGATACTAGCCCACTAAATTTACCACTCATTTCGAGTCGAGTCAATTAAAAAAGAGCAAGCAAGGACATAAAAAAGTAGAAACAAAAGGCGAAAATAGAACAAAAAAACAAAACGAAACTGACCAGGCAGCGGTTAGTGGTCAACGCGGGCTCCACTCGGCCGTCATGCGCATTTCGCGCTGAAATCTCTTTTAACCAGATCGGCAGTCCAGTGCAGATATAAGAATCCTTCCTTTTCGCCTGGATATATTGTTTATCTGCATTTATTATGCTTTTGACACCGCTATACATCCAGACTTTATAGAAGACAATCCGACTCCAAAAAGAGAGAGAAAAAAAGAGTCATCGTCTAGATATCTCCATCTCCGTCCCCCACAAAATCCCCGCACCAACTTCCCTCTCCAATAACGACCCCAGGATAACAGATCCCAGCATGGTCACTCCAAACCTTGATTCGGCCTCAGAAGCCGGCCAATACCAGGATCATCCAGACGCACCCCTGCCGATCCGAGTGGAGCAGTCGGGATCGAACTCGATATCGGAGCAGAGATCAACGAAAACGCAATTCCAAGACGAGGATGGACACAACTATAACTGTGAAAGCGGTAGTGAAGCCGACACCCAACCAGCATTGGCCCAATCAGAACCTCGTCCGATCGAGGACGACGAAGATGACGAGGCTCTCGCTATGGCGGCTTCACGACCCCGCCATGCATGGCAGGTATGGTGGTTGCGCAATAAGGGTATGGGCCTTGTCCTGCTGGCACAGGCTTTTGCCGCCTCGATGAATGTCATGACGCAGGTTTTGGAAATTCATAGTGCTATGCATCCTTTCCAGGTAAGAGACAGAACAAAAGAATGGAAAGATCATTTCGTATCCCATCCGATCTACATTTCATTCCTCGCCAAACTCCAATACTATAAAAGCCCAACTAACCACCCATCCCCAGATCCTCTTCGCCCGCATGTCCATAACAGCAGTCGCAAGCTACCTATACATGTTCCTCGCCTCAACACCCTCCCCATTCGGCACACGTCCAGTCCGTGGTCTCCTCCTCCTCCGCGCCCTCTTCGGCTTCATGGGTGTCTACGGCCTCTACTACTCCGTCCAATATCTCCCCCTCTCCGAGGCAACGGTTATCACTTTCCTCTCACCGATTATCTCCTGCTACGCCTGCTCCCTCCTCATCCCCGGCGAGACCTTCTCCCGGAAGCAGCTGTTCGCCGGTCTGGTCTCTCTCGGCGGTGTCGTCCTCATTGCCCGTCCATTCAGCAAGCGTGACCCGAACACAGCAATCGCAACCCCAACTGCCGCTGCCGCTTGGGCATTGGGTATCTCCACTTCAACGGATGATAAACCCCCTTCTGAGGCGGATTCTTACCACCATGTCATGGCGACGATCGTCGCTTTGGTCGGTGTGCTCGGCGCATCAGGTGCTTATAGTTCTATCCGTATGATCGGTCGTCGCGCGCATCCCCTCGTGTCTGTGACGTATTTCTCGTCCGTAACGACGGTTATTTCGTTCGTGGCGATGGTCACCTTGCCTTCTGTGCCGTTCCGCGTGCCTAATACGGTTGTGGAGTGGACGTTGCTGACGGGATTGGGTGTTTGTGGATTCCTGTTGCAGTTTTTGTTGACGGCAGGTTTGTCGTATGTCCCGCCTGCATCGGTGTCGGATGGAAAGCCTGTGGCGCAGGGGGGACGTGCGACGTCGATGCTCTATATGCAGATGCTCTTTGCGGTGTTTTATGATAAGGTTGTTTGGGGAAGTACGCTGAGTCCGATTAGTTGGGTTGGATCTGCGATCATTTTGGTCTGTGCGATTTATGTGGCGTTTTCGCAGGAGAGACCTGTTCAGCGGGGGAGTGAGGAGTATCGTGATGTGGAGGGATACAAGGATGTCACTGATGAGGAGAGAGCGGAAGGGAATTGAGTTTTGGGCTATTCCGATTTGTATATATCGTCTAGGGTATATATATATATATATATAACTATATATAGTATATAGCATATAGTATATATGCTTTGACCTTTGTACTTTCCTGGAGCACTCTACTCCGATCGTCTATGGTATATCTAGTAACCTCAAAATACAAAAAGCCGGAAATGTCGAATCCGACGTCATTGAGTTACAATCCGACAAAACCCGAATTCTTTTTCTCTCTATTTCTATTTCCAAGTTATTACAGTCCTATATAATAGATACTATATATACTAGTCGAGACCTAGTGGATTCCCCATAAAAGCCCACTGGCCCCATAATTTCCCCATATTTCATCTTGAACTCTGACATCAACGGAACAAGAACAAGAACAAGAACATCACAATGCGCCACTTCGACACCTGGGTCCTCCGTGATCCCTACTCCATCTGGCACTACTATCCAACCGGCCATCGCTGGCGTGATACCGTCCGCGATTTAATCCAATCCCGCGCCATCTGCTCTCCAGAGAATACCCTTCATCCACCTCTAAACTGGAACCTGAACCCATCCACCCAATCCCAATTCCAATTCCAATTCCAACAATCCCCGCTCCTCCGTCTCCCGCCCGAACTCCGTCAAATCATCTGGTCCTACGTCCTCACCAACTCCCCAACTCCAAACACCCAACCCCCACAAACCATCCATCTAGTCCAACTAAAAGGCAAAATCCGTCATGTTCGCTGTCCAACCCCAACCCAACCAACCCACCGAGTCCCAATTCACCCAAACCCCTCCTTAACCCAAAACCGCCACTGCTGCCCCACAACCCCGGCCCGCTGGCGCATCTACGACGGTCGAGTCCCAGGCCACAGCGACAGACTCCTCTACCCGCACACCCACTCCCATCTCCCCTCAACACTAAGTAACAGCAACACCGCCCTACTCCGCGTCTGCCGGGCAATCTATTTCGAGGCCGAGACAATCCTGTACAAATCCTCGCATTTCGACGTCGATGATCTATACACTTTCATTGCATTCGCGGGGTCGTTGTCGCCGGCTTCCCGGAATGCTATTTCGCGATTGACGGTTCAGTGGATGCCGATCTGGGTGCCTATGGCTGGTCTCGATCATAAGGGTTCTATCTATGCGCATACGCATAGTGATGCGTTGTGGGTTCGGTTTTGGGACGTTGTGGCTTCGTTGGAGGGATTGCGGGTGTTGGGGTTGAGTTTGGATTTGGGGAGGTTTACGAGTGTGGTTGGGAATATGGGGGAGGCGGTTGTTTCTGGGCAGAGGATTCCGTTTGGGATTGGGGAAGGGTGGGTGAGGCCTATTCTTGGGGTTAGGGGGTTGGATGGGTTTGATTTGGCGGTTACGGCGAGGTGTGATTTGCTTGCTAAGGGGGTTGTTGAGGGGGAGTTGGTGAGAGATGTTGGGCTTTTGAGGGAAGAGTTGAGGGGGATATTGTGTGGACCGAGGGAGAGTGGGATTGGAATGGCGAAGGGGATGGAGGAGAGGAAGAGGGGGGTTAGGTTGGCGATTACTGCTGCTTGATGTTTTATGTTTTGTGTATTGTGTTTTGTGTTTCTTATTTCGATACCCTTTCGTTGATATTGCGTGTTAATACTACCCTGAACCTCCTAACTCTGTTGCATAACAATTACTGCTAGAAAGTCAGATACTACATGCTTGTCTACTCATTATAGTGATTGTTTCTAGCAAAAAGGTATGGACATACAGGGTCAGTCGAAGACAGGGCATTCGTACTATATCAAGCATATACCTCTACTCAACCCAGGTGTTGAGTGTTGTCATCTTTATTACGCGTGTCTGAATCTCATGGATATATGTAAATCTCGATTGCCGATGAAATGTTAATTACTCTGCTGATTATAATTGTAACCATAGGTATCTTGTCTTGTCTCCAAAACTACACCAAAAAGAACAACCTCAAGTCTTCACGAGTCAGCTTGGGAAAAGTCGTGCCTCGGCTCGTCGCCAAGAAAACTGTTAATCAGGACTTGAATTGTTTCTATCCCAAAGATCTGTTCCATTCACCTCTCAATCTCCATGGATATCTCAATCTCAACTTCGGCTTACCTTCTACTAGGTTCGCTGCCCTTACTAGTTCTCTCCGAATGGAAATCCAGATCACACACGGGTACCGCGGTATTCAAAATGCTCTCTTCACTTGCTTTCCTTAGCAGCCCATTGCTCCTACCATCCACAGAATGGTCAAACTACCGTCGTCTCATCACCACCGGTCTTGCCTTTTCCTTGCTGGGTGACTTTTTCCTTATTCCTTCGCACCGTGAATTCCATGGCCCGGACAGCAAACCCCCATCCGACAAATCAAAACCACAAGGAAAAGTATCTATATCCTTCCAACTCGGTATCGTCGCCTTCGCTGCGGCGCATATAGCCTACACTGTAGCCTTCCTGCAGGATTCCAGCGAAACCTCCTGGACAACCTTTGCCGCTACCTTTGTAGGGACTCTATCCGCTGCAAAATGGTTGGGTGTCGTATATCCCCCGCCACATTCCTCACTCAAGACCAATATATTGGATCTCGACATTGCCCCGGATATGAAGCCATTGGTTTCGGTTTATGCCGTTATCATTGGTACAATGTTTGCTGCTGCTACTGCCACCTCCCCGTTGATCGTTCCAACCGACTGGTGGCACTCGCGAGCTCTGGGAGCTGCTATGTTTGTTGTGAGCGACCTTTTTGTGGCGAAGAATGCCTTTGGGAGATCTTCTAGACCGGAGACTCGTGGGTGGCTTGGGATCTTTGTGGGTTATGCGCTTTATTTCTGGGCTCAGATGGTTCTCGCTGGAACAGTGCCAGCGTAACGGTTTGCATGGACTAACAGTGAGCTGGGACGTTCCATGGGGATACCTAAGCTGTGCTGAGGGTAGATCTCGCCATGAACCCTCACCCGAGTCTAAATCTGGATTTGGCTACTCTGTATATAAGAGACTTCTTAAATATTTTCTGACTTTTCGCATTGTTCAACAATTACAAGTTTGCACACAAGGACAATACGTGCGGGGTTTTTCCAATTATGGATTCAACTTGAATACGTCGAACTTGGTCTATCACTACGCTGTGCTTTGATAATTGTGTCGCAGATAGATATAGATATAATATCAATGCCAGGATGAACCACGATCAGGGAAGACGTATGTTTTACGTGGCTCACCTTTTGAATTCAAATTACCATGCTAGGTATTTTGTACAGTAGCCTTTCCCATAAAGACGTACGAGATAGAATAACGCTATATCAGTGTCGGGAAGAGAAGTCTACAGAGAGGTTGGTGTGGACTGTGAATATGAGATTGATTGGATAGTTGGAGCAGCTAAGCTCTAGATTATGTGCTTGCCAATTAGAAACATCCACCAGGGGAACATGATGCATGATAATGGTTTCTGCGGTTCCAACGCTCCTCCTTCCCCTTTCCCCTTGCCTGCCTTGCTGCTCCTTTAGCCAGTTCGGAATTCGACCTTCTTCTCATGATCTCACGAGCTTTGTCCTGCATGACGTCTTGAAACGATACTATGAGAGGCAATTTGTTTGAAAGCTAATGTGAGAGGAGAAATGATGTTCAGCTGAGTCGTAAAGTAGACATATGCTGAAGCAGCCGAGGATTCTCCCATGAGTGGAAACGATGGCCCTGCAAGTTTCCTAGAGTGACATGGAGAGACCATGACTGGGTCTTCTTAGGGAAGTCCGACCCAGAAGTAGCTTCGCTTTGAGGTCTGTTGTCGCGAATCTCGTGCAAAGGCAAAGGTAGCTTCTATAAATCTGCAGTTGAGATCAGGTAGGAGATGTGATCGTTGCTTGGAGATATAACGCTTTAAGAAGAGGTATGCGCCGTGAAAGGATATATGTATAGTATAATGATAATTATAGCCAGCGAAGGGAGTTATAGCATGGTGAGAAGGGAATGATAGGTTGGGAGACCCATGAGAAGGGGATTGGCGTTATATGTGCTGGGTTGGAAGAAGACCTGAGAAGTAAGGCAAGTGCAAATGCAAACTGGCTCACGTTGGATCAATGATCAGCCATAATAACGCCGTTTGGGCATGCAATTACAGTCAGGAACAATATTTCAATGAGTTATCCGGTTTATAAAGTCAAAAGCAAGTGAGTTGAACAAAACAGCTCCGATGGTCTACGAGTGGCACGGAGAAGCCAAGTCACTACGAAGATAAATCAGGTAGCAGGGTATTCCATAGGCATTGTCCAGATCTCCCCGTAGGTCTTCTCTAAGACTGAGATAGTCTCCAGGTATACGCAAGTATACCAAACCCAAGATCCTCTGGAGTGGTGATCTGTTTGCAGGACCTGGGTATGGTGGATAATTTTCCGCTCTAGTGGCCGTGTCTCAGGAGAGACACGATATAGATTAGGGCCGCCAGGCTTACAGGTATAGTTGTACAGGACTTTCTATACAAACACATAATCTATCAAACCTAGTAACGTTTTCAATTGACCGCGTAATTAGAATTTGAAACATCAAAAGCTGTCTCAATCTATGTGTAGTCCCTATCCGGACAGCCACGACCAAGGCCGAGGTGGTATACCTCGGATCAGCTGTTCATCAATTGCAGCTTTTATGAACAAACCAAAACAAACAGGGAAACAAGGAAACAAGGAAACAAGGAATAGCCTTGGATAGACCAAGATCAAAGACCATGATCATGATCATGATCAAATGACAAGGGTTAGATCAACTAACACCAATCATCATCAAGACCACATACAAAGACATCAAACAGGAAACAAGTTCATTGGAGTATTAAGGGGAAGGAAGAGCGTTGAAACTGCCAAAACACAACCAAAGCGAAAATCACAACGAAAAAAGAATATCACAAGACAAAAAAAGCCTGTGTCGAAGCCGAACCAACCAAGTCCAGCATACAGCCCATTCACAGAAAAGAAAGAAAAAAGAAGGGAAAAAAAAGACACCAAGCGCCCGACATAGGAAAAACCGCCGGTTACGGCACAATTTGTAAAAAGTATAAGACACGAACCGAATGCAAAATGAAAAGATGGATACATATGCAAAGGAATAGAGGTGAAGGTGTATTGAGGGAAGGGTAAAATTGCAGCTACAAGAATGGCAGGACTATCTGCCATCCAATTTGTAGCTTGGTCGGGACAACATGGTTCCAGAGGCAACAAAACAAGTCATCTACTGTGCAGAGACGTGACCGGCACGGCCACGCACCTCCTCCTCGTAGCCGTTGTTGTGCTCGGACTCGAGTTCTTCGTCAGTGGGACTGTGCATGCCGCTGGGGGGTTCCTGGAGAGATTGGCGACTGCGGGCCATCTGCATGAAGCACGTTAGTACGAGTTACGCTAAATATAGCCGCGCTGGATGACCAGTGATTGGGGGATGTGACTTACCCAAGCACGCACACCTCCGATCAACCCGAGACTGTAACCAGTAGCGAAATCCTCATTGCGACGCGAGCCCATGGGGCTATCTGCGCGGTTGTGTTCCGCACCCACACGCGACAGGTGCGACTTGCTGCCACCGGTCGGGCTGGTGAGGGGTCCACGCATGCCCCAGTCCATGCTGTTGCGGGCACTGGGCGCGGGGCTGTTAGGGCGGCTGTTCTGCCAGATCTGGCGCAATTCACGGCCGAGCTCTTGACCGGTCATGGTCCAGTTGTTGCGAATGTTGTTCCGCAGCTCGACGACATGACGCTTGATCTCGAGCTCGTTCTTCTTCAGCCAGGATACGTTTAGTTCTTGGCGGGAGGCGCCACGCTTGAATTGACGGGAGATGTATTGGTCGTAGTCACGGACAACCCTACATATAGATATAATTAGCTCTGGTCTGTCGGATTCAGTGTGGGAAGTGAAACATACCGTGTGATGATACCAGTAGTACTGACACCCTCTGTGCGCTGCGTCACCAGGAACTTGCCCTGCTCCTTGATAGGACCGTAGATGTCATCACCCTCAGCGGCCTCGTAGGGCAGATCGTCGTGAGCAACGTAGTCGATTTCGTGCTCGGACAGGAACTCCGGTGTCACAATCCACGGACAGCAGGGGATGACCTCGTCAACCCACTTGCAGTGACGGATAGTCTCCGCGCGCTCGGCGCCGCTGAGCACCGTCAGACCCTTGCGCAGGTGTGTCTCCTCGTCGCCAGTGACACCGACAATCAGATAAGTATCGGGGAAGGCCTTCTTGGCCTGCTCGAGCTGTCTCATATGGCTAGAAAGTGATAGTCAGCCACCATTACCCAATTGAGCAAGCCTGAAACCAGAAGAAAACTGGGGGCCGAAATAAAAACTTGGTCCGCTCGTGTGATCACCTACCCAAGGTGGAACAAATCAAACACACCGTCCGCGTATACACGTACTGAGCGGCCCGTTGGAGGAGGATTAGTGCGGTAACCGACGGGGTCCTGCAAGCGCCCAAAGACCGGGGGAGCTATCTGCTCCTCTCTAACAGGCTCATCATCTTCGGGTAAATCGATATGTAAACCGGGGCGCGACCGAGGGCCACCCTCAATATCGCTGCTGGCGGCAGTTGTCTCGGATGGCTCGCCGGGGTCTTCCTTGCTGATGGCCGGCTCGACCCCGTTCACCTCGGTGTGGCTTGCGGCATCGGCGGTGGCAGCCTTGCGGGCCCGCTTAGAAGGATGGCGGGTACCATTGGCGCTGTGGGAGGTGGCATTGGGCCCAGTTGAGTCGTCGCCGCCTTCTTCGCCGGACGCGTCGCGTGAAGATGGCTGGAGGTCGGCTGTGACGTTCTTGGGGACGGGCGCGGGAAGGTGGGAGGCGCTGCGCTTGCGCTTGCCGGCGGGGGAAGTAGATGGCGACATTATGTATTTTGGCCCTGGAGAATAAATGAGGGATTTCTTCCTAGGGAAATAAATGAAAGATTGGGAAAGAGAATCAGGGAGAGAATTAATGCTGAACCCTGAATGACGGCAACCCGGTTTTAGGGGAAACTGGTAATTTTCTGTTTGGGGAAATGGTGGGGGCGCCAACTCCGCTGTTTTAAGCCACAGTTCCGGGAGTCCAGAGTGTACAGGGGTTGAATCTTACAATACGAAGTATTGCAAATAGGGGCTCAACTTTGCAAATTAAGTCTTGGCATTATATGTGGTTACACTGACCACGTGTGGATTAGGTACGTAGCCCTCGAGGTACAGGGGTAGAGTGGGACATCGGTATGTCATCACTCCATTACTATTAGAAAATAAGGAATTGGCATTGCCCTTGGAATTACACTCCCCATTTTGCCCCTGGATTTACCTACGTCAGCAAACATGAATTTCTCTCTCAGAACTCCGTTGCTTAAAATGGAATGAAAACAACATCTACCAAGGTACAAAGAAAACGCTGAATGCATCAGATATACGCCAAAGGGTATGTAAATGACCATTGCCATTGCCCATTGCTCACCCTGGACGAAATCTCAACCAATACCCAACTCTACCAGCTTGCGCCCCTAGCAGGTACTCACTCTCGTATAGGCCAGACTGCAGGTCAATGACCGCAGGTAGGAAATAGACTGGGGATTAGGAGAAAGAAGAAAACCCGAAATGAAAAGCGGATAGGGAAGTGTAGGTAAATGAGCTCGTCAATAGCGGGCATTTTCTGCGGTATCTCGTTGTGGTGATGGCATAAAGTAAGAAAAGTGTTCATAAGGCCCATTTGGCTCCCGGCGAAGGGCTCTCTTTCAACATCGACCCTCCATGGAAATTCAAAGCTCTTGTCTTGCATCTCATTCAATTCCGTCTGAATCTCTTTGCCGCATGTCCCGTCTTTGACAAATATCCATTTCAAGTCGAGGGAGGTTTAAAAAAAAAAGTGTTGTAAACAGGCTCGGGACCAGAGCCCAACGATAACGAATCGCAAAACAAAGGAAGGGGGAGGGAAAACAGGGCATAGATCGTGGAATCAGGGGTGGGGGAAAGGGTCGTTGGCAGTGGGCAAGGAAAACAAAACCAGAGTGAAACCAAAACAGGGAGGACCAATCGATAGGCTGTTCATAAGTTCATAGTCTACGATGCGGACTTCTCTTTCTCGGCGTCAGTGGAGGCCGGGGATTCGGATATTTGAGCAGAACCGCTGCCATTCTCCTGTTTCCCCTGAGGACCTGGGGTGGCCTGGCGGTCATTCCGGGTACCCGATTCGTGCTGCACCTGGTTGGTAAGGTCCTCGTCCTCCTCTGTCTGGTCAAAAAGCTCCTCGTCGTTCTGACCCGTGATGACCTCAGTGCCATCACCCAGGAGGATGATGCGGCCCGAACGGACACTGAAACCACGGGAACGCTCCATCTCCAGGTCATATTCATCCGGTGTATCCTCGAACTGGTTCCGGATCCCGGGGCCGCGGAACTCGGCTGCACGAACTGGCCGTCAGCACGAAGAAGTGGGGATGCTTTCGGGTTCCTCGGGAGACTTGCCGTACTCGGGCGGAGCACAAGGTCCATCCCCGTTCGCAACCCGCTCTGCAATCTGGTTATACCACTCCTCCTTAGTCTTGCCTTGTAGGAGTCCAATGACGGTCATGGTCATGTTGTCACATCCAACACCGCCGGTTTCACTGTTGGAGGCAAGGCAGTTGTCCATCATGTTCTCGGAGATCTGGGCGAGGGGCTGCTTGGCAGCAATGCCTCTGCGGACAAACTCAACCACAGCCTGGGAGGACTGGCAATCCCAGATACCTGTAGATAGGTTAGCATCTAGACTAGCGAGGGGGTGCAATAGCAGAAGACATACCATCACAGGCAATCACCAGGAACTCATCATCATCCGTCAGCTCGTGAACGGTGACATCGGGGTATGCGGTGACGATCTGCTGTTCGGGAGAGAGCTCAGGGCTCTTCTTGAATTCAAAGTCACCGATAGCACGGGACAGGGCAAGGTTGCCATTGACACGACCGAAGTCGACGAAGCCGCCAGCAGCGGTGATACGAGCCTTCTCGCCTATTGTAATTATTTGTCAGACCCGATCTTGTTTCATGTAACGATCCTAATGATTCCATGCACTCACCCTCGTTCTGGGGCTTGTGGTCAAATGAAAGGGGCTTGGCACGTCCCTTGACACCCAAGACGGATCGTGAATCACCAGCGTTGGCCTATGACCAGTCAGTTTGGAATTCTTCAATCCGATATTTTTTTTTTCTTTCTTTCTTCGAGGTCATAACATACCACCCAGATCTTCTTCTGTGAGATAATGGCCGTGGAAGCAGTACAGCCAGACACCTCCTCCTCATAACGGGGGTCTGGGCTCAAGTCAGCAATCCATCATGTACCTCGGTTACAACAACACAGCACAAACCTTCCAAAATAGCCCTATCGGTCGCGAGGAAACCATCCTTCAAGGCCTGTTCAATATCACCCTTGGCGAAAGCATCCTGTCGGGAGACAATCTTATGCAGGTTCTCGCCGGTGAACAATGCCACCTTGTCTCCACCGTGGCCATCATACACACCAAAGAAGGCGAGGCGGTGTTCCGGATCCGTCGGTTTGTCGGTGATGCCGGTATACTTTGCCTGGAGGTCAAGGATTGTAGCATGGGCGTCCTCCATGCTGATTCGCCAGCCCTGCATGGCCGACACACCATACACACAGGAGTCATCCCCGCCCTCGGACGATGTCTGTAAGTGAAGAAATAACACGTTAGTTACACTCGATGCTTTTCAACGACATACGCAAGGCTGCCTAGTAGGATTGCGATCTCTGTTCGTTGCTGGGTTGAACCACCCCACTACCCAGCTGGACTACCCAAGACCCCGCATGGTAACCCGAGGAAGATTCCTCCGAGCGACAGCACGGACTCTTCGTTCAACTGGAAGACTTGAGAGAGACTCGCTCTATAACTCCTTGGTCCTAGGGTATGACAAAAGCCAAGAAAGGGGGGTGTGTTTCGAGGCCGTAGAAGAGACATTGGAGGGTCACAATGGGCCAGTGTGGGGTGTGAATCAAAAAAGCGAAATATCTCACCTTTTCGACCACCGGCTCCGATAGGGTTTGACCCATATTGGCAAAGTTTGAATAATTCGGGGGGGAGAGGGTGAGATCGAGGTTTCCGGATCGAAGTGTGGAAAATGCTGGAGGTGCTGGAGGTGCTGTAGGGAAAGGGTCAGATGAGGGCGCAGGGCTTTCAGCGCGTCTGGGTCCCGCGATAAGTGGGGAACGGACGGATGATGGATTTCTTGCCTCTGTGCTTTTGTTTTAATATAGGATAGGGATTCTGTAAAGAGATGAAGATTGGAAAGGCAATTTCAAGGAAGCTTATGAGAGAAAGTCCGAGTCCTAAGAAGACCTCGCAGAGATTTCCTGGTATTGCGTTTACCGCTTTTGTTACGCCGTGCTCTATAGAGTCACGTGAATGGGGAAACAGACTAGTTTATTGGGAGTTTTGAAGGGGTTTGGAATTCAAGAGAGTATTACTAGTAAAGATGTCTGTGATAGATAGTATATCTTATATCTATGTAGTATTTAGTGCGTTGTATTCTCATTGAGGCTGAAGGAGAAAGTAAATAGGGGCTAGACACAGTAGTCACTCACTGTACAGTCACGCCATAGTGAAGATGTCTGACTTTCGAACTTGGAAAATCTACTTTATTCTATTTGCAGGGAATAACTTCCTTTCTCTTTGGCCTCATGGACTCTTATCTACTTGTGCATAATGTTATAATTACTGTGCAGGCGGAGATCCAAGCGGTGAATCTCAGTGATATGCAATGCGCCTTAACAATCCAGATGTAGAGAGATACTATATTATCATTCGCTCCAAAACTAGATCAACTAGTATAAAAGACTTCAATACCAACCAATCAACCATAGAAAAGCCAATGGATATCATACTCGCAATGCCTAAGAACGCCAGAAACACAATAGGCAGAAAGACAAAAAAGAGAAACCCATAGATCTAGATATAAGATAGGGGAACAGAGGGGGGAAAGCTGGAAAGAAAGAAAATTCAAACAAATGCCAGCTCTCCACTACTGGCGATAGGAAGACCTCGATTATCGGTATTCTTCAACGGCCGCGAGGACTCAAGAGGCGACGACAACCACCACTGATGATTGGCGTTCTTACTAGGGCTGACCTTGCGCGATAGATGCTCTTCCAGGTCCGAGACCATAGACGAGCTATGCGGCATAGCATTTTCATCATTTACTTTGTGACGCTGAGGGTTGCTGTTGCCCTGGCCCTCCAACCGCCGAGCACTGCCCATACTGTTCTCGCTCCAGAACCGCGGTAGCGGGGAGATAGCACCGCGGTAGTCTTGTGCAAGACTCAGCTGGCTCTGGCCATTTGTGCTACCCTCAGCAAGGGGAAACAGACCGGCCTGGTTCTGATATTGGGAGAAGCGGTTCGTGTTACTGTCGTCACCGTATTCCGAGGCCGACATCGCAGTCGATAGGGGCCGTTCTTGAATGGATTGGCGGAATTCGTCGCTGAAGGTTGACACGGAGACAGTATCGGCGCGGCTGCGCATGCTGCGGTTTCGATCGAGTGCGCGCATTCCGGAGGAAGTGCGCCGGCTGATTTGCGCGGAGAAGAGAGGGTTGGAAGAGTTGCGGTGCTTGGCTCGGCTGTGCACAAAGGCTTCCAGGGAGTCGGCTTCAGAGAAGATGGAGTCGTCGGGATCGACGGTGCGTAGGGTCATACGCTTGTAGTTTTCGGGGATACTGGATGCCATGCTGTGACGCATGCGTCCTGCTGCTGGCGGGCGCGAGAACGATGGTGCCATCTGTGTTAGGCTGGTCTCATCGCCCAACATTGAGGCTCGCGCATTTTGCCATGATGTGTGCACCACCCCGTGGCCGGGAGGTCCGAAGCCGCCGGCGCCATGGCCAGCTCCGCTGAATCGTACGGGTAGTCCAGAGGCAATGGAGGAGATACCGCTCGAGCGCTTTGAGTATCTCCTTGACTTAGATGATTGGATAGATTCTCGCTTCATGGCTCGCGGCTGGATCGTCTTCAATGGCTCTCGTCGGGAACGGTTGATGGTCCTACGGCGCATTGGGCTGGTCGTGTTCGTGTATGAGAGGCGATTGTTTTGCTTCTTGGAAGGTGAACCGGCTTGAACGGGGGTTTCATCTTGAATGATGGGGTCTCGCAGTGGGACAAAGCCACCGCGAGTGGGAGAGTCGCGAGTAGGAGAGTTGCGAGTAGGAGAGTTGCGAGCAGGAGAGTTGCGAGCAGGAGAGTTGCGAGCAGGAGAGCGAGGAGGAATAACGGGCTCAGGAGTAGCAAAGTTAACCGGGTGTTGAGGTTTATCAAATTGTGACACGTTCCACGCGGGCCCAAGTTCGAGCTTGGGAATCGATGACGGTGAGATAGGACTCATCCAATCTTCGGAATTGTCATCGTGGGAAGGTCTTTTCGTCATGGATGGCTGACAATTAGGAACATCAGGCCTAACAGGTCGTGGTGGAGCAATCTTGCTGTCGGATTGACCCTCTTCGACAGTAGGTGAGTTCTTGCGGCTACGCCAGCAGCAGAAGAGAATCAGCAGACTCAAAATTACCACAAAAGGGACAACGACTGAGATGGCGATGATGCCAGCCTTCTTCTGCTTGGGGGTGTCAGATGAAGTGGTAAACGGATCTGTGGGGTTCGAATGTGTGTCCGAGGCTTTGAGGACATCAAGAACGAAGTCCATCGTGTCTTCGGTCGATCCCTGATATGCAGTAAGAGGGATGGTGAACTTCTTGGGATCCATGTCATCTGGAACGTGTCCGTAAAGAGTCTTGTTGTCCGAGAAGTAGGTAAGCCATGTGAGCTCGTTGTCCAAATCGGCCTCCAATTGTACAGAGTCATCGGTGAGGATAGACTGATTGAACACGAACTTGAAGTCTTGCCCAATGGCTGCCTCACACCCATCGACGGTGTCGAGGAACAGCTTCAAGAATTCTAGGCGAACCATCATGTGTGCTTGGTCCTGGAAAGAGTCGGTAACAGCGATGGTGATATTCTGGTTCACGGCATTGTCGGGTGGCGTCCCGCTCAGCGATATATTGTCCTTATCCAGCTTCAACCAATCCGGCAATTTGGCGTCGACTTTTGCCAGCTCTTTGACAGAAGTTGGTGAACCATCTATAGACAGAAGGCTAGTGAATTTGGGGCTGTTGAACTCTTCTCCTCTCGTAAGGTTGAAACTTTGAACAGTCTCGTTGAATGTCAGAATGTGGGGACCGATCGAGAGTTCAAATGTCACGTTGGCCGCACTGTACCCAGCTACATCTGATGCGATCATCTGGAAAGTGAATGTCTGAGGCTCCGCGCCTGGAAAGGCAGGGCTATTTCCAGCAAATTTTAGCGCTGCCGGGTCGAAGTTGATCCAAGAAGGTAGCGGGGCGTTGTTCGGCGAGGTTCCGTAGTAGATCGTAGCAGGATGCGTGTTGTCGAAGGTATCCTGATCGAACTCAATTGAGAATGGACGACCTGGATGGATGAACAGCGTGGCAGGGTATGAGACTGGTCCTAATTTCTGTAGCTGAGGTATAAGCGGTTTCTTCACCGTCGGTCCCTGGTCTGCTGTCACGATTAAAGTGACGTCCATGCTGTCTTTTGCCGAACCATTCGATGCCACAAGTTTGAACTTGATAGCGCCACTGTCTCCTGAATGGGGCGTTCCGGACAGGGTGAGACTGCTGCTATCCACTTTGAGCCATGATGGTGCATCCAATAGTGAGTATTTAGTGTGCGAGTCACTGTTAGAGAAAGTACTTTGGGCGAATGCAAATCGGAAAGGCTGTGAAATTCGTGCAACAGGTGGCAATTGCGAGTTGATAGGATAATTGGCAGCCAAGGATGCTGCATTGGCGACTGACAGGTAAGCCAGCACGATGGTGAGAAAGAACGCCATGCTCGATTGGGCAAATGCGAGCACACTTGAATGAACTGTGTATAGCTGGAAAAGACACAGCTAGCTCACCGATCGCCAACGATGCTCCCAGTCTCACGGCAAAAGATAGTGGAAGTATTCAAGATGGAAAGAAAGAGATTCAGGACGAAGATGAAAGAGTATCACGCATGATCTTCCAGAAAAGGATCGTGGTCCCTCCCGCACCAAAGGGACCAGGGAGACATTCAAGGCGTGCCCTTTCAAAAAAGCCATACCTGGATATGTTAGATATCACGGAGGTATGTAGCAGAATGACAGCGGAGAATGGACGCAGGCCCGATCGCTATAATCTCACGTTTCGAAGATGCCCGTGTCCATGCAAGGGGGTAGCCATGGGTGGCTCCTGCGACAGCCAAGGAGCATAGACGCGCCCAAATACCATGACTTATTGCCCCTCGGACCTATTTGAAAGGGACCGGTAAGGCAAGGAGCATTTTTAGTGGAAGGAAAAAAGGTCCGAAGGGTGCCATTGACGGCAGTGGCTCAACCATCACGCTTCTAAATCCAGGACCATTTTGATGCCTGTTCGCCCAGGGGCATAGTAATCAGGGATGACTTCACGCTCCTCGAATCCAATACGTAGATACAAGGCGCGTGCAGGCTCCCTGGCTTGGTCCACCCAGAGCTGTATATACTGGCAGTCCTCCTTTCGTAGGCGCTGCTGAATGTAGGACAGCATATCCTGTCCTACACCTTGACGGCGGTTAGGCTCTGTCACGCAGATTTTGTGCAAAAGCGCAACGCCCTTCTGTCGGACGTAGACCGCATAGGCAATCAGATCAGATTGTGATCCCTTGGCTCGAATCGCGTACAGAACTCGCGTGTTAGGCTTTTTTCTCCACAGGTCTTCGCTGAATGGGAATGCCTCATTGGTGGGGAAGGTTTTTTTCTCGACGCGCGAAATCTGGGCAAGAATCTCTAGTGCCTCGTTCCTCTTCAAGGAATGAATGTCCGAGATGGTGAGGCCAGGCATTCCTCCCATTGCTCCCACTCCCTTTTCGCACTGAGGCGCCATTCCAGATCACGACTAACCGGCTTTGACACACTCCTGGTCCAGTTATTTGACACTGCAACTGTGTCGGTTTATGCCGTGTAAAAGTACGAAGTTCCAAGGTTGGTTCTTGAATGTCACGAAAAGTGTTATGGCCCCCACCGGTGAGTTTCGACCAATGAGAGTCGCCTTCATCTATAAACTACAGTTGGCAATGTCTCAATTACATCTACGCGTCAATGCACATTCAATTAGAAGCAGATGTTTCATTGATTGGTAAATAACGCGTCGAATAATGTCGAGTGACGTCCAGTGATGTTGAATCATGTCCAGTCATATTCCATCTTCGCATAGCACCTGGGCACATAACTGACTCCTCCCCAGTTCAAATCAAATGATAACTGTGATCGGTTCACGGTGGGGATCCGACTCTTCCCTAATAATGCATGCATTCACGAGCTCAGTCTTAGCTTCCATATCGGGGCCGGAAAAAGACCGCAGAAACGGTTTGACAACCTTCAGAAGATTCAAGAACCCCCCACCCGCAACCTCAATCTGCTCCATGGCGTTCTGAAGAGCATCATAGCACAAACGTTCAGTTCCATAATGCTCACAAACGCACCCGAAAACGTGTAGTCGAGGAGGACTCTTCCACAACTTATGCAGCAAATGCCAGCAGCCTTCGAGAGAGTCAAGATGAGAGAATGGCGGTGTGTGAGTGATGAGAATGTCGAGATTGTTGGGGATTTTGTTCCAAACATTTTCATCGCGAGGGTACTGGAAAGCCCCGGAACGAATGCTCGTTGGCGAGTATGGACTTCCAAAGACCCGGAGTAGCCGTCCGTTCTCAGCAGCAACCACAATTTGCTGGTGCTCCAGATAGATGATGTCGCCCCAGTTTCCCTTCCGGCGATGTCCATGTCTCCAGTGAGGACCTCCCTTCTTCATTTTGTTGAGGTACCTGTCGCGTCTACCCGCCACCACAATCTTAATGTGGTGAGGCTGCTCCTTTAGCCAGTTCAGTGTGGCTTGGAGGTCCGCGAGCGATCCATCTGCTGCCATATCGCCGGCGTGGATCAGGATGTCACCTGGCGGTATCTGTGGTCGCTCGTTGTAGGTGTTTGAGATGCAGACTACAGTGACCGGATCTTGTGGCGGTTCGCCGGGGTTAATTGGTCGCCGGGCAGAGATCTTGCGGGCAAGGAAAAGGCAAGGTCCGCGTCGGAATTGTTGCCAGGCTGATGGCCCTTTTGCCTCTTGCGACTCTTTCGGTTCTTTCGGTGGTATGTGGATGGTCGTCGGGCTTGCGTATCCCGTCATCTCGATCTCGGTGGACTCCATTCTGATGGGGCTGCAGATGATAATGCTCCCAGGAAATGCGACAAGGGTTGAAGAACGAAGTTTACGGCCTGATGTTCTTTTACTTCGCTCTTGTCTGAACAAACGCGCGTTTTGCCTGGACCTTTTAGGACGAATCGCCAGTCGCCGTTCGCCTCACGCTTCATATTTACTTTTATTTTTGTCCCATGTTGATACATCAGCCCGAACAATATATTAGAACCACTCACTATCCATGTCTACCTGTTCCACTTTTTCTTCTATGAATGTTTATTAATGTATAGCTTGCTTAAAAAAGATTACCGGTGATGGCAGGACGTTTCCGTAGGACAACGCTATTTGGATATACCGAGGATTCGCGGATTATCAACTATATTGTGACAATAGCCCATAGCACGGGGTTCAGCACTATTACCCAATGCCTGTCACAGTGAAGCAAAGAAGTCTTGAGTTATACAAAAATGAGAAAAAGGAAAAGGAAAAAAGGGCAATTTGAGGGAAATAAACGGAGGTAGAAGAGGATGCCTCTTTTTTAGTATCATTACTGGCTGTATGTGGTATATACACTAAAGCCCGTAGCAAACAAAAGTCTCACGGAAAGGAACGTATATACATATATTCATTAACTTCCACAGAGCACCGAAAACAAAGAAAATGAGCATCGGCTCTAGGATTAACTAGATCAGCCTAATCAGCTAATCACCTAATCAACTAATCAACACTCCAGCGCACAACTCATTTAACACGAATAGCCATAGGATCAAAATTCTGCTCTCCACTAAATCCCTCTTTTGGGCCTGTTTCTATCTCCACCCGAGTCCTGACCGAAGTAAGAGGATCCAGGTATCCAGGTCTTCTTCTGAGTCGCCGAAGCGTGTAGGGCTCGTTCTAGATTCAATATCGTAATTTCTGCTTTCAGGTTTGTGGAGAGATATTCTCTGTATAACACTGGGCATTCGAGATGTCCCGATATGCTGTGTGGGTAAACTCGGCATTTTCTTGACCAACGAGCGGACGAATGGCTGGATAACAGGGAGGCAGGCGCAGATAATCCCGATGCACGGCTCGATGGTTGACCACACGGCGACATCACCCAGTGTCCATGTGATATCGATATTGTTGTGGAGGTAGGTTATGTAGTGGATGCGAATACCGCTTACGACACAGATACTAAGACAAAGTATTATTAGCAGGTATTTTAAGAGAGGTTTTTTCAGAAGACATACAATCCACCTAGAAGAAGTATACCACACACACCAATCTTCTGACTTGTGCGCATCTGAAGACTCCAAACAACAGGCACCGGGAAGAGTAGAATAAGAACATCCGTCACGACGTTGGCAGCTGCGTTTCCAACGTAGTAATAATAGAAGTTATATCGGTTTGAGCCAGACGTAGTGTCAATGATTTCCCTCCAGAAATATGAGATTGGCTCACAAGCACATAGTGCTGCAATCATGCTTCCTATGGACCAACCATAGGAGACGAGAAGGGTGGTCCAGATCATCCAGTTCATGCCAAAGATTCGGCGATAGAACATGAGGATTGAGACCTTGATGAGGAGGAGCTCAAAGAGATAGACAATAAGGTATGCAAAGAGGATCTATACTTTTCAATTAGATTTGGCTCTGAGGTATTGAATGTTTTTTTGTACATGCCTTTTTCATTGTCACCATGTTCTCCACTGTTATCCTCCAGCCATGTAAACCGAAACCGTAGGTGCCGCCTGATTAGGGATATACCTGTTAATGTCTTGTTTTTTTATATAGGTAAAATCAAATTGAAAACGCACCAAGAATAGATGCTGTAAGCAATGCTATCAGTGGAATACTAGATGTCCCAATCAACCAGTCATCGGCTTCCAGCCTCGCTCCCTGGATATATCCCCTCACAACAAGCCGGGAGATAATAGTGAATACTGCAAGCACACATATAGCCATGACAACAGCAGTATCTTGGAAAGTTCTGCTTTCTGCGAGATCCAATCCCGCCGGTGGGGGTCCGAAAATAGATGTCATGTTCATCTCCGCGATGTCCATATCTGCGGTTTCCTGGCTGTGCCAGCACCCTGAAATATAGAAGAATGACGCTCTAGGGGGTGTTCTATAAGCATTCAACAAAATGAAAGTGAATATCTCCAAAGACTAGCAGGCAAAATTCTTGCAGGCGAGCATTGGCCATCTTGTTCAATTTGATCTAACAAACTGGATGAGATCATACGAGAGTATCAGGGCAGCATCCTAAAAGGGATAGTTAGGTATAAATATCTTATACTCATATCACTAATTCTTCAGTCCCACTTTCTCTATTTGGATAGGATCTTTCTGCACGGGCGGAGATGGTTGTTGATTAGGGTTGGGGGCGAAAGGGAAATATCCGGCACGGGAGAATCATCGAAGACTACTGGTAAAGATTCCCTTTCATGGGTCAATTTCTCCCATAGCGTGGACTATGCCCTCATCCTGAAGGATTGAGGGGCTGCAAATTGTGTTGCAATTCCTTGAGGATTAACAAGGTAGTTTAAGCAATTTGTACTATATGAACAATATATGAACACTTCCCAGATTTTAGAAATGGTTAGAGATGGTAGCTGTCATATAATATAGATCAAGAAAATATAGATCAAGGGTAATAGAAGAAGAAAGAATATGTGAATGCACGAATATGTGAACTATATATTGTATAAATATATACATGTCGGCCGCATGCTCTAATTATGAATTTCTTTAACATGAACATGGTTAGGTATTGCCTTGTCACAAACAGCCCACTTCTTAAGTACTTTATGAATGTTTTCTAGTATATTTTAGTATATTTTAGTTCAGAGTATTTTGTAGAAGATAAGCACTGTACCTAAGAATATCCACCAGTAATAAGAGCAAGTGAAGTAGCAAATTCCTTCATAAGTAAACTGACGTCAATAGAGAAGATGTCCATAAAAAACATCAGAATATCAAAATATCACATTGATGGACGGAGTACTCCGTCCAATATACAATATGCACCATTTATAGATGATTGCCGCAGAAAAGTTCCCCCACAACGATCAACCCAACCCAACTTCAACCACAGATTCAACCACCTTACACTCCAACGGCCCCCTCTCAATATCAAAATCAACAATGCCCCCAAAGTCCCAAGACCAGGCCGATGACAAGCGTCAAGCCGCCAGAGAAGTCATCGATATCCTTCAGGAGATCTCCGACCTGCTGGTGCGTGCTCACCTCCCCCCAAACTAGACAGGATTCGGGATTCATTTAGGACTCCTAGTCCATGTCGTCATTCTCTCTTCTTTACAATAAAATAAAACTATAATTCCCAAATCTGACATGCTGGACAGAATACCAACCTGGACCGGACAGAGCTATCGCTTTGTGTGTCTCTCATTGAAAACGGGGTCAACCCCGATGCTTTGGCGGTACGCGTTTCCCCGTCAAATTAGGATCGAATCTTAACAATATAGCGTTCTGCACGCGTCATTCGGTATTAAAAGTGCCCAGTAGCTGACTTGATTTCTGCTTTACAGACTGTCATCAAGGATCTGCGCAAGGAGACTGGTTCTTCAAAGCGCGTGGGTAATGCTCCCGCCGTGGAGTAATCGCGTTAGGGAGTCAGCAGGGGTTAACAAAATCCCTTGAGTTACATGTTGCCTATTGTTGCATCGAACGAGGTCTGTTGATTTATTCTGGTTTTGGCGTTGAGGCCGTGTATTTGTTACTAGATGGGCCGGTCGGAGATATACCCTTTTGTTTTGTTGCTTGTTTCCGGTACAAATACAGATTCAATTTGGCTTGGGTTTATGGAGACATTAGAAAGCTTGGGAAAACGTCTTGGGCTACCTCTACTAGGTATCGTAAACTCGGGGTGGGCAGCGCATAACAAGGTGAGTTGGCAGAGTAGGACGATAGAGGAAATGAATATGATCACGGGATGGAAGGAAAGGGGGGAAAGGGAGCATAGGCAAGATGTGATTCGCGCAGATGACAGCGGGGATATTCAAATTCATCATTCGCAATTATTTTGACTCGTCGGGTTTGGTCGCGCCCTTGGTCTCCTGGTCCTTGGAGGAACTCACTTCTTCGGACACTGACTCGATAGTAGCATGCTTGGTCTGTTCGCCTTCCGAGCCAGTGGTTTGCTCCTTGGTCTTAGATTCCTTGGTTTCCTTCTCATCATCGCTGTCGCCGAGGCTGAATGGGTCGTTCTCCGCGACGGGTGAAGGCTCGACAGTGGACAATGGTTGCCATTTGCTCGCCTTGCCGCCTGTTGAGCTGAGACGCTTGGGTGGCGTGGACGCATCGTAAATGTTGTCAATCTCCGTGGGTGGTCCATCCTGGAAAGATACCTTGCGCCTGTCTGGCGAAGGAGACACGGAGGGTTTAAAGCTGGATTGGCCCGGACGAGGGGGGCGAGCCGGGGGAGCTGTGCACAGTTAGCAAAACCCAATCATACTAGACTTAAGATCGATGTTTACCTTCGCCATCCCTCAACTCAAGAGCAGAGAAATCATCGCTGAAAACTTGGGGATCTGCGTCGTAGCGCTCACGATCGCCACTGCGACGGCCCATATCACCACTACGTCGGGGCCGGGCCTGCGCGGGGGTATCTCTTTGATTCTGGGTAGGTTCCTCGTCCAAATCATCTCCATCAATTCTCTTCTTCAGGTTTGTTACCCACGAATTAACCTTGCTCTGTGTCTCCAGGAAACCCTTGCGGAGGTTTTCGCGGATCACAGGTAGATCATCTGTAAACACCCAATTAGCACAAGCTCACTCGACCAGCCACCATATCCCATACCATCAAAGAAGCTGTATTCTCTCTCATCCGACTCCTCGCTTCCTCTGGGTCGCTGGTATCGGGGGTCACTCTCCCAGCCCGGAGGCGGCGCGCGACGTCCTGCCGCGTTGTAGTGCTCTGATAGTTGACGTGCATACATTTCATCGGCTTCCAGTTGTCGCTGTGCAGCAGTGCTCTGTTGGGTTGGGCGCGGCGGCTTTGGTGGCGGTGTCATTTCCTCTTGAGCCTTGGGGTCCGTCATACCTGCAAGCAAAGGTCGGGTCAGCTCATACTCCTTTCATAAATAGTAGATCCCCACGAACCTAGGAGGGCATTGAACGCCCGCTCGACATTCCAATTGCTTGCGGTCAAGACCGCTTTAATAACACCAGGCTCGATGCTTGGGAATGCCTCCCTAAGGGTGTTCTCCGACTGTTCTCTTGGGTTCAGGGGCCGGGGCGGCTTTGGCGGGGCTGCCTCGGCGGCGGCTGGCTGAGCAGCGACAGGGGACGAAGTAATAACTCCGCTCTCCTGGGGCTCATCGTCGAAGTCCATCGGACGCGCAGTAGTCGGCGACTCAGGTCTGGGGCTGTTAGGGGAATTAAGGGCAGCCAAGGGCTTGCTGGAAGTGTTCTGTGTATGAACGTGAGCCTCATGCGATAACAAGTGATAACCTTTACAAAGGAAACGTACCATCTTGTCCTCCTCTGACATCTTGGAATATCTTCAGGACCTAATAGAGGATAGAGAGTGACTGTAGGGAAATTCACAGAAACAGTGGTGCCTGAGAATGTTTGAGCGCAGGACATATCGGGGAAGCTCCAAGTGACGTGGGGCGCACGTGATAGCGGGCAAGCTTTATACAGATCGCGATGTTTTTGCGAGGACTCCGACGACCTTCAAGTTGCCAATCTACAAAGCGCTTGAATTTTCAGAATGGCCCAGATCCAGTTTGGTTTCTTTTAACAACCGGGCTCAAATTCAACAGAGGTCGTTCTCGGCTAAAATTTGGTCTAAAATGGCTTCAGAACAGGAGCTCTCGACCTCTTTCATTCCAGCCCTGTATAAACCGGCTGCTTTACTACCTATCGCACGTCATAAGAAGAACCTGCTCTACCTGGTTGAAAAATACCCCGTCACTATTGTGGTAGGTCAAACAGGCAGCGGTAAAACAACCCAGCTTCCGCAGTATCTAGACCAGGCAGGATGGTGCGAGGATGGAAAAACTATTGCTGTTACACAGGTGCGCACTGATCTCATCCTACTTCAAATCAAGTAGAGGCTAACACTGTCCCAGCCCCGGCGGGTGGCTGCTACAACGGTTGCGACACGAGTAGCCGAAGAGATGCGATGCAAGGTCGGTGAAGAGGTGGGCTACTCCATCCGATTCGAAGATTTGACATCTCCTGCAACAAGGATCAAATTCCTGACAGATGGAATGCTTCTCAGAGAAGCCTTGGTTGATCCTTTACTTTCACGGTATTCCGTGATCATGGTCGATGAGGCACATGAAAGATCTCTCAGTACCGATGTGCTTCTTGGAACTCTGAAGAAGATCCGCAAGAAACGTCCTGAACTTCGCATTATTGTTAGTAGTGCAACCCTCCAAGCAGAGGATTTTCTTCGTTTCTTTGCCGGTGAGGAGTACCAGCCTGAGGCAGAACCGGCGGATTTGGGTGGAAGTATTGGTCGGATCATTAGTCTGGAAGGACGGATGTATCCAGTCGATATGCTGTTCCTTGACTCTCCGGCAGAAGATTACATAGAGCGAGCAGTGAAGACCGTCTTTGATATCCATACCCAAGAACCAGAAGGCGACATACTTCTTTTTTTGACTGGCCGGGAAGAGATCGACATTGCGATCCAGTTGATATCCGAAAGAGCGGCAACTCTCCATCCAAAGGCGCCCTCTCTACTTTCCCTACCACTTTATGCTGGACTCACCACAGAACAACAAATGTACGTCTTCGAGCCGACTCCAGAAAACACCCGAAAGGTCATCGTCTCGACCAACATAGCCGAGGCCTCAGTCACAATCGACGGGATTGTATATGTGATTGATTCGGGCTTCGCCAAGCTCAGAGCATACAACCCCAACACTGGTATTGATACATTGACCGCAGTGCCAATATCAAAAGCATCTGCCACCCAGCGAGCTGGCCGCGCTGGAAGAACGAAGCCGGGAAAATGTTTCCGTCTGTACACGCAACAAGCATTCGAGCAGATGCCGGAAGCAACCGTACCTGAAATTCAGCGGTCAAATCTTGCGCCAGTCATCATGCAGCTTAAAGCACTGGGCATCGACAACATTGTTCGATTCGACTTCTTGACACCCCCGCCGGCAGAACTTATTATTCGGGCACTTGAGCTCCTGTCCTCTCTCGGCGCGGTTGATGACTATGCCAAACTCACAAAACCGCTTGGAGTGCGGATGGCAGAAATTGCTCTAGATCCTATGATGGCCAAAGTTCTTCTCACCGCGCCATCTTTCAACTGTTTAAGCGAAATTCTCACAATTGCAGCCATGGTCAACCTCCAGGGGACAGTGTGGGTTCAGCACGCTGGAGACAAAAGATCTGCCGAGAGCCACCGGCGAAAGTTCGCCGTGGAAGAGGGGGATCATTTGACGTACCTGAATGTGTACCAAGCCTTTGTTACCAAGGGGAAGAAAGACTCAAAATGGTGTCGCGATAACCTCTTGAATTACCGGGCACTGCTACGCGCAGTGAGCATTCGAGGTCAGTTAAAGCGGTACCTGGAACGCTTTGGGATTCAAGTCGATGAAACACTTTCATCCCGTCATGGCCCAGCCGATCTGAGCAACCAACCAGAGCAGATTCGGCGTTGTCTTACGACGGGCTATTTTGCTCACGCGGCGAAGATGCAACCGGATGGGACTTTCAAGACTGTCAGTGGTGGCCTGACTCTCCATGCTCACCCCACTTCGTTGATGTTTGTAAGTGCTCATGGATTATGTGTGGGGAAATATATGTTTGGTTTACTGACATAAATATAGAACCGAAAAGCCGACTGGGTCATATTCCACGAAATCATGCAAACGGGCGAGAAGACATATATCCGCGATGTCACTAAGATCGAGAAGAGTTATCTGCTGGAGTATGCTCCGGATTATTACCGAGTCAGGCAATAATGACACCTGGAATTCGGCTAGAAAGGAGGAATATGTACAATAATACCCAGGCGTTTAAGGGGGCTGTGGAATTGAGATATAGTATGTTGATTGCATTTTATAGATCGAGCAAAACCAAGAGCCCTAAAGGCGACAGGCAGGCAGTTCGGGCTACTGTACAGTGATATAGTCAGATATAGTACATACATTGTAAAGTTGGTATATAAAAAAAGAGGAACTCATTTCAAACAATATGATCTCTTCAGGCTATGAACTACATACGTAGCAGAGTAAAACGACGTCACGGGAGTGGAGAGCTTCCCAAACACCTTTCAATTTCAAACATTTGAATCTCCAAACCCATCTTCATCTTATTATTCAAATCCTGTACAACCATCTAATTTACATCGATATCTTGCAATGTCAGGGCATCATCATGATCACGATGGCCACTGCCATGGCGAACACGACCATACCAACGATATCACTCCAGCCATCCAATCCCTCCTCTACTCTCAGATCAACTTTGATCTAATTACAACCCTGAATGGTATGCATGAGCCTTATTATCATTTGCGCACATACTGGTAGCAATTCCTGACTCTCGACAGAGACAACCCCAAACTCTGGCGCATCCATCGTCCAGAAAACCTGGGCCGAGCGACTAAACGACAAGCCCGAACTTGAGAGCGATGCCGACGAACAGCTGCTCATGACCATCCCGTGAGTCTCACTCATTCCACACATCTATCCTACAATTTCTAGTGGCTGTTCAATCCCCTTCGCAACACGTCACAAAAATCCCAAACCCCCACCAATCTTACCCCTCACCCGTTATCGCCAACCCCAAAACTAATCCGAGCTTCTACACAGCTTCAACGGCCAAGTCAACGTCCACTCCGTCCTCCTCTACACAGCGCCTACAAACTCCGCCCCAAAGACGGTAAAGCTATTCAAGAACCGCGACGATTTGGATTTCTCAACCGCGTCGGAGTTGCACCCGACTCAAATCATCGAAGTTCCGCGGCCAGTACCCGGCGCCGATGTCTTTGAATTGCCGCTGAATCGTGCCCATTGGAACGCGACTACCTCTGTTACGCTATTCTTCGAGGATAATTGGAGTGATGGCGAGGAGGATGTCACTAAGGTTGGGTATGTAGGCTTCAAGGGACAGTTCATGAAGTTAAGCCGGGAGCCGGTTAATTTCCTCTATGAGGCTGCGGCGAACCCTCAGGATCATGTTTCTATTCCTGGTGTTAGTGGTGTTGGTGGTAGGATTATGCCTGGGCAGTAGATGGGGTTCGTTGGGGTTTCTTTCGAAGAGATGGGCATGCCTCGGTGTAATTTGAATTTGACAGGTCAGTCACGATTAACGACAATACTATTCTACTGCTATGAATTTCTACATGGATTTTATTTCTTTGTTGTGGTATTTATTCCGGTCAAGTGAGCTCTTATATTTAGTATCATTTGTAAAAACTCGGACCGAGGATGTCATATTCTATAGACCATGGATTCTACAACAAGCAATAGAATCAACCGCCAACGCCATGGAAACATGAAATCTAACAGCAATATAGGCAACAAAAACAAAAAAGCCGCAACGCCACAAAATGCTCTGGATCTATATAATGCAATGCTTGGTGCTGTGCAATGAAGATCCAACATATCTCCCCTACTAAGCGGGCAAAGCCGTCCGAGTCTCAGCCTTAGCCTTGGTTCTTGGAGTCGACTCCGGCACCGGCTCTTCAATAGGCAACTCAGCAATAGGGGGACTTGGCAGTACGACATCATCGGGCAGGATCTCAGGACCAGCAAGTTCCCGCTGCAGAGCCTCCAGCTCATCCTCAACCTCGTCCTCATCTTGGTTCGTCAAATGACCCGCCAGCATCTGGCTCACCTCCTATAACAACAGTCAGTGACACTGAACCCCAATCCCAACGTCCTGCACAAGAACATCGGATAGAAACGAGGAACGTACCTCCTGATAAACTCTCGCCTCCTCGGTCTCCCCCATCAATCTCTCAACACCCTCAATGCCACCCATCTCTTGATTGATGGTCTGCAGCACCTTCGTGCCCTGCTGCAACCCAAACAGCACGTCCTTCTGCACAAGCGCAAACTCCACTTGCCCAGTTAACTGCTCCAGTTGCGCGAGTTGTCCATCCGTCTTCTCAAGGAGCGACTCCTGGTATTTCTTGCGTCGGAGGGCGAGCAGTGCTCGCCGCCGATCATCGCGTGCGAGACATTCCTTGGCGATTTCCGTTTCGCGGTCTGTTAGGACGGTTATTCGTCGTTGGTATTGGTGCAGTCTGTCCCGTTGGTTTTTGAGATCGAGAATTGCCCTATATATATGCCACAGGTTGCTTGTTAGCTGACATCATACTATTGGGTTCCTTCAATAGGCGTGCTGGGTGGGGATGAGGGGGTCTCGTGAGGAGAACAATAGTGTGCTCTGACAAGCGGGATTGAGAATGGGTTGAGGATATTGTATATGTACAATATATGGTAGTATTCACTCACCGATCCTGGGCAGAGATCTTATGTGAACTACTCGTGTTTCCCATGTTGTTGAAGAGAAGGGAGAACCCCAAGTAGATGCGGGCCTAGACATGAATGACGTTATGTAACGGGCCCGTAATTACGTGTAATTTTCAGCCGATCTTTCAAATGTTTCAATCTCCGAAATTTCGGGCCCGCGGCCTTTTCTTTTGCACAACCAATATCAAATCATGCCTCCTAGGAAGGGTGGCAGGCCGACCCTCAGTCAGGGTCTGGACCGTGAGGTATGTATTCTAAGATTGTGTCTTGTCGGCTTTGACTGACTCCCAAAATAGGTCTACCAGGTCGTGCGCAAGATTATTGACGACCAACCCGAGACTGGGCGCATTCGACTATCAGTCCCAGCGATTTATGACACAATTAAGAAATCCAACTCGAGTTTGAACCGGAAACCGAAGAGACTTATTGAAGACAGTCTCGAGCGGGTATTGGAGGTTGTCAAAGCTGATATGGGTGAAGACGATGAGGATTCTATGGAGGGGGACTTTGAGGGACTTGAGGAGCCCGCCGCTGCGGTATGTTATGCAGTGGGCATATTTTGCTTGAACGGGACGGAAATTCTAATTGGAAAATCCATATTAGGAACCCAATGGAATGAACCAGAGCGTCGTTGGCTCGTGGGCAACAACGAAGGCCAAAAAGATCGCCGAATCCACAGCTAGCACACCGGCACCCACTGCGTCCAAGAGAAGAACGCATGGCGGAGAATCCGTGTCTAAGCGACGCAAGGCTGAGCCCGCGGATCGTTCGCCACCCACACATGTCAGTCTGGCCGATTTGGGCGGACTGGATGATGTTGTTCAGGAACTTGGGGACTTGGTCATTCTACCCATGACCCGGCCGCAGGTCTATCTCTCATCAAACGTGCAGCCGCCGCGCGGAGTATTGCTACATGGTCCGCCGGGTTGCGGTAAGACACTGATTGCAAACGCTTTCGCAGCGGAGCTAGGTGTGCCCTTCATTTCAATCTCTGCGCCTTCGGTCGTATCAGGAATGTCGGGTGAATCTGAGAAAGCTCTGCGCGAGTACTTCGAAGAGGCCAAGCGTCTTGCTCCCTGTTTGATCTTCATCGACGAGATTGATGCGATTACGCCGAAGCGCGAGAGCGCTCAGCGAGAGATGGAAAAGCGAATTGTCGCCCAGCTCCTGACCTGCATGGACGAAATTGCCCTTGAAAAGACAGACGGCAAGCCCGTTATCGTACTCGCGGCAACCAACCGCCCGGACAGTCTCGATGCTGCTCTGCGCCGCGGTGGCCGTTTCGATAAGGAAATCAACATGACCGTGCCCTCAGAGCCAGTCAGAGAACAGATCCTACGCGCACTCACCCGCAAAATGCGCCTGGCAGACGATATCGACCTCAAGACACTAGCCAAACGAACCCCCGGCTTCGTAGGCGCCGATCTCAACGACCTCGTCTCGACCGCTGGCTCAGCCGCCATCAAGCGGTACCTCGCGATCCTGAAGTCGAACAGCGGCGAAGAAATGGAGATGGAAATTGAAGGCGAGGGCGATATTAGCCCGCGAGTCCGCGAACTCCGCCGCCTTATCAACCACGCTAAGGAAACTCCCATCGGCGACGAAACAGAAGTTGTCCTCGTCTCCAACGCAGACTTTTTCACAGCACTCCCCAAGATCCAACCCTCTTCTAAGCGCGAGGGCTTCGCCACAATCCCCGACACAACCTGGGCCGACATTGGTGCCCTCGGCGGCATTCGCGACGAGCTCGTCACTGCCATCGTCGAACCAATCAAGAACCCCGATATCTACGCCAACGTCGGTATCACCGCGCCGACGGGTGTCCTCCTCTGGGGCCCGCCCGGTTGCGGTAAAACCCTCCTCGCAAAGGCCGTCGCCAACGAGTCCCGTGCAAACTTCATCAGCGTCAAGGGCCCCGAACTGCTCAACAAGTTCGTCGGTGAGTCTGAGCGCGCTGTTCGCCAGGTCTTTGTCCGTGCCCGCTCTTCCGTGCCCTGTGTTATCTTCTTCGATGAGCTCGATGCCCTTGTGCCCCGCCGTGACGATACGCTCTCTGAGGCATCCGCCCGTGTCGTCAACACACTCCTCACGGAACTTGATGGTCTCGGCAGTAGTCGCCAGGGTATCTATGTCATCGCTGCCACCAACCGGCCTGATATTATTGATCCTGCTATGCTGCGTCCTGGTCGTCTTGAGACTCTTCTCTTTGTGAACTTGCCCACGCCGCTCGAGCGTGTCGAGATCTTGCAGACTCTGCTCCGGAACTTGGCTATTGAGTTTAATGAGGATTTGCGCAAGCTCGCCGAGGAGTGTGAGGGCTTCAGTGGTGCTGATTTGGGTAGTTTGTTGCGTCGTGCCGGTTACTCTGCTATCAAGCGTCGCGATAGTATTAAGTTCCTTGACTTTGTTGCTGCTAAGTCGTTTGTTCGGCCTAGTGTTACGGATTTGAGGAAGTATGAGAAGCTCAGGAGGGACTGGAGTAGTGGTGTGGTCTGAGTTTGGGGATGGTTTGTATATGTATTCTCTTGGGATGTATATGTACATCTATGCATATTTAGATCTAGAGTTTTCTTTTTTTCTCCCAATTTTTCTTGCATTTTTTCTTGCTTGGGATTGTGGACATAGATACCTTGAATAGTTGTTATTTTATTCGACCATTGGACCATTTTTTCCTACATCCTTTCGACTACTACCGAGCTACAATAACCCCAAGATCTATATATATAATACAAATTAAAAAGTGTTAAAGAAGCGACTTTTTTGTAAGATAACTATACAAAAGGAAGATTATGCACAAAAAAATAAATAGAGAAAAACGCCCAGAAAAATGTCAGACATCATGCAACGGCATCTCAAGATTACATCCACAAGCGACACGTTCCATCGGCACCAGCACTGACAGCCCACGCCTCGCGCGGGTGCCAATCGATATCCAAAACACCCAACTCGCCAGTAATCTTGTGGCCCTTGAGAACCTTGAGCGGCACAATGGTAGCATTGCTGAGCATATCTCCAGTAACGCTGCCGTGGAAGATCTGCAGGGATCCATCGTCGGAAGCATCCGCGAACAGCGGGTAGCGGCCGCTGGGGTGGAACTTGACGGCACGGATAGCCTTGCGGTGGTAGCGGAGGGTCTTGTAGGGGCGCTGCGATAGGTCGAGATCGTGCCAGAGCAGACGACGATCGTACGAGCCGATGATGATGTTGTCGCCGCCGGATGCGCTGGAAGAGGTCGGGTGGATGTCGAACGACGAGATCCAGCGTGCACCAGGCTGCAGGATCTTGACGAGGAGCTGGCGCGAGAGATCGTATGCGCGGATCGAGCGCTGGTTGGCGACGAACAGGATGGGTTTCGACGGGTGGAAGTGGGCGGTCTGGGGGGGACCACCACCCTTGAGGCGGCGCCGGAAGGGGAATTGTGTCAGGTGCTTGCTCACTGTGTGGATGGAGATTGCGACGGAGGCGGGTGTCGAGGCGCCGGAGCACACTGTCACGAAGTAGTCGCCGCGGCGGTGCCAGGAGATAGTCTTGGGCACGTAGCGGAGGGGAATGACGACGCACACACCGGCATCCACGAGAGCGGACGAGGGACGGATCCAGGTTGGAGGTGCATTTTTCTTGCCTTCCTCTGAGACACTGGGGGCCGGTCGAGAGGCGGCGAAACCCCAGCCTGCGTCGAGGAGATCCAGACTGGCCTTCTCGATTTCAGGGTCGACAATGGGAGGAACGGAGAGGAAGATGTCGTCTCCTGCGGTGGCAGCGAGGATGACAGCATCCTTGCCCGGACGCCAGCGGACAGTGTTGACCGCCTCGTCATCGCTGAGCTTCACGCTCCATAGTTGGCGACCTGTAAGGAGTTCCCAGACACGGACGGTACCGTCGTCACCACCAGTAGCCAGCCAGACTCCAGTTGGGTCCACGTTGACAGAGCGCACACGGCCCTTGTGTCCGCGGAAGACTGTGGCACAGGCAGTGGGGAAAGGCTTGAGCTCCTCAGGGCTGGGAAGCTTGGGCAAGAGACTCTCGGGGTCGATGTTCAGCTTGCTACGACGCACACGCGGAGCAAGGTAGAGATCCAAGCAACGCTCGAACTTCTCTTGGACGAAGTTGTCGTATCCAGGAACTCTGCGCAGGGAGCCAAAGTCGTTGGGCAGGTAATTCTTCTCGCGATCCTCGGGATCGGTCTGTTCCCATTCCTTACGTTCCTTGTTATCGGGCAGGTACTCAGCAGGTGGGTGGTAACTCTCCTCGTAGCCAGGGGGTGGGAGTTTGGGTGCTGGGATGTGCATGACGTGGTCAGGTCGCTCGACTTCGTCAGCCCACAGGTCGTAGTTGATGAGTTCCTCCTCCTTGTCTTCCCTCTCCTCTGGGGCCTTGTAAGGAAGAATGCGGCCCTCGCGGATGGCCTTCACAAGCTTCATCACACGCTTCTGCTCGTGCTTGGATGGCACGAAACGGCGCTTGGGTTCGGGTGCGGCGCTCAATGGCATGATCTCCTTTTCGCTGCTGAACCATTCCACCAAAGGCTCGTATGGGTCGTAGCCCTCGGAGGGGACCTCGTTCATTTGCACCTTGCGGAGCAACTCTAATTCCTCCTGGCTGAGCTCCAGAGGCTTGCCGGTCTTGGGGTCAGTCAGACCAGTCCAGCCCTTGGGGATTTCAATGCTATCCAACAACGCATCCAGGGCCTCGCCCTTGGCGGGACGCATAATTTTCTTTCCATTGATGTCGTAACCAATGTGGGGATATTCGTCGTAGAACTTCAGAGGGATGTCGCCAATGGTGTTGGCATTTTCATCCACCTCGGAGAGTTCCGAGTTGTCGTCTGGGTGAATTTCATCCCAGAGGTAGCGATCGTTTCCGTTGGCGTCCTTCACAATGCGGAAGTTGGGTTCACCGGCAGCTGGCTTAATTTCCTCTGTATCCGAGGGGATCTCGTCGCTGTCCAATTCATCTTCTCCATCTTCCGAATCACTGAAGTCATCGACTAGCTCGACTTCTGAGTCGCTGTCGTCGTCTTCGCTGCCCGAAAGATCTTTGGAGTTGTCCGACAGGGCTCCATCGAGGTTGCTTTTGCTCAATTCGTCACCGGAAAAGACACCGGCTTCCTCCTCGACATCGCGAGTGACAGCCTTGCGCTTCTTTGAAGCCGCCTTTGGGTTCATGATGCCGTTCAGCGGGTGTTGTCTTGTTGCGGTAGATCCATAGGTTTTTTTTTTTAGGATAATTTCTCGGGGCGCTCACCGCCCACATGACCGCCCCCATCTTATCAGGACTATCTATGACTTCGCTAATGTTTTACTTCTGAGGTTCCAAAGGAAAGTTTTCGAGCTATTAAAGAGTCCATTTTTTGAATAATATTGCCAAGCAATGGCGCTACCACCTGAGTATGAGGGAGGTATTCCTTTGAATACGAATGATTCGTCAGAGCCAAAAAGACATGCAGCATGCGACGAGTGTAGTAAGTCTGACAACCCGATGTAGCGCAACTCTGACTGACCAGTCCGCTGCTCGATAGGAAAGCGAAAGCTCAAATGCTCCGGGGAACCAGCAGGCTGTGCGCGATGTACCAAACAGTCACTTTCTTGCAACTATTCCATACAAAAACAGATGGGCCGGCCGCCCAAGAAAAGGACGCGGACAGAAGATGAGGGGCCCAGCTGCCCAGCGCTATCGTTTGCCGAAATTTGGCCCAGTCCAGTTGACTCGCAACAATCTTCAATAGGGATGAGTCCAAGCACAATGGCCTTCTCAGACGCCGACCATCTTTGTCCGCAATTATTCTGGCGGCCGGGTATGCACACGAATTTGCCACACTCCCAGTCCGCAGATCAATTGTCAGGCTATGAAGACCACAACCATACCTGGAGCCCAGACCGTTTGAAACAGCCAAATCTTGGTGTTCCTGAATCGTCTTCCCCTTGGCCTGATTTTTCGGCCATATCCAAAGCCACGGCCATGCCAATGCCATTCCCTACCCCTCCAGTCTTCCCTTCTACGCACTCTCTCCCGCTCTCTCCTGCCACCTCCGTTTCTTCCGACTCCACAACATCTGGGTGTCCGTGTCTATCATACCTCTACCTATCCCTCAGCCACATGACGTCAATTGCCTCCTTCCCCGTTAACTCCCACACCCTATGCTCGCTATATATCGCTGCGCGAACAGCACGAGACGTGATCCGCTGCCAAGTTTGTCCTAAGGTCTTTGCAACGGGTCTTCAAAATATCATGTTCATAGGGACTCTATTAACCGTCGTCGCGGACTCATGGCTGCGCGTCTCACAAGCCGATGCTGTCGAACTGGGGATGCAGTCCGCGTCACCAGACTTCGTGTCTGAGGTGCTCCAAAGCCCTGACCCAGCACAAGTTTGGAAAAAATGGCTCCACGACGTCGTTCGTCGCGCTGTCATTGGTGGGTCCGTTGGGCCAGGTGCTATGATTGCTTGTTCTTGGCAGCCAGCTCTGCTATCTATGATTATTGAAATCGAGAATCGGCAACGCCGCTGGCATGAACCTGGGCAACATCCACTTGGAGAGTGTAATCCATTGTCCACGTCGGACTCAGCTCACTCAGAAGATCAGGATGATCCTGCAGACAAGGAATTTTTATGCCTCCGCGTGGTTGGGAGTGCTAGAGAGGTGATAAAAAAATTCAACTTTGATCCATCAGAATATCCCGAGAGCGTTGAGCCGGTTACGGCGACGAACAAAGGGCACACGCAATCGCATTATACATGAAAAATCTGGTTCGTCAAAGCTTGGGCTTGTCTGATTTCTGCACTTCGAATATGTTTTGAGACTATATGGAGTTATTGTTATATACCATTGGGCATCAGATACGCTATAAATCTACATTACTTCGCTGGTACAAAGCTAGATTGACCACTTCCAGTTCCCTGTAATTTGACAAGCGGTGGTAAGAAGGTCACTGCTACGGACGACTCAGTGTGCACCTAGAAAGATATAATGAGGCCGTGTAAGTGGCCGACTATTCTTGTCTCTTTTACTTTCATTTATCTTTTTATAAATAAGGAAATGCCGGAAAATACTCTCCCCCGTGAGGGAAAATCTGTAACTTGGTAGTACAGTATCTTGATCAAGGTTGATATGTCATTGACCATTTCATTAATTTTTGTTGTACAAGCATTCAAGTCAGTGAAATGAGCCCCATTGTCCCTCGAATGCCTGTCCATGTAGATGACGCCGGACCATGTGGATATGTAACAAGAAAACTGCATCGAAAACGCGAAAAGAAAAAGAAGCTGCAAGAGAAGTAGAAGGCTAGATGCTCACTCGTCGTCCTCATCGTCCACCACGTAGCGGTTCTTCTTTCGGGCAGGAGGTGTACCGTCCCTGGCTTGAGGCTCTGGCTTGCCACGGGCAGCTTTCGCAGGTGCAGCCTCCACATCGTCTTCACCTTCAGCGTCCATGTCTTCATCCTCCAGCTCCTCTTCTTCATCTTCGGCTTCTTCCTCAACCTCCTCATCGCTACCAACCAAGAATCCGTCGTCCTCATCGTACTCGTCTTCTCTGTTACGGGCACCACGAGAATAATCTTCTTCTTCTTCGTCGTCGGTGTAGATCTCGCCGCGGCGGTTTTGGCGGCGAGGCTTGGCACGCGGACGAGTTGTAAGCAAACCGCCATCTTCAAGACCCCCGACACTAAGACCGCTAGGACCAGTGCGAGTAGCGCCATGGCGGCGACCGCGGTCGGCCTCACGATCAGCAAGTTGCTGGCGACGGCGCTCGGCCTTGATAGCTTCCTTCTCCATCATTTCGGCACGTTTGCCAGCCAACTCGGGATCCTCTGTTAGTTCATAGCGCGGCGCAGTGCCAGCTGCGGTCTGCTTGCTACCACGAGCAGCAGCAGCCAATTGTTCTTGCAATCGCTGAACGGCATCGTCCGTTTCCAAGGTAGTCGGGAGAATAGTCAGACCTTGGGTGATATGTGAGGTCAATCGGAAAACCTGGGCTGTTTCAAGTCCAGCAGCGAGATAAACGTGAGAGTCCAGCTTGTGGTCATAGTCGCCGGACTTGGTGAGAGGTGCGAGGGGTTTGGATGCGATGCGGTATTGCTCAAGAGGAGCAGAGGCGAGTTGAAGAGTGATAGAGCCATCCTCCCATTTGATCATGCGGGCATTAGACTGCAAAAGGGAGTCATCCGCAGGATCCTTGCGCCAGCATAGGGAGGTAGCAGCGGTCTGATAAGGCGGTGGGACGTAAGTCTCGGGATTGAATTCTTCTCCTTCGATAGAGAGGAAATCCGGCACGCGCATTGTGTAGACCTAGCACATTAAGTTAGATCAACACCAAAGGCTTCAAGGTAGAAACTTCTCTTACCTCTCCATCGTTGGTCAATGGCACTGGCGCCCGAGCAAGGTCCTGGTCAGCAACATTGACTTCCTGCTGCTCCTCGGCCACATCGTCCATTCGGTCTTCGCGCCGATCATAGCGGTTCTCATCATCGCCTGAGTCAAGTTGTTCATCGTCTAGGTTGCGGTGTGGTCTAGCAATATATCAGTACCTAGCTATTGTCGCTTTGGTGTGGTTTGCATACTCAATGTCATCGAGTCCGCCCTCTCCGTCCGAGCCGAAGAGATCATCGCCTTCATCCATTTGGTCGGCGCCAGAATCATTGGCATTGCTGTGCGCAGGGCTCTCATGGTCATTGCTGGGGCGTCGGACGCCCTCCTCATCGGAGGACATGGTGTATGGAATTTATTGCTGTTGCGAGGTCGTAGGTGTGTAGAGATGAGAGTGACGATAAAGAAGGGATTGAATGTATCCTTGATATTAGATTGGAAGTAAGCGATCCGATATATCGTCAATAGTGTATTGACAATTGTGCTATCGGCCATTTACGACGGAGCTCCCATAATTCGATTGACGCGCGGGGCTATAGATTATCCGATTCCGGACAAAAACAGGACTAGTGTCTCGATGGCCCAGACCAAAAGGGGATCCTCAACGTGTGGACATCTCACCGTCTCGTCCCTCATCCCTGTTATTTTCTTGATTTGAAGCATTGCAGATCAATAAGATGGCGACCTTCTTCCAGAGCGTGTAAGTAATGTTGTGCCATTGTGGACTTGTTGCAATCGGCTGTTCAGTCTTCCTTCTACCTTTACCCCCTCATACTGCACGAAGAATCCCCCGGCGCCACAAATACAAAGGAGCATTCTATTCCTTAAAGTCCAATAACTCTCCTGGCACCTCCTGCCGTTCACATATACTCTTATTTCTTGAATATATGTCCACTTCATTCTCAAACAGCTATACCTCGCCACAATCATCTGCTAACTCTATCTTTGAACACAGTCGCCAAGGATTTGGCCGGGGAGGAAACAACAAGAGCAACAATCCCCCCAAAAGCCCAGCGCAGGCCTCTACTCCTCAACATCAAGCCACCATGTCGAATTCGCCCTCCATCTCTAGCAGTCTGTCAGTAGAGACTCAAGCGAACGATCCCGAGGGACCTAAGTACTTCTTCCAGGAGAAGTATGCCCCGCTAAATGTGAGGGGCAACTTCTTGACCCTTTGTGCTTGCCCGAAGAATGTGGAGCTGGGCGAGTGGCTGGCTCACCAGAGTAAGCAATCTTGAAGCTTATCTTGAGAGCCTGGAGGCTAATGTGTTTCCGCTTTAGTTGTTGAACAATATCGTCTACTCCACGGCATGCTTCAGGTTATCCAGGAGGTGAACAGTGTAACCGGTCTACCTATCTGCAATGAAAACACTTGCCCAACAATGTCCGCTGGACGGTATGTGGAGTATGGCGGGGTAAATTATGAACCGAGCTAACGATTCTCAAGGCTGACCTATACCTGGCTTGTTGACGGCCGCGCCGCCAAAATTTCCGCCCCGAAGTTCATCAACCGCGTTGAGAAATGGATCGTCAGCAAGATCCACGACCCTGTTATGTTCCCTACCGAAAAAGTCAACGGCACTCCCGAGACATCTTCCATCAAAGAGGCCAATGGCGCATCAACAACTCCCTCCGACCCCGCCAACCCAGAGGACTGGATCGGCAAGTCCAGTGGCTTCCCGCCAACCTTTTACAAGGACTGCCAGGGTATCATGAAGCAGATGTTCCGCTGCTACGCCCATCTGTACCATGCTCATTGGCTCAACCCCTTTTGGCACATTAACAAGCACGATGTCCTCAACATGTGCTTCGTTCACTTCGTCACCGTTTCAAAGTACTACGGGCTTGTGTCCGACAAGGAGATGGAGCCCATGCAGCCCTTGATCGAGTTGTTCATCAAGCAGCAGCGGGTTCCCCCAGAGGCGCTCAACGGTGGCCACTGGGCCCAGCAGGCCGCCCCTTAGCTCCACCGGTCTGGAGTTGCACCTTTTTGTTTTTACATTGACGATCACGACATGTCCGCTAACCTGGAGTTGGGCCGCGCTGTCTTACTTTGTTAGTATTCTGGCTTTCTCCTTCTGCCATTTCCATAAAAAAAAAAGGGCGAATTTGCGATGATATGACACAGAGCCGGGGCTTTGATTGAGCATTTAGCATGCGCTGTGAATTATTCTACTTGATGATCTTGCATATCTTCATCCAGCGTCAGCTGGTCATTGCATGTTTTTTTTTATTTACTCATTGCAACACCTTCATCTGATCATAATCCCATAACAAGACTCGGGGTTGTAAATGATCCACTAGATACATTCCGTTTTGTCTGGACCTGGTGACTCTTGTGTGCCTAGGGCCACAGAAGACGTGAGTAGTCCCTGGCTTGGGCGTAGTCATTCGTCGGGATGACCGTCTCTTAGCCGTTATGATCCGAGCTTGTAAATCGTACTGTGAAGTACGCATGTTGCGAAACATAGCCAATTGACATAGGTCGATCTTCGACCCACACGCAAATGCAGTAAAGCGCCCGCAAATAACAGTGATCGAGAGCCACTGACGCACTTGAAAGAATGCCTTTGAAGATTTGAGCGGTCCAAGCCGGCTTAAAGCCGGCTGTACGTAGATGACCCACCGAATGGGTCACAGATAGACCCCATCCCCATCCTCCCGATCATTAGACTCTTGCCCTGCACCAGCCCCAGGTCCAGCCCCGGTCTCAGTCTCATTTCCATTCGTCACCGGCACATCTATCAAAGCATCTTGTCCCTTGTCGATCTTAAGCTCATCAAGCTCAATCCAAGGCTGTCCACGATTCTCGACCTCGGTTTTCAGTAACATGATGCGTTCATTCATGGATACTGCCACGCCCTCATTTTCGGCGACATATCCCTCCAGCTCCTTCTTTTCTTCTTCCGAGTCGTTGCTTTCTGTTAAGAATGCACGGAGCTCATCATTCGAGCGGTGCAGGTGTGCGATGGAGTTTGTGAGCTCGGAGACTTTGCCATAGAGGACTGCAATGGGGAGCTCTTTGATTGCTTCCGCAAAGGCTCCTGGGGTTATGGGGAGAGCTTCAGTTGACATTTTGATGGTTATTTTGTGAGGGAAGTTGGGATCGATGCGGGCTGATCTCCAAAGCTGTTTGGATTGTTATCGTGTTATCATCACGTGGGGCTTATAGATCAGCTCTGGAGGGAGATGTTAAAGGTTGGTTTGGAGTATTATTGGTTTGGGGATGTGTAGAATTTATGATACTATAGATCAGGCTGATGATCTATTTTAAAGAATAAAGCGTATTCAGACAATTCCTATCTTTTCTCTATCTTCTTGGTTTATACCTCTGCAACCGCGGTCTCGGAACAACTCTACGGCCGTGCGGTCAATTGATGCCGCCAAAAAGATCTCCGAACAATCAACCACCACCCCATATTCCGTGGTTCTCTCCGAGCCCTCGCTCTCCAGTCACAGGATATGAGCAATGCGGTCTGGGCCGTATGGCGGGCTCCGTGCCCAGGGCTCCGCACCTCCGTGCTGCCAGTAACATTCCGGCCTGCCAGTCGCGATCTCCGCATTACCCCATGGCGCAAGTACAGCACATCGCGCCAATCCACGTTGCCAGTCCCGAACCTTCTATCCCAACTATTCTCTCGCCCGTCTCGGCCAGCTCCAACCCCGATATCCCCACAACGATTCAACCCGGTCTCCACCCCCCGCCGTTTCAAACGTACATCCGCCGCATCTCCAAAGCCAAAGCCTAAATCGGATCCCTCGGAGGTTCACCCTCGCCAAAAGCCCTTCTCCGATGCTGAGATCAAAGCTATCTTTGGCCCCGCCAAGTTCAACGTAAAGCTAGGAAACCGTCTCCTGGCCGTCCTACACGGCCACCGTCTGACCGGCACGCTCGACGCGGACTTGCCAATTGACATTGCTCGCGCTGTCACCAAGCAGCAGTTTGATATTGCCCTGGAATGGCTCCGCAACGAGTACCCCATCGACGAGGACGCTGCCATCTTCGCCCGAATTGAGCGCGAGGATCGCGCCGCCGAAGAAAAGCTCGTGCGCCGCGCAGAGAAGCTAGGTTTGTATAAGCCGCAGAGCGGTTCTTATGACGCCGAGCTCGGCGAGGAGGGTTCTCCTTACGGCAAGAGTGTTTTGAAGGAGGCTCGTGAAAGGAATGAGAAGCGCTTGTTGGCTGAACAGGAACGGAAACGACAGGAGTGGCTCGATGGCGAGAAAGAAGAACACGAACGGCTGAAGCGCGAGTTTGGGAAGAACACTTCCCTGCAGCAGTACCAGGAGGCTGCGCTTACTGAGGGTATGTATACTAGGGTTCGAGATTGGGTGATTGGTATTGGTGTTGACATTTTTAGCTCGTCCCCGTGCGGATCCTATCGAAAGGCCGTATCTCGCTTGGGTCCAGAAGCATCATATTGCTGCTACCAACGAGAGTCCCGAATCGATGAATATCACCAATGTAAGGATGGCTCGCTCTGTGGAATTATTTGGTTGTTAATTAATCATATTTGAACTCCCAGTCCCAGCGTCTACTCGCTCCGCTTCTGTTCTCGATCGTGGTTCTCGCCCTATGCTATACCTTTGCCAAGAAATATGAATTCCCAGCACGAAAGGACCGCATTATGCCGGATGTGCCTCCTGCTGTGGCTACTGTGGGCGCCATCGTGGCAGCTAACGTAGCAGTCACTTTGCTATGGAAATACGTGCCTCCCGCGTGGAAACTGCTCAACCGTTACTTTGTGATTGTGCCTTTCTATCCCAGCTCACTGGGAATGATTGGAAGCACATTCAGTCATCAGACATGGAGACATCTTGGAACTAATATGATGGTTCTGGGACTTATGGGAACCAGAGGTATGCATTGTGGCTAGTGGAAGCACTAAAAAATATGGGTTCTAATTTTTCCTTCCCTACAGTCCACGATGAAATCGGCCGTGGAAACTTTTTGGCTATCTACTTCGCTTCCGGTGTCATGGGATCTGTCTTCTCATTGACACGCAGTGTAATCCTCGGCCGCCTGGGCATGACCTCCCTTGGAGCCAGTGCTGCAACCAGCGGTATCGTCGCCGCATGGTGCATGTCTCACTTCAAGTTTGTCTCCCACCATCTCTCCGGACTTTGTTCCATGTGGTATCGATACTGACCCTTTCTAGTGATAAACTCACCATGTGGATTCTTCCCCAGGGGCTCCAAGAGCAGATTTGGACCTACGGCTGGGTTTTCCTCACCTGCCTGGTCGGCACTGAGATCTTCAGCTTGATAGCTCCAGCGTTCTTATTCCGCGCCTGGCCCCTCTCCCGACTGACCAAGATGGACCATGCTGCCCATCTAGGTGGGTATGTGACTGGTGCCGGGTGTGGATATACCCTTATGCAGAAAAGGAAAGAGCGTGAGAGAAAAGCGAGACAGTCAAGATGGATCTAAAGTCTCATCAATAAAGACCTGGTAACCTATTTTTGGGTTCCAATTGTATCATACTGGCGTTACTACGGCAAATCCTAGCCTTTTCATCCTACTCATTTACTTGGATTACCATGTTCTCTCACTGCATTGTTCCATTCAAAACATCTGATATCTCAACTTACCAAACTCTCCCAAGGAAAAATAAAATAAAATAAAACACCCCAAAACCATCTTCACAAATCTCACCTCACTCCAATCTTCATGATCTACCGTAGTACAGTAACGGAAGACCACGGATTTAGAACCGTGTACTCAGGCTTACGCCAAAGCAAAGGCACATCCAACAACCGATCCTCAGGATATACGGGCGCCTGACGGGCCCGGAAAAGGAAGTGCTTGTCAATAGAAACAGTCCCCGCACGAACGAGATTCACCCACCACAGTGCAGCGTACTCGACCTGAAACATCAGCCTCTTCTTATCTTGCAGGGGCGTTTCCATCTGGATAGGGAACGAGACGCAATACTTCCCCAAGCCGTGCTGAGCAGTATCGCTCCAACCAACCAAGTTCTCTGCGATGGTGTCACATATATGCACTATAATCTCCAAGTCGCTGGTATCCATGCTCATGGTGTCGGGGAGAGCCACATTACCCCAGATCCAACCCGGCTGGCTGTTGTGGGGGTCCTTGAAATGGAATCGGTGGCCGTTCTCGAGCTGGCTAGACTGGAATACAGTTGGTTGAAAAAAAGGCATTGTGGTGGTTGGATAAATGAAGGCCTCTCGTTGTATGGATGCGAGGTGTTCTTAGGTGGTCTCGTCCTTGTTTTGTGTTAGCAAATGCTTCTCAGGATGATGGTGGTGAGGTAGACCCGAGACGAGGACGTCGAGGGTTTATATACTAGGGTACAAGCCGTTTTTTCTGAGAATTGGGTGACAACAATAAAAGGAACTAGTTCTTTCATGGCTATAATACCTTTCTCTGTTCTTTGAGGAAGTATACTGCCTCTCTATACCCTTTTTTTATCTTCTCTTTGGTCTTGTTTCCCCATCAAATCCTTAATTTACTTCCATCAGAAGAGACGTTTATCCTTTGGTCATAAGAGTGGCTTTGTGTATAGAATGAAAGATCCCGGGGAAGACTAGAGATAATCGCAGTTGATATTGCCAGAGCATTGTCAGAACATTGTGTATTAGTTAGACTATTAGTCCTCTAATAACTAATAACTAGTAACATTATTTGAATACTTTCTCAGTTCTTGGATATCTAGTTTCTACTAATTTATCTATCTTGCATCTCAACTATACCACATTGATGCTTTCTTTCTCTTTTCCCGACAATTATGCAAGCAAGTCTATTATGCAATGCTTTTACGAAGACTCTTGTAAAAACGGAATAGATAGACGTGGGCGGAAAAAGTAGTGCATTGATCGCTCTAACGTCCAAAGAAACCTGAAAGATCCGAGTCCGAAGAAGTCGACCCTGATACAATAAACAGACAAAGAATAATCTAAATACGCCAGGGATCCATCAGCACTTCTCCCACATCCAACATATCTTCTAGTCTCACCGTCTTACGACGAGTATCAACAAAAATCATCCGTTGATCTAGAATAACCTTCCTAAACTGGATCTGATCATGCCAATAATCCGCAAGATTGCGAGCAAGAAGAAGATCGGGATGCGTAGGATCAGGCGTATACGACTTGGGCATAAGTGTATCCGGATCGCGCTTGATAGGGATCGAGAGACACTTTTTCCCTATCCCATGCATTGCCTGATCTTCTATAGTGAAGTCGCCGTTTTCAATCCTACCCTTCACAGACATCATGATTGTCGAATCCGAAATGCCGCGGTGATCGATGTCTTTGTGGAACCATACCGTAACCCAGTAGTAGTCGCTTCGGTCGCCGGCGGGCTCGGCGAAATATTGCCCGGTCGTGCCCTTGTACACACTTGGTTGGAAATTGCTTGCCATATCGGTGGTTAGTGGGCGTGGAAAGGACTAAGGGACTCACTGTTTCTGCGAGGAGTTGCGCTTTGGGTGTTGATAATATAAGAATGTTTTTCTAGGCGATGCCGGTAACGTAGAACTCGGTTCGAGGACATCGAGGGTTTATAAAATGACAGTCGAGATGTGATATCTGGAGTATTGCATGGGAAATAACAAAGGCCTTTCATTGTTACAATGACTTTCTTCATCCTTCCAATGGCTGTGATCCTTGGTGGAGATATAGTCTTTGTACTATGTATAGTTCTTCCCGAAGTGTGGTTTTGAGCCCATCGGCAAATATCCATGGACTCGTCTATATTTGTATCGACCAGTAAACTAATCCGGTGTATATAGAAAACATTTATCTGTATTATCAATGTCCTCAAAAGGACACTAAGAAGATAAATTTCATACCCGACAGAAGTGGTAAACTATCAATTGGAAGGGCAGGGACGACGTAGTAAGAGAGTTATCCAGTGTTTGAGAATTATGCCGACTAGGTCAACTCTAGACAAAATATGGAACGATCGTCTCGCCACAGTGACCTTACCACCGCTTGTCAAATTACCAGGTAGAACTGGTGGTGATCAACTTGGATCAAGATACTATACTACCAAGTTACAGATTTCCCCTCGCCGGACAGAGTATTTTCCGGCATTTCCATCGGAAGGAACTGTCCTTTTCCAAATAATATTTGTAAAGGTATATCGATTGTATCTGGGGAGGGGGGAAATGTGATAGTTGAGAAATGCGTGTTGTTTACAATAAGCTGGGAATGACTGGTCAGATTTGAAACCACCGACGTAGGTATGTAGCTTGACCTATATTTAAATCTATTACTCTAGTATCTCTCGGAAAGACTATAAAATACAATATTCATTTCCTTATGCTATACCACAAACTGTCCAGACTATAAACCTTGAGTCGAAAATAGATATTGCCATCCGTACATGATCCTCGGTAACCAACAGACCCTTGAAGAAGGCTATGCATACTATTCGTCCATTTCCCTACGAGCATGCGCATCCATTCCAATACCAAAAATACATTTCTTTTTAAGAGTAGCCCTGCCATCATGCAGTTCCTGCAGCCAGCACCTCGTGATATACTCGGCCCGGGTCCTTGGTCCTTAGTACTTGGTACTTGAGAATTGTGTATGATTTATATTCCTGAGGTATTAGTGACTTGGACGCGCATTTACTTGGGAGCTGATTATGGGGTGCATGGTCATCTAGGTACTGATTTTAATAAATAATCACTTCGACATATTCTTACCTTGACATAATTCTCAGATTCCATTGGATCAGTCACAATTTGACCATCTCCCCCTCTCCCCCTCTATCTCTCTCTCTATTGGGTACTACAACTAAAAAGCCCACAGATTACCGACACCCAAAAATCACCTTCCGGTCAAGATTAGCCATCCCAATACGAATATACTCGAGCCACTTATTCCCATCGGTCTCGGCACGAATCAAGATTGTAGCCGTGTCCGCAGTACTAGTTGGGATCGGGATCGAGATGCAAGCCACCCCCATGTTATGCAGTGCCACTTCGCTCACGATGGCTCGCCTGGTTTGGATGTGGTGAAGGGCATACCTCAGGATGTCTTCGTCGCTATGGGTAAATTCCATTTCTTCAGGAAGAACCACGGTGACCCAGTCAGCGTCTTCGTTGTCTGGATCCTCCGACAACTGAGAACTTATGTTGACCCAGGTTTCATCGTCAAACCCTTCCATATAGTCAGCGCGTATGACGAATACACTGTTCTGTCCCATGTCTGCTGAGACAGCTTAGTGGCTTGAGTGGAAGGTAGAGGGGCTTGGCCTTTGTTTATAAGGTTGCCTTGGATAGGGGCTCTGGTTTTTCTCTATGAAGGAAAAGTGTGCTAGTTGACGGCCTGAGACGCAAGACTAAGGGACAAGGTTTCTTATATTATGAATATTCAGATACAATGAACACACTTTGGGTGGAAACAAAGACTCATTATTGCCAGAATGGCCTTGTCCTGTCCCTTTGTCCTGTCTTTGATCGAGTCTATGTCTACGTGAAACACTTGATTTCTTGACAAATGAGCCAAGGTCATCCCATGTCCTTTGTTCTAATACAATCAATTGATGAATCATCGACCTCGCTGATCTGAGAGACTCTTTGTTACTCAATCTTGATTATACGATGTACACTCGATTCGTGTTTCATTGGAACGAAACTCTTGGGCTCCTTTCTTTTCCTTTGATACTCGGCCGAAAAGAAAAAGTGCATTATGGGTTGAATGCCGAGTCCAATAATATAATGCTATAGACTTATTCTAACAAAAAGGACCCTTGAGACAACGACTTTGTTAGAGAATGGCCTTTGTGCTCTTTGTATCCTTTATTGTCAAGTCTCGAGATTTTCTTCGAGGGCTTCAGATAAACATCTTTAGAATGCCTTTGTGTTATCACTCTCTTTCTTTCGAGAGGCTATAGTTGTCCAATGCCAATTTATCCTACAAAAAGGAACCTCCGCTCCACGACTTGGGATAGAATTCCATACAACCATCTCAACACAGCAAACCAACATACACAAGCACAAGCACAAGCACAAGCACAATTCAATTGACTATTTAGTTCGACAGATTCATTCATCAAAACGTTGCAAATAAGCCTCCTTCTACATTGTAAGCTGCCCCATCTATTGTGAGCGCTCCTTATGGCCCTTACTAATTTTTTCCAGGACCTTTCTACACACATCGACTGGATATTATTTTTCCTCTGCTTTGGCTTCGTCCTGTGCTTTGGATCTTTTACTTTCGTAATTGTTCATTGTATTGTGCAGGTGGTTCAGGCAGCCATCGCTTTCTACCTATTCGACATCATTTATTACTTCATCTACGAGGAGGAAAGTACACAGTTCTTCGCCGAGCTCATCTCCCATATCCTCTCCGCACGCCTTGAGCTCAAGAGTTTTATCCTACTGCTGTGCCTACTCTTCACTGTCCATCATTCCATTAAGGAGATTGCCTTTGTACTCTGCGAAAAGATTCTCGCGCCAAACACAACCATCATTCTAGATTGTCCCAAGCATCGTGAGTATCGCATCCAGTCCTTCGTCAACGCCTACGACCGAAGACCAGACACTACTTCAGCAACCAAAAACACCTAAGACTTAACTTTCTAACGGCCATGCAGAGCCCCCAGCTCCCCCAGCTCGACGATGAGATGGCCCGCATTCATCCCCTTAAGTGGGAGAAACCTTCTACATCTACTAACTCTAACTCCCCCAAGGATTCGGACTCTGAATCCCCTGAACTATCCTTCCCGTCTTCTTCGAACAGTAATATGCGTCATCCCTGGGGAGTGTTCGATTACCACATCTACCTCTCACACATCGAAAGTAAACGCGACGAACTCCATCGCAAGAAAGAGTGCCACCTCCTAGAGACCACCGGCTTCAGACAAGTCACTCTACACGACGAGCCGGAGCTCGGCAATATCCCAGCCAACACAACCCCCACAGTACTCTTCGTGAGTCTCCCCGTCCCCGACATGCGGGACGAACCTAGTAACGCCAGGTTAGTGCTCGGCTTCGATCTGAATTCCGACCGCTTGCAGGGTTATTTCTTCGAGTCCGAGGCTCCAATTGAGAACTACGAGGATCTCTGGCAGGTCTGGAACCAGGGTGGGGGCGAGCGTGTTATTGATGTTCCCGTCGAGCGTTTCCTGGCTGTTATTCGCCATACTATGCAGCAGCAGATTGAGATCCTGGAGATCGGCGTCCTGCACCACTATGGTCTGACTACACGCGGGTTCCCGGCTGGCTTGGATATGGTTATTGCTGTGCAGTTCTTGCAGTTCGTGGATGACTTCGCTGAGCTCCTCACTAAGGAGACTTATGAGTTTCGTGGGCTTTATTTGCCTCTCCAGGATGAACTGCGGAATATACTTGAGGGTGGCTCCCGGGATGCTTGGTTTGCTGTTCGTGATGGACTTAATATCCAGCAGTATCGCCAGAGGCAGTTGAAGAAGGTTGTTGCTTCCAGTCTGTTCCATGGACAGAATATGGTCGTGCTACGAGAAGGGCCTTCCAAGACTCATCAAAAGGAGAAGAGGTCTCGTCCTGTTAGGATTATTCCACATCACTCATCTCCATGGTCATGGTCGAAGCTGCAGATGCAGGTCTTGGTAAGTGCTCTTTTCATTCTTTGCTTCTGTTCTGTCTTCCAGCGCGAGCGAGTTTTGTGTGTTGGGATGTTCTGATTCAGCGCTTCATCAATATTATTTCAAAGGTTTCAAAGAACAAATATTCAAGATGCTCCATGATTTTGGCATGTAGTAAGTAGGGTTTCCACATGTAGATCAGTGAATAGCAAGGTTGTGATAGGCCGAGGTTGAGCGGGGTTATAGGGAGAAACCTGATGTACAAAGTACATAAAAGTCTGTGCATTATTCCATGACATATACGGTAAACACTTGATACATAGTTTTGTAGGGCTGGGCATGTACAAGTGCCCAAAACATGAAATCATGGAAATCATGGAAATCAACGAAAATCAACGAAAATCTAAGAAACCCACCCTCATCGAAGCTAGTAGTGCACCGCCACCCTCACTGACCCAATCAGGAATAGCCGGAAACAACTTATGTGGCGCTACGTGGCTAACTGGATTGTGGCTGCTGTCATCTTCTCTCCCATTGGTCAGGTCATGACCGGAAAGTCTTGGCAGCGTCAGAGCTGTTCGTTTTGAGTCGAGCTGTAACCTCCTTTATTGCCAAGGCAGCGGGCCCAAAGGTACAGATCTGCAGCTCCCAATCTCGCTTGGTTTCTTGTTTTCCCTTTCAGCCCTGTAGCCCTATCACATTCGAGTCTGCCTAATTCTTTTCCTTTCGTCCCTACCCCATTCTCGCTCAATTGTGTTTTAATAACCCGTGAGACTGCGACTCGAGTCCACGGCTCTTAATTTTCCCACACCCCGGTGATATCCCTGAATCACATCAATTGCCCTTATTATGGCCGAGTACAGTGCGCAGCCCGTCAACGGTATAGGAAGCCCAGCTCAAGATCTGAAAGTCGCGCAAACTAACCAAGCATGTTTGCAATCGCAGGGATGCCTCAAAATGGAGAAACGGGACAACAGATCACGCGCGGCTCGAACGACCGTTTTGAGCTCGTCTCTGGTCCCCTAATCAACCTCAAGAACATGCACTACGAAGCTACGACCACTTGGCACGGCAGTGTCTTGATTGTCACCAAGCCAACCCAGGAGCAGCCCCAGCTGCGCCTACGCCAGGTGGGCGCCGTGGATAGCGGAGCCCAGAACGAGGATGGCAGAGTTCCGACAAGTCAAACAATCGAAGGCCTCAAGCTTTACGAGGATCCTCTGAAAGCTTTCTGGCGATTCTCGCTAGCCGTGCCAGTGGCCGCATTCGAGGCGCGCTGGGCGTACGACATCCCCGGTCTGCACAACGAGTCCGGGGCCCAGATCCAGACAGCGTGGGAATTCGTTGTTCCTGCAGAAGAGCAGTCCATGCGCATCATGTTCCATTCGTGCAATGGCTTTTCCGTCGGCACAGACATGAATGCCTGGGTGGGGCCGAACCTGTGGAACGATGTGATGCGTGTGCATGGTGAGAGGCCATTCCATGTTATGGTTGGTGGCGGTGACCAGATCTACAACGATGGTATTCGTGTGGATGGCCCGCTCAAGCCCTGGACTACGATTTCGAACCCACACAAGAGGCGCACCCATGACTTCGATAATAAGATGCGTGCGGATTGCGATGACTACTACTATGCCAACTATGTCCGCTGGTACAACACTGAACCATTCCGCACAGCCAATGGCCGCATCCCCCAGGTCAATATCTGGGATGATCATGATATCATTGATGGATTCGGCTCGTACACGGATCACTTCATGAAGTGTGCTGTCTTCCGCGGTATCGGTGGTGTCGCTTTCAAGTATTACTGTCTCTTCCAGCACCACATTGCTCCTCCCAAGTCGACATTTACTACCGATTCTCCACAAACCATGCATGCCGTCAATGGAACTTCCGGTGTTGACCCGCGTCAAGTGGAGAACACCTACGTTCTGGGGAACCAGGTCGAGGACGACAGCTGGATCATTGGCAAACGGCCCGGTCCGTACGTGGAAGAGCGCAGCCGAAGTCTCTACATGCGCTTCGGCAAGCGCATTGCCTTTATGGGTCTGGATGCCCGCACAGAGCGCACCCGCCATCAGGTCAACTACGATGACACCTACGATCTCATCTTCGACCGGTTGCAGCGTGAGATCGTCGACGCCAACGGCGACATCAAGCACCTGGTGGTATTGCTAGGTGTGCCAATCGCATACCCACGTCTCGCCTGGCTCGAGAACATCCTCACGTCCCCACTGATCGCGCCGATCCGGCTACTGAACAAGCGCTTCGGTGTGGCAGGCGGGCTCTTCAACGAGTTCGATGGCCAAGTCGATCTCCTCGACGACCTGGACGACCACTACACCGCGCGCCAGCACAAGCGCGAGCGCAAGATGCTGGTCCACCGCCTGCAAGAGTTTGCCCGCAGTCACAGCGTGCGCGTAACCATCCTCGGCGGTGACGTCCACCTTGCCGCCATCGGCCGCTTCTACTCAAACCCGAAACTGAACCTCTCCGGCGAAAATGACCACCGCTTCATCGTCAACGTCGTCAGCAGCGCTATCACAAACAAACCCCCACCTCAAGCCGTCGCCAATCTCCTCGCCCGCAGAAACAAAATTCACCACCTTGACCGCGATTGCGACGAGACCCTCATGCCCTTCTTCAACAAGCAGCCCGGCGGCCAGGAGAAGAGCGCCCCCTGGAATAAGGTCACCATGCCATCCCGCAACTACGCCATTCTCACTGAGGTTGTCGCCCCAAGTCCCAGAAACCCCGGTGTCCTCGAAGGCAGTTCCGCGAAACTGGATCGTCTTCCTAAGGATGGCCACGCACCGTTGCACAAGGGCGAAGTCGATGCCGGAACGACGCACAGCGCTGCCGACGGGTTCACCTGTGCAAGTGGCATGTATGGCGGACTTGACATTGCCGTCCGTGTGGAGATCGATCCTCAGAATCGTAGCGCTACTACCGAGGGATATGGATTTAGTGTCCCGCCCCTGTTGGCTACCGAGGGTCCCCCGTCTACCGGTCACCGACTTAGTCTACACTCGCGCAGGTCTCAGGGCCGGCCGTCGACGGCGCAGTAATTGTCTTGCTTTTCTTTCCATGTAGGGGGTTTTCTGCATATTCCTAGGTACCATATGCTACCGTTCGTAATGTTTGGTCTTATCCCTTTTTTTCCCCCTTTTTTTTTGGTTTTTCGCATTCTTTTGATACCTCACTTTTCCTCTAATTTCCATAAAATCATAATGAATTCTCTATTTCCCATATGTTATCCACGTATATCCTATCCTATCACATCCTATCACATCTCGAAGCTAATCTCGCAGATCAAATGCGGAGAACTTCCCCTCGCATGGATTTAGTTGCTTTTTAGGGTTAGGCTTAGCATCAAGGTTTCTCTTATCTTTTCTTCTTTTATTTACTTCCAAGTCGACCTTTTCTATTATCTTGCTAGTATATATGAAGATATGAAGATATGAAGATATGAAGAAACCCAATAGGAAGATAATATGCCCGTAAACCCCCTCTAGCCCTAGTTGCACCTTTTTATCCTTGAGACTCCACAATCCCACGTTTATCTTCACTTATCATTGCAGAATGCGAGACTCTTCCACTTTTGGACTGTATTGTTTACATATGTACTTTGGTGGCGTGTTATACGACATGAGATCCATGCTATTCGCTGCACCTCCGCATATTATTGCGTTACGCATTGACTCTGTACTTTGTATCACTGGTGTATAAATCCCTCCTCTTGCCGGTTATCCCAATAGCTTGCAGGGGTCAACTATTCATATACCCCCACTACTACTCAACTGCAGACAACGTCTGCTGAACATATCCTGTATAACTATTGACCTTCTACCATCACCATGGATCTCAAGAAGGAAATTACCCCTTCACCTCCTTCCCCTTCCCCCCAAGACCATGAAAAGGGCACAATTGAGAATCTCGAACTAGACCGTCTGGGCTACAAACAAGAACTACGTCGCAACCGCTCCGTCCTAACCCTCCTCTTCCAAACCCTCGCCATAGCAGCAATCCCCTACGGCGAAGGTTCGCCCCTCCTCTCCGCCATCTACGGCGGCGGTCCTCTCTCAATCTTCGTAGGCTGGATAGTCGTTTGCGTCCTCGATCAATGCATCGCCTTCTCTCTCGCCGAGCTTGCCTCCCGCTACCCAACCTCCGCTGGCCCCTACTACTGGACCTTCCAAATCTCCCGCGGCAACAAAACAACCCTCTCCTTCATCAACGCCTGGATCTGGCTAATCGGAAACTGGACCATAACCCTCTCCGTAAACTTCGGTTTCGCCTCCATGCTCTCGGCAACTGTCTCAATCTATCACCCAGACTGGTCAGCATCCAGCTGGCAGCTTCTCCTAATCTTCTACGCAGTCTGCCTTACTTCCCTGGCAATCTGCATCTTCGCAAATAAACACCTCCCACTAGTTGACACCCTCTGCGCATCATGGACCCTCCTCACAATAATAATCATCCTAATCGCCCTCTCCGTCAAAGCAGATACGGGCCGCCACTCACCATCCTACACCCTATCCCACTACGACAAATCCTTCGCCGGCTGGGGAAACTTCACCTTCTTCATTGGCCTCCTCCCGGCTGCATACACCTTCTCCGCAATAGGAATGATCACCTCAATGGCAGAAGAATGCGCAAACCCAGCTGTGAAAGTGCCCCGCGCAATAGCACTCTCTGTCCCAGTCGGCGGAACAGCCGGTCTATTCTTCATCATCCCGATCTGCGCGACCCTGCCCCCGCTGCAAGATATCATAAATGCCCCAGCAGGCCAAGCCCTCCCTTATATCCTAGCTCGCGTCATGGGTTCCCCCGCCGGCGGTCTCGGTCTCATTTCCCTCGTCCTGGTTATAACGGTCTTCTGCTCAATTAGTATAACCGTTGCCGCATCGCGCGCGACCTGGGCGGTCGCCCGAGACGACGCTATTCCGCTGGCAAAAGTATGGGCGCGCGTCGACGAGCGCTGGGACGTGCCAGTTTGGGCATTGGTTTTGCTGACGGGGATTCAGATGTTGCTTGGGCTGATTAATCTCGGGAGTTCGAGTGCGTTTACCGCGTTTGTTTCGGTGGGTGTTATTGCCCTCGCGGCGGCTTATGCTATCCCTATCTTTTTGAGTTTGTGGCATGGTCGTGAGGAGGTTGCCAAGGCGCCGTGGACTTGTGGTGGGATTTTTGGGAGGTTTGTGAATGTTGTTGCGTTGGCTTGGATTGCGTTTGAGTTGGTGCTGTTTAGTATGCCAACTGCTTTGCCGGTTACGGCCGTGTCGATGAATTATGCTTCGGTTGTGTTTGTTGGGTTTATGGCGATTTCGGGGGTTTGGTATGTGGGTTATGCGAGGAAATGTAAGTTTTTTGGACTTTGGGTACTGGGGATTTTGATGCTGACAATTGATAGATTATAAGGGTCCGCCTGAGTCGGATGCTCTTGGTTGATGGGGATTTATATCTCACTTATATGTACAATTTTGTTGAGATTTAGTTACTGTTCATTCTTATTAATCACGGAATTTAGGAATCTATTCGTATAGTCCATACATAGTGATATTGACCTCCCAAAGCCCCTAAGAGGGTGATGCATTAGTCCAGCTGCAGCTGAAGCACCTGGGCACGTTGTCACTGTGCTTACCTGGGAGAATCTTCCTTTCCACCTTTCGATAACCTTCTTCATATTCAATTTCATTCCCATAAGCTACCAATATGAGAAACAAGAAAGACGCCAAAGATGCCGTCATGGACATTGGAATGGAGTATGGGCTCATTACAAAAGAGATCATGGATCAAAGGGCACCCAATGTGCGACTCGTCGTAGAAGAGAGCATGCTCGCCAGGGACAAAAAGGTTGGCCAGGCAATCAAAACGTTAGTATGTCTCGATGTACTGAATTCTTGCTAATTGGTCTCATTTAGCCTGGCCAAGCATATTTCCACGAGTGATGCCTGCTTCGTTTTCGAACTTCTTCAAAATGCGGACAATAATCGCTTCACGAATGCCAACGCTCAAAGTGAATCACCCTTTATCGCATTCAAGATCTACTCCGATCGCATTGTGGTCGAATGTAATGAGGATGGATTCACAGCAAGTGACCTTTCCGCCATTTGTACGGTCGGGGAGAGCCCCAAGTCAGCCTCACATGGATATATTGGGGCCAAGGGAATCGGATTGAAATCTGTTTTCATCGCGACATGGAAAGTGCACATTCAGTCTGGCCATTTTTCATTCTGCTTTCAACACAAGGGTGACCAGGGTCTCGGAATGGTTCAGCCAGTGTGGGAAGATGCCGATGTGCTACCCAATGCCTTGACCCGGATGACACTTTATCTGCACGAGGATGGGGATCCGCAGGAAATCGACTTCCTTCGTCAGACAATATTCAAGCAACTGAATGATCTTCAGCAGGCATATCTGCTTTTTCTCCGAAATTTGAAAGAGATACGGGTCTTTTTCTACAATGAGGACGGGGAACTGCAAAACTCCAAGAAATTCTGTGTTGGAGACATTCACGACTCTCGCCATTCTCTGGAAACTGAACTGACAGACGAGAATGGTCAAATTACTGTGGAATACAGGCATTACCATGTCACAAGACAAGTGGCAACTGATCTTCCAAAAAGCAACAATAGCAATATACCCGATACAGAAGAAGCAACACGGGCGTCTTTAAGAGCAGAGGTTTTCCTAGCGTTCCCTCTCACGCACCTGAACGAGCCGTTACTAGAGCAGCAAGATATTTTTGCATTTCTTCCAATCAGGGGGTCCAGTTTCGAAGTGGGCAGTACCAGCATTACCTCTTCATAATGTGAATTTACTGATCTTTGCCACAGTTCCTAATACACTCGGACTTTGACACCACTGCAAACCGACAGGACATTTCAAATTCCGGAAGAAACATGGCGCACCGATCCTGGATTGCACAAGCTTTTCTCAAGGCTGTTTTAGAATTCTGCGAGGATCCAGACTTGTGTTATTTATGGCCAAGGTTTCTTCCCTCCACGGAGGGCGATGAAAATAATTTTTGGACAGACCTGTCTGGCTCAATCAAGCAGCTCATTCATGGGACTCCCGTTTTAAAATCCCAACACAGCAACAGCCTGCGGAAGATCGATGATGTTGTCATTCCCACTCCGGATTTTATGGATGACAATCAAAGTCCGCTTCTCGAGGATTCTACGCTGGACCCGTTTCTCTCGAACAAGTATCCTCCCGACTGTATAAAATCTCTGGAACGCTATGGCCTCGAACGCATGAGCCATGATCTGGTTATCAGGATGCTACGAGACGATTTGGAGAATCCGGCCTCGAGGATGAAGTCTGAAATAACCAGCGCGGAATGGCATTCACAATTTGCGAGGCTATTGTTGCAGGTTGACAAAGGATCTATTGGCAAACTCGCACTCATTCCTCTCAGATTTGGCAGATGGGTTTCTGTCAGCGCTTGGTCCATATACCTGCCAACCACAAACGGGATTCCTGTCCCACCGGGAGTGGATATGCAAATCATAGAGCCAACAGCGGTTGCCAACAAAGACAGGCACCGATTGTTCGCACACCTTGGAGCTACTGAGGCAAAAGTCTATGCGGTCCGCCAGTACATTCATATGCACCACGACATCTTCGGGCGTCGAGTTAGTAGGACGAATTCAATAGCCCATTTACGCTTCTTGTACTTGACCCACGTGGATGAGGTGGAGTCATGTTACAAAGATATAGCCGTCCACAGTGAGGATGGTCATGTAGGGTATCCGCATCGAGAAGACTTTTATCTCCGTACGGGTCATCCCTATGGGCCGGAGTCACTTCTCCCTGCGGACAACACACACGGCCTCCAACTGTTTTTCCTTCACCCAGAGTACCTCAATGCTACAATTACCCCAAGCTCAGAACATCGATCATGGAGAAACTGGCTTCGACGTTTTGTTCATGTGCATAAAAGACTAAGTCTTGTCTCTCGCGATTGGGATGACCTCTCGGAGTCTTTGAGATATATCGCGGAGCACCGACCAGAAAGGTTTCTTGGTTTTCTGGAATATCTTTGGAAATATGATGGCGATTCAATCAGTCGAGATGATGAGCTTATACAACTGATCAAGGACACAGACGCAAGCAGCTTCTGCATAGCTGACATTAAACCGACGGACATGGACCAAACTTTTCTTCCCCTACCGAGACTCCAGCGACTCTGTTCACGCTTCATGGAAGCGAACGAACCATTTCCCTTCTTGAAGATCGATGAGATAGCCTCCTCCGAAGAACTCAGCCCCAAGTGGATGTTTCTCCACTCCGTCTTTTCCGTTGGCAAGGATGACGACTTGGAATTTGTTCTTAAGATATTGTGGTGGATCAACGCCGAGGACCGCAAACATCTCGATGATCTCCATTTGAAAAACCCGAAACGCATATTGGATATATACGTTACGATTGACTCAAAGTGCCTCGGTTCACAAGACCCACAGGCCGCAAGGACCGAAGCCAGGTTAGAGATTGAGACTAAACAGCTAGAAACAATCTACTGACAATCCTACACAGAGAATACATTGAGCATTACAATCTAGTTTTTATGCCGCACCCTGGTAATCCTAAAAATTACGCTGCTGAATGGTTTAAATGGAAGCCATTTCGATGGGATAGTCCATCAGATATGTTGTCAGCTTATTGTCTTAAGCATAGCTACTCACAACTGGTTGACGAAGATCAGCTGGATCAACTTTCACGGTTCATGAAGAGAACCATGTCAATTCCAGATTTCTCGTGGGAGGACATGATAGTCGAGCTTGAGGTAATAAGGGATAATGGCTTCGAAGATTTGGATCGTGTCTTTGCCATATATGAATGGATAAGCAAGCTCGACATCCTTGCCTTTGCCGATGAACTCAGGTATGTCTCAGACAGACCCCTGTGGCAAATCGATAACTGCTCACTTTGAAATTGAAGAAATGAGTTCCAGACCAAGGACCTGATATTTGTGGTCAACAAGGGGGAACCTGGTTGGTACAAGAGCTCGAGGTGTTTATGGTCCACAACAGAGATTCGAGGTAAAGTGACCCTAAACGGTCACTACGAAGATCTGGAAAGATTTTTTATAGAGGGTATAGGGGTCCAAATGCTGACTCTGCAAATGGTCTATGACGACTTACTCCAAGCCGGTCCCCAGGCGTCGTACAGTGAGATCAAAGACAAGATCTGGTCCCTCAACGCGCTTCTCCAGACAGAATCAGAATCAGAATCTAGTCATGTCGACCCAGATTCTTTGATGCTGGCCTACGTACTTCCCATCATCAATACGGATGGTACAACATCTCTAGTTACTTCAGGTGCTGAGTTTGCCATCGCAGACCAAGACTACTTGGCCGTACACTTTCTGGGCCGCATCAAATTGCTTCATTACAGCCTCGAGGATGTCGGACACCTGAGCGTCTTCCTTAAGTGGGCTAATCTTACACATCGCTACTTGTCTACTGCGGTCAGAAAGTTCACCCCTGTCCCCGGAGAGACAAGGCCACTCATACCCAGGCGTGATCAAGACTTGAAACGAAAAGCGCATGGTCTTGTGCTGTGAGTGTTATAACCAACATTTCCTTTTGACAAGACTCTCACTGACGAGAACTTCCAAGTGTTGCGGCAACATTCAATAGTCCTCGCTACCAGACCAATCCAGCTAGGCTGTACGAAATGCTTCGCACAACCAGCATTGAAATGACCAACGGCATCTCCTCTGTCTTAAGCATTACCCAAGATGGAAATGTAACAGAGGTGAAAGAATCAATCGGCAGCTTGCATATCAGCGAAACCCCAACCGGGTTAACTATATACGTTCCCTTGGACAATAAGGAACAGGAACTCTGCTTCAGCTCCCTTCTGCCCGTCCAGCTCACAGAATGGCTGATGCAAGATCCTATCACGCAAATTCCAGACAAAATCGACAGCTCCTTGTTGACTGCAATTACTACACTTCAACGTTAAGTTATACCTCGTTTGTCGGGGATGGCAGTAGCGAGGATAGCAGCAGGGCAGGAACCCTCGCAGGAGGCAAGATTAGAGCAAACGGGCAACGCACTGTATATATACAGAGAAGCAAAGGTTTGTGAGAATCAATTCATTCAATATAACTAGCTTTCGTCCTCCGAGTCTTCCATTTCGAAGGACGTCATACGCTTTGGAGGACGTGAAAGTTTCAGCCAAAGTTCATTTTCCGAATCATCATCATCAATATGCAAGAGACCAGTATCCGCGCTGCCATCGTAGACTCCGCTGGATTTCCAGCAGTCATCTTTAATCTTCTGCGCGGTTTCAGTTGACAGCCACATGTATCTCTCCACAACTCCCGCTTGGGCTGGCAGGCCCCCGTAGATACCAGGAGCGTCCCATTCGCCTCTGGGGTGCACCCCCCAGGGGACAATCATATCAGTAAAGGTGATAGAAGAATAAGCTTGAGTATCTCTGGGCTCCAAATCAGGCTGTAAACTTGCTTCTAGGGTGGTATCGTAAGGTCCAAACTCTGAGATCTCTCTAGATCCAATAGAACGCTCCTTAACAAATTTCTCTAGAAATTTTAGGTAGAACGGGTTTCCGCTTTGTTTAGCAGCCACGAAAAGAGACTCGCGTGGAGGGGGTTTCAACGCTACGAACAGCAGTTCGTAGTCACAAAGTATACAGGTGATCGCAATTTGGTGTCTCATAGACGGACATTTGCGAGCCAGCTCATTGCAGGTGTTCTCATGTGGCCTTACCGGCCACCAGATAAGCCAAGGGAGGCAGTCAGAGTCATCGTTAATACCAGAGATATCATTGTTCATAATTTTGCGAGCATTGATCGCGGTACGAATCTCTTGACACTCGCGCTCATTGCCTTCGCTAAGCAATTTGCCCGGGAGAATATTTCGCCTAGGGTTGGTTTCCAGCTGATAGGCCCACCATCTAGCAAAAGTTGTATGGTGATAAATTCCACGAAGAATACAATTATATTCAGTTTCCGTTCTGAGCCTACGTGGATGCATCAATCGAGAGTATCTATCCACATTACCCTCCCACGCAGCCACTTGCGTTAGAAGGCGTTTCTCAAGTGGAAGATCAGGCGGAAGAGGCATCCATAATTGCCCTGAGTCTCCTGGGCCGAGTGTAGTATCGCGTTCTAGTAAGCCGATGTTTTGTAACCCAATAAATCCATCCTCCTCAATGTCAATATCGTCTGCAGTCGTGTCTGGCAAGTTTTTGGGAGGGAGAGCACGTTGGCCCAAAGCCCGCCTAGGCTTCATATTGCCATTCAGAAACGCAGGTGTTTGTGGGCTTTCAAGATCAATAGACCGAGAGAAATCATCCATGATAACGTATCGTCGAGGAGCTGACATAATAATTTTGTAGATATCGGCGTCTTCGTCAACATCGCGGGCTTCTTCAGCAATAGATACGTCCGGTAGAAGATCCAATTCTTTATAAAGACCCGTATACCAAGCAGTAGCACATGCTCGGCCGACTTGATAGCGCATAGATGGATATCGACGGGCAACCTCACGGTAGGTTTCTTCCGATGCAGGTTCTGGATACCAAATGCAGTATGGCTCTGTGGCAGGGTCTTGTATATCGGGAATTATATCACTCATTATCAGGCGAGCATTGCGTGCGCGCGAAAACTGATGAGCTTGGCTATCGTCGCCGGAGCATAGCTCGATGATTGCCGGGCTTGTTGCAAATTGGAGTGAATCACGGATCCCGCGGACGACTGCTCTACGATGCCAAAAAGAGCTTAAATCGGACGGGACCTTTTCCCCCTTTATTGCTGCGATGCATTGGTCGAGGTCGTACTCAACTGGTTGTTTCTTGCCCTTATCTGGTTTGTTGGATTTGCCGGAAGCGTTGACTGGTAGGTCCGTGGGGGAAATGACAGAGCCTTCCCCTGTAACCTGGGTAGCCGCCATGAAAAATACCGAAGGGGCGTGATGCTAGCAATTGCCGGAGGATGAAAGAAAGTGGGGAGAAGACAGATTATCGAAAGGCGGAACGTACTGCGCTCAGCTAGAATTTATAGGCTACTCGTAGCGCATTAGTTTTAATTCCGGGCGTTCAATAGACCTGGCTTCTACGGAAGCACCGGAATTGATAGACGAAGTGGTGGGGTCCATAAAAAAAGCAGTGCGCAGTAGGTCCTCAAAGGGATTGCCAGCAATGTGGATAGTGTTGAGTTAAATCGAACTAAAGGCAGATCATAGATCATTCGGTCAGGATCTGGGGAAGGCGCAGTGGTAATGGTTGGAGAAAGCTGAGAAGCACTGACTTGCAGGGAGCCCTTGATGGTGGCATTAGTCAGCCTTTACCCGATACTGTACTAGGCCCAAATGACTATAGTATATACAATATATATACAATATACAGATTAGAAGTCTATCACTGTCCTATCTAGGTAATCCTCTAACCTAAATAGGTAGCACCCCCAACACCAAACTTTAATTTAGTGCAGTCCTGAGCCAAGGCCTAATCCATACGATAGTCATTTTGATACAAGTACAGACTCTCGGAACCCTACTGAGGTTCCTAAGGTTATATATAGTTCTTCACATAATCAGTCCTCCGCTTTCAAGCGCAAACGCTTTACACCTCCCGACTCTGGTCTCGGCAACTTCCTTTTCTCAGGTCGTGATCGCTTAAGTGGCCGAGTATGCAAAGTAGCGCGATGGAAGTCGATAATCAACGCTCGTCCAAGCTCATTATTCCAAAGAATATTGTCATATCGAAGGTCATTATGAACAACCCCCAACGCCTTGATTTCTTTCGTGGATCTCCGGATTTCCCGGCTAAGCCATGGTTCCATCTCCATATCGGCAGTGTTCTCGCCTCCCCAGCCCATGATTAGCATGTGACGAATCTCTCCAGCCCTGTGTAGAAAATAGATTTTGGCCAAATCTATTGTACCGAGGAAAACAGGCACCGCTGAACCTTGCGCTCTCCGTAGGATTCGATATACCTGCGCTTCGCTAGATACTTGTTTCCATAGGTTCGACGTGGTTCCTTTCCCGATGACTGTATAGCCATATACGATGCAAGTCAGTTTGAATGGTGCACCGTATGACCCACAACGTCCGAACGGTATGCATCGGTCGATATTGTCGTCCAGTTGTTCATTTAGTAAACGTACTAAATCATCCGAGGTGATAGGATGTTTGGGGTCATTTGGGTCCTGACGGTGAAGCATTACGTTTGGACAGCTGTCATCTAGGTTACCCCCGGTCTGCAGCCCGAGGAGACACCTCTGGGTGCAGAATTGAGCATCGCGTCGGGACTGACTATCGTGATATCTCCTATCGTCTTCCTTCCGACCCACTTGTTGGGTAGACGGGGAAGATGTGACTTGGCTGAAGCCCCGTTTACGTCTCATTGCTTGGTTGGAGTCGGAGCCTGACGATTCTGGCGACTGCGTGCGGTGCCGGTCATTTGTGGGCGCACAGGCTCCTCGTGGCCTTATAGGCACTCGACGGCCCTCGGTCGCCGGTTCCGGCGGAGATACTAGGGGGGATGACGATGGTTCATAAGCCGAACCGGATTCTGGACTTGTGTACTCCAAATACGTGCTATCAGAGTTGGGAACCTCAGACTGGGTGCGACTAAAGTTGGAGCCCCAGATTCGAAGGTTTTGGCGGGCTCGATGTCTCCATTCATGGTCACGTATAGATGAACGGAATGCCATTAAGCATAGACATAGCACTCTGGCAATAGAAGTCTTCGGCTCTTGGAACTCATTCTCTGCTTCCAGGTCCACTTCTGAATTGGGATCACAAAAGTGATAGTAAAGGGTGCTGGGGTTATCATGAGGCACACGGAGAAGAACACGGGCGATCCCAGTGGTCACGTAGGAGTACTCGAGTCCCTCCTGGATCATCACATGATATTCTTGAACAATAGCGGAGCAAACGAGTCGCTCTGCATCGTACCTTAACTTCGCTTCCTTGTCCGTTGGGATTTTGTTTGACCTGACTATATCTTTGTACAAATCCATTTCCCGTAGTCCTAGGCAAAAGTCTTCCATGGAAAGCTTGTGAGGCGGCTTGTATTCGGCTGTAGCAAGGAGGGTGTGAGTATTGCCGTCGACTCGGTGGATGAAAAAAAACGAATCGGCTTTTGGGCGTTCTATTTCCGATGGCTGACCTGCACTCGATTCGACGCCTTCATCTGCCTCGAGCAAATTTGTATGATTCTCAAACTGGATCCCATCTCCAAGTCCAAATTCCTCTCGCGCGCTATTAATGTTGCATAACTCCTGGATTATATTATGGACGTAATTCTCCACAGCATTTCGCTCGTAGTTCTGGACGGCTTGCTCGCTGCTCATTGACCGGTAGCCGAATTGTTTTGCATTTTCTTCGAGGGCATTCAGTGGTGTGAACAGTCGTGCTTGGTCCTCCTCAGCTGGCTGTAGATAGTTGCACACAGAATTATAAATCTCTTGCTGTCGAGCTGAACAGTCCGTCCACAATTCTAGTCGCGAAGGGCAATACTTTCCAGTTGGAAGGGGTATTGTCCCTGTAGTCGATCTAGATGGCAATTCAACTCTCAGCGGTCGCGATAATAAGTTGGGGCAAAAAGTCGGATGAATTCCACGAAAGTTGTTGGGCGGTTGCGCTCTCTATCCAATCTCCCTTCATCCTCTGCCTGCTTCCGTCTCTCTTCTGCCTCCTTCCGTCTCTCTTCTGCTTGATTTTGTCTCGCTTCTGCCTGCTTCCGTCCCTCTTCTGCCTGATTTTGTCTCTCTTCTGCTTGATTTTGTCTCTCTTCTGCCTGCTTCCGTCTCTCTTTCTCCTCCAGAAAGAGTTTCTTGTAGTCGGGTGAGCTATTGGCCATGGAAGCGATAAAGAAGGAATAGAAGGTTCAGGAAGACGAGGCTAAGAGGGGATAGAGACCCACAGGTGGACCAGCCCACGGAACCGATGTGGGTCACTAGCTGATTCGGTGAAATTATTATCCGGGACAAGTTTATACTTCCCAGCCTCAATTGTCGAATACCAAGTCTGAATACATGGTAGAAACCAGGTAATATACCGGAAACATCATGTGAAATTGGGTACCAGACATACCATACAAAAGTGCATATTACAGTTAGTCATCATGGTCCGCACAGATTGTTGAAATAGCGGGTTTTGTCACTTTAGTTAGAGTCTTCAACATTGGTCATCTATACCATACGTTGTTCGTACGCCAGCTTTCTGTCATAAAAGAAAGAGAGAGAAAGAATCTCTAAAGTAGGATCCTTATAGGTTCCTATTATAATTAGATAAACAATATAAACGGCGTTAAGGCGGAAACCTCTAGCAGAAAGTATTCGGCCGAAAAGACAACCCAGATCGTCACATATATAACAACATATAGAAAATATTTAGTTATAAAAGATGTGTATGGCTCTTAACTAAAGTAATACGAATCCGCTTTTTTCTATAATATGCCGACATAGCTGACTAAATAATATATGCAACTTGTATGGACTCGGAAAATCTTCAAACCGCCATGTTAAAGTATAACGTGTTATTGATCCATATACCACGCATTTCTGTACGCCAGATTTCTGTCATATTCAGTTTGTGACCCCTCCAACTGACACGGATGATTCCTCCCACGCTTCATCCTTTTTCTCTCCATTTTTCATGATCTCCCTATTTTTCTCTATAGGGATAGATACACAAACCCTAATCAGGCGACATGATGTTCTTAAGAGCCTCTATCAACGAGTCAACGACTGCGAATCCTTCTTTATCTCCCCTTACAATCTTCGAGGTATCGGAATCCAAGCTTTTTAAGTGGGAATAACAGATAATGGGATTTTATAATTTAAACCATGCTTTTTCCTACCTTACCCTGAGAGAGTCCAAAAACATCTAATACACCCTTTGTCAATATCGGAATGTACCCCTCCAAAGATAGATAATCGCCCAGACTTCGATTCTATCTTAAGACGAGTCCTTATAAGCTATCTAAATATAGAAGATCCTCTTAGGCTTACAAGGATCGCTTATGAGGAAGCTATGGCAGTATCAGGACCGGACCAGTGGCATACCCATGCCCTCGAAACAAAGTACTATATTAAGTGGCATATGACCGCTTTGCAAAGGGGATACCCTTCTCTTCTTAGCCTTGGGTCTCTTCGTAATAAGTGGTAAGTAGAGGGTCTTAAGGGTTTTAAATATATATACTAATATTAACTAGGTTAGAAAGCAAGAGAAACGACCCTCCGACTTGTCAGCGCGCTTTTGGTTTACGTTGGCAGATTGAGAGTCTCCTAGATGATAGTAACGAAGGGTCACCTACGCCTATACCACATACAATTATAGAAACTATCGCACACGTCCCCGCAAACCATGCCGACCAGAGTCTTACTCGACATGAAGTAAGGGCTATTGTGAATATGATGCTTATTCGAACATCTCATAGGCCCTTTCGGAGATATACGATCCATCCAGTAAGTAGCCTATACCGTATGATCGTCTTAAATCATACTAATACCTATCTTTAGTTACTAGGGATCTCGATGGCCTTTGGCCTCCAGATAGTCCTTGCGGAGGGAAGCGTATTGTGGTAATAGTAACCTATCTAGATTAATATATAGAGTAGATATAGTTTAGCATCTGGTTTAGTATCTCGTTTAGTATCTGGTTTAGTATCTGGTTTATGGTAAGGCTGCGAATAGTATAGTACTTACGTAACCGCCGTCTAATTCGGAGTGGATTGGTATATATCACGTGATCTAACTATCTAACTAGATTAGGACTAGTATATATTTATTCTGCCGGGTAAGCTATTCTGCCAGTTCTCAGCGATTACTTTTTCACCACATGGAAACTATGGATTTGAGACCTCCATAGGAGAAAAGAACGGTCACGTGATAGGACACCCGAGGCCTTGTGATTTATATTGCTTCGCTTCGCTCCGCAATTAGTCCTCTCCTATATGGGCGAACAGCACGGAAGGATCATTCAAGCTTTATTTGACGGAGAAAATTTAGTCCTGCAACATTCTCAACTATGGAGCTTCGAGAACGAGGATATAGCACCGGTGGAACTCTTCATACGTTATATTATAAGCCAGTTGGGTTGGAGAGATCAGACGCTTGTGTTCGAGCACTTACGGAATCAGTTGCATCGATGGACTTAGAATGAATATAACCCTCATCGTCTGCCCCATCTCCACCGAACTTGGCGTTTTGCCCGCGGGCAGGGGAATAGTCGGGATTTCCAGCCATGGGTTTATCGGTAGATGACGGCAGGATTGGAAGCACGAGGTTTGATCCTCAGGTCGACAGCAAAGATGGGGAGGCTAGGTCGGTGGCTGCCCGTTTGTGGGTCGAGGCGCCTGGGGAGGCGGGATCGCTGGCCAGCCGTTTACTGGAGCCACGCAAGGAGAATTGCCGGCCACTCTTGCTTTTACCTTCCAAACCTAGGTCTTTGTAGTCTTCCATCTTCAACCGATTCACACAATCCGGACCTATACCAAGCATGTGGTTCAGCAGCTGATTGGCGAGTCGCTCAATTGTATCGTCACGATTATCGACTGACGGTGAGATCTGTTTCTCTAGGAAGGGGCGGTATTGTGCAGCAATCTGCGGGAGGACCTTTGTGGTATTGTTGAACTCCATATATCTCTGAATGGTGTGGTCCATAAAAAGTACCCACGCACGCTGCTCCTCGCGTTGACCACGGCGGTGGATACGTCCAATGGTCTGGAAGAGAGAGTTATGGTTCAGCGCGGACTCCACGAGGATAATTCGACTGCACTGCGAGTGCATATTGAGACCGGTCGCACCGCAATTGTATGTGGTCACAAGGGCCTGCGTGGATGAACCGGGGTCATTGAAGCGGGCAATCGCAGTGGAACGGAGATTGGTAGGCATGCCAGCACGGATCACCACAAAATCCAATGGGAGGGTGCTGAGGAACATTTGGACAAGCCATAGAGTCAGAGGCCTGGGCAGAAGATCAGGAAGCGTGGCTGAGAGCTAGCCGAGTCGAATACACCTTGCTGGACAAGGATGTGGAGAAGATAGCGGAGTCGGGGGCTCTGGTGGGCGAGGTAGCGAGCCATTGCAACGCGATTCGTGGGCACAGAGGCTGACGGGTCCTCAGTGGTCCGGGACCAGAAAAGGCCAAACCCATTATCATCGCCGCGCTCGGTGAAATGAGAGATGTCGGCCGAGAGAACACTTGATGGGGAGCGTCGAAGGAACCGGTCCAGCTTGGGCGACACGGCATGGTGGCAGAGCATATGGAACGTAGCCCAATTCATTGTTGCGGGGCTGTCCGCAGATGCGGCCGACGGAGCATGCGCGGCTGATGTATTACTTGGGGGGCCGTAGAGGGACTCAATCAGAATGTTGAAAACACGATTGTGGATGTCCTGAGTGTATTGAGTGTATCGCAGTACTGGGTAGTATCCTAATATGTTTCCCGAGTCAAAACATCTTACTCTGTACAAAGAACACCTCATAATTACATGCATATGCAACTACCTATATAAGAAGAATACGAATTAGTTATAGCAACTCTATAACCAAAATTACTCTCGATCAGCAAGGATCTCTTCCTCATTCTCACTCCCACATCTCCGACGCCTAGGAACACCCTCATTCATAGCATTAACCTGCTTCGGAACAGACACCGAAACCGAAGCATCACTCGGTCTACGCCGCCTCACAAGCTGATACCCCCTATCAAGCTCAATCTCAACCGCCTCTCGAACCTTCAGTGCACTAATCGCCGGCCAAACTCCCCTCTCTCCCTTAAGCGCCCACTCAGAGACGCGATCTTTTGTCGGGCTCTGGAATAGTTTCCTCAGATCCCAGAAACACAAGTCTGGCACGAGAGTTAGGTTCGGCCCGGGGATTGTCTCATCGATGAGGAGTCTGCTCAATGGGGCGGGTAGCACGCCTAGGTAGTCGAGTTGGCGGAGTCGGTGGCGTAGTTCAACGATTACTAGTCGCATTGCGGAGCGGGAGAGGTTGTTCCAACCTGTTTGGCGCCGGTCTAGGAGGTTCAGTTCTGACCGCAGAAATGGGACTAGGTAAGGTCGAGCTTGGGAGACGATGAAGTGGTTTACGTTGAAGAGTTCCGAGATTCGTGAGAGGGGGGATTCGCCTTCGTTGTATTGGACGTGTCGCCAGGGTCGGAAGACTGCATCTTGTGTGTGTGGCCATGGGACTATTGTACCTGTTTCGTCTTTACAGTAGATCGTCACCGGTGAGTAGAGGCCTGAGGAAGAGGCGTTGGATGCTACGGCTGCAGACCAGATGAGCTGGAAACGATGTTAGATATCACTGGCACTGGCAAGGAGAAGGCGAGAAATACATACCACATTCGGCGCAGTCAAGTAATTCAACAGATTCGGCGTCCCATTCTTCCCCGTCGTCGCAACGGTGATATTCAAAATGCGCTTCGACCTCGCATACGCCTCTTCAAACGTAAGATCCCCAACATTAGCCCGAACACATTCCTCCAAAACACCAACGTCAAACAAATACCCCTTCTTCAGCAACCTCCTCATCCTTCGATAAAAGGTCCCAACCCAACTCGAATCAGAGTTGCCCCTATCCCCACCATTCACCATCTTCCGCCTCTCAAAAGCAGAAAGATCAATCCCCTCCCCATCAAGCAACGGCAACAACTCACCCTCAGAATGAATCCCCACAAGCGCAGCAATCATCGCCCCAGTTGCAGTACCTGTAATAATCCGTGGTAACAGACCCTGCAAATGCAGCGCCTTCACAACACCAAGATGACACAGCCCGAACGCAGACCCACCCTGCAGCAGCAGCGTCGTCCGCCCAAACGCCTGCCGCGTATCGTGCAGCAGCTCCAGCTTCGCTTGCGAGCTAAACCCGCTCGGGTGCATCGGTGCTCCTGGCACCGATGTCACGTACTGGATTGACAGAGCTACTTGCGTAATGTAGTCGTCTATTAGAAGCTTGGTTCCCGCGTACGCGTGCGTAAATAGCTTCGTGCTGGTTATGTTGCCCAGATTGCGCACTAGCCCCGACCGGAGCAAGTTGACTAGTGTTAGGATATCTTCTGACTCTCGCGCGTTCATCAGTGCTTCAAGTCGACCGAGGATTAGTCGGTAGTCATAGTGTCGGCTAACGGGATTTTGGCGCCTGTGTGGATGATTAGATGGTGGTTTGGTACATTGGGTATTGAGTAGGGTTCAATTGGCGTTGTTTGACTTCATACCATAGATCTTTACTTTGTAGCTCGTCGAGCTCAAATGCCGCCTCTTCCCACTCCTCGTAGCTCTGCGCGTTGGCTAGCGTATGGAAGAGCCGATCTCGAGGGGATTTGGAATGCCACCATGATAATAGTTTCTAGAGGACATTTATTAGCTCAAGATCAGACTGAAAACAGAATCCGATGTTATGTCTTGTGTCTCTTTCGTCTTTTGCCATCTCAGGCTCAGAGCTCTCCCCGCATGCAAGACACCCAGGCTAGGATTGGAGAACAATACTCACGTCTCTCCAGAACTGAGCAACATCAAGCACCATATTCCAGATCGCACCAGCAATCTTCCACAGTCCAAGCCACCAGGACCCCATTTTTGTTTTCATTCGAGAGATATGTCTGCGTTGTGGCTGGTGGAGGGAGAGGTGCACATGCGGGCCCGGGTATCGTTTTCACATGCTACAACGTCACGCGCCTCACGCAAGGGAATTGGCGGTTGAGATTGCGGTAGTGATAGTCGATTGATAGTATATTGAGTGATCAAGTGTGATATGTATTCGAGCGTAGCTGTGTTATGGAGATGAATTGGACTCGATTGGTCTGAGGAAGGAATTGTGTGGGTTGAAGTTTGGGGAGTTGAAGCTGATCAATCCAGATTCCCCCGGATCTTCATCTTCAACCACAACTGTCCCGTGACAAATAAATGTAGTACATATTTCTCTCTACTCAATACTTAAGAGTATTAAAGTAATCAAGTATAATGGAATTGCCACGGGCGCACATTTCTACATGCCACATACAAAGACGTTATTCGCGTAAGGGAATCAGTGAATTTCAAAAGGGTCGTTTTGTTTTTGACATTTCGCTTTGCTTCCCTATATGCAAGTAGGCGAAATTAAAGAAACCTCTCCCGGACACCCCATACATTCCCAAGCAGCACATTTACTCTTCAATGATGTTGCCCTTCTCCGACACGTAAAGACCGTCCAAGAACTGCAGATGGTCAGTATAAATTCAGACTCGGGTCCTCCCGGTGAAAGTAATTATGTTCGTGTAACTAACCTTACGGATATCCTTGTTACGGACACGGCAGATCTGCTGGATGTCGGCGGCGGACTGGGACACGCCCTCGAGGGAGTTACCGGTGAGGATGAGCTCATCCTTGACGTTGGCGGAGGGAGCAATGTCGACATCGGGCTGGGCAGTGATGCGGCGGACGTACTTCTCACCGAGGAAGTTGCTAATAACAAAACGTTAGCGCGAGTTCCATCACAATTGAATTTCACGATATATTTCCGAATATCATAACGGGAAAACAAAAGCGTAGGTTCAAGGGTTCCATACCGGATCTCCACAATAGAGCGGCCAGTCTCTGGGTTGGGCTCAATGTTGACGTTGATGGGGAAGTGAGCGTAGACGTAACGCATCTTGTACTTGAAGCCACGGGTAACACCGATCATCAGGTTGTTAATGATGGTGCGGACGGTACGGAGAGTAGCAACACCCTTGCGGGCACCGTGGTGCAGCTCGATGGAGATAACGTTCTGCTCGGGGCGGCCGAAGGTGACGGCAATGTGGGAGAGATCCTTGACGAGCTTGCCGCGGGGACCCTCGACAGTCACGATACGGGAGCGAATCTGGACCTTCACTATAGAGCAAAAAAAGATTCGGGTTAGTTCATGGCCATTTCTTTTTTTTTGTGAAATTCAATATTTTGAAGAATCAAAATCAAGAATTGTCCGGTAGGTGTGCGAGTCGCCGATCCCACACAACATTCCCTCCTGCTTTTGCTGCATTGGTGCTGGATATTGATCGTGTGTCGTGCTAAGCTTGCGTGTTGAATTTCGTGCCCTCAAAAGCGAAGTTGTATTGTGTGCGACCGGCTTCCTCCATCATAAAAAAAAAGAAATTCGCTCACCATTGTCCAGAATGGGCAACCGTTCCTCGGAGTGAATGTACCGCATCTTGACGTGACTTTTGGTGGTTGCCGGGGGTGTAGATTGTCGATGTCGGGGAGGTTCAAAATTCGAATGGACTTGGTGGTGGAGCGAAATTGGATGTCACGGGGTTGTGCGTCGCTTAGGGCCATTTTGGGTCTAGCGCAATTAGGGTTCCTTATCAGCTTATCGTCTTATCGCGGCTTGTATCAGTACTTGCTCCACCGGTTTTATTTAAGTGATTGCCAAGTAGAGGTACATGTGGTAAATATTAAGCTGGAGCCTGGAGTTCCTGAGCAAGTTCGCTACTATGTACAATGCAATGAGCTGCAACAACCATATCTCTCCCTTCCCCCCTGATTTTCTGCCAGGGCTATGAGCTATGGCTATCGAAATTTGAAAATTGTTTTACAATACTAACCTCACAGTGATTTCTCAACCTCCCGGTGCGACACATCCACGATCCATTTCCCGCCCATTTGTCGCAGCGTCGAAGCCAGCTCGTCGCTCTGATCCAATGCCGCAATATCGTCTCCACCGCCTATACTCTTCCCACTCACGAGCACATTGGGCACTGTGCGACGCCCCGTACTCTGTGCTAGCAGGGCCTGCAGATACGGTCCAAGCGGGTGTTTGTCCAATTCGACCACGAACGGTTTCGGCTCGATAGAGTAGTGCTCCAGCAAGATCAACTTGGCTTTCTTGCTGTAGGGACAGTAGGATTTGGAGAAAACGATGACTGGATGCGGTTAGTCTTGGATACGGCCAAGAAATGGAGAATGGGGAACAGAAACATACCTGGAGCCCGCTTAAGAATCGCATTAAGCTCTGTTGTCGCCTCAGCCTCTTTCCTCTCTTTCTCTTCGCGCTCTCTCTTCACTTTTTCCTCGCGCTCCTTCTCCTCCTCGCTCTTGATCTCCAACTGGATCTCTGACGGCGTATCCTGGCTCCCCTTCTTGGGAACGGTCATCTTTGTCCGTCCGGCAATCGGGATCTCCTCCGTATCTTCATTCCCTGTAGCAGGAGGAACAGCAGCTTTCTCGACCTCAGCGACGGGCACCTTATCACCTGCACCCGAACCGGCAGGGCCATTCTGTCCGGGCGCATGCACGGGATGCTGGATCTTCTCTTGGTCCTTGGC